TATCCCCGTGAGTAAGAAGAGCATAAATGAGCCTAACCTTGGAAATGCATAAAGCGTGTTGAACCTGATTTAAAAGTCTTAGTAAAATCTATAATTTGTGAAACAGCACATTTGTACATTCTGCTGTGTGTGTGTGTGTGTGTGTGTGTGCTCATGGTTTAAATGTGAATTTCTCCACACGTTATTGAAAATCCACTGTGCCGTGCCCCCTTCTGAAGGATTTCAAAACAATCTGATAGTACAGTTTAATGGCCATTTAACCAGAAATGTTACAAGGACATCAGTTTTTTTTTTACTTTACTATTTTTTTTCTTACTTTTTATTTAATTGTGATGAAAAAAGGAATGTGGAAATGTTAAATTTTCAATGGCAAATTTTCTTTTCACTGTATCACTGAGGTATGTTTGTGTGAATAACCACAGCTAGTGAAAAAGACATTTTCACTGCTTATTTCCTCTGCTTAGAAATCATTGCTACATGTACTTTTTGCCCTTGCCCGTACACAAGAAAAGAGGCATTCAATCACTGCAAACATGAATCAGTTACATTTCCTCGCTGTCTGTAAAGACATTTTACCTTTGGGCCGTCTTTGATAACTTGCGAGGGCTCTCGGCCTTGCAAGTTATCAAAGATTTGCGTGGAGCTTTGGACTTGGTTTGGGAAAGATCATTTTCTTACTGTTATCCTGCAGCCTCAAACCTTCACAGAAGAGCCGTCTACTGTTGCAAACAACTTTTTTTTTTCCTTCACACCAATTCAAATCAGAGAGATTCTTCGCTCGCAGACAGAGACGCAGCATGCCTGCACACACCATGCATGCTAAATGCCTCTGTCACAGCTAGGAGAGAAAAAGCTGTTCGGTAATTAGTGAGGGATCTCATTGTTTTGCCTGAATAAGAAAAATAAAATCTGTAAATGTATTATGAAAAAGGATAACCACTGCCTTAAAACCACCTCTTGATACTTATCATCATTAAGAAAAAGACTGAAGGACTTAATGTAGTGCCTTCTTTGATTTTGAGGCATATGGTTAGTATTGTAACAGTATCCTCATGTACACTCTTACACTATATCTTGTATATTTCTGTCCTTTCTAACTTACAGGGCCAATACTCACTCACGTCTGTATTTAAGCACCATTGACTTGCATTAAAAAAAGAACCTGGAGCATACAACAGCTGGATCGAGAATAAGTGGCAAAGTATTTTTGTTAACCGGGGTGGTGTGGCAGCTTCCACTTACTATAAAGTTGTATGCAGGACGTATTATTTATTGTCTTAAATACAGTTTGTAAAAAAAAAAGAAAAAAAAAAATCATTTCGATCACTTCATATTTTTTTTGCCTCACTTTGTTGGTTATTTCTTTGGATATTTCCAAGGACAGATCTGATTTGTTGAATCAGAGAGGAATAGAGTACTAAAAGCTACAACGAGCTTCAATTCAAGTACATTTTCCTCATTTCTGGTGTCATGGAAACTCTTACTTGCATGACAGTTTCTGTCTCCAGGGTTGATATTAGTCCTAAATGGTGACAAAGTGACTGCAGCTTTTAAATGGAGGAACATCAAAACATTGAGTGGAGAATCATTCGGCAGCAGGTTTTATGGTTTGTTTTAAATACTTGATATTTAGTATGTCTGTTTTCACTCTCTCAGGTTCATGAGTGTTAATAGTTGTGTTTTTTGCATCTCAGGTAGAATGCAAATTTTAAAGGCCCAAGTATATACTGTAGTACCACAGCTCTTCAAAAAGTGACAAAAATCACAAGGTGTACATGTTTTTTCCTCATTTGTACATGTTTATGTGTTCTTAATATGGTGCACTGTTAAAGTGAACGTTAAATATTATTTTGCATAGACCTAGTTCACAAAGAAAGAAAACTAGATTTGTTAAGCAGACAAAAATTGTGTACAGTCAGTGTCAACAAAACCACAATGATGTTCATGAAAACTACTTCTTCTTCCACTGTAACACTTTGCTTATACAGTATCAGTTATTTAGTAATTATAGGATGTGACCACAAACAGTCAATAAATCTGTTTGCATTAAGTCAAATCACGCATACATTTTCATAGATGAAAAGATTGTGTATTTACTGTGACATGAAGTTTTATGAATGATTTGTAACATGTCTTGGATATTCGGATGACGCTCATGTTTAAAGCCTGGAGGACGGGGGCGGAGGAGGGGCGGTTGTTTATTACCTCCCAAAATGGTTGTGTTTTGTTGCTCAATCTTAATTTCTTTTTTTCTGTAACCAGGTGACATTTTTCTTTTGTGTAGTAAAACAGAATGTTTCTCATATGACCATGCATATTTTGTATTGGTTCACACCAACATTTTTACAAAAGAAAAAAAAAATTGAGAAGAGTACTTGTCTTAATAAAAAGATATCAATGTTTAAAGTGCGGCGCTGTTGTGACTTGATCAAAAACGTGGGTCTCACTTTGTAGTCCCGTCTCGGCAGAATTTATTCGCTGGTATTTGTTGTCATATTCCCTCTCCCTGCCTAGCGCGGTGAATTCATTAGCAGGATTGAACTTGTTCACTTCATCTTAAGCTGCTGATACTTGTCAAACCCCCGAGAAGAAAGATCCTCGAGTTTGAGGTAAAAATACTGTACTGACGTTGATCAGATGTGGGTGAGCAGCAGCGGCAGCAGCAATCTGAGCTCCCATCAGTGACTGACACATGCACTGTGCTACAGAGAGAGGCGAGGAATGTTTTAAAATGACAAGATGACTGACATCCACAGGCTCGGGGGCCTCTGTTGAGGTTCGCAGCTGATCACGTGGATGTTAGTGATTTGACAAATTGATAGGCATTTTGTGGAACAAGACCTAGTTCATAACCATAAGCAATTCTGTCATCATTATTCTTGTCGGTGCCACTATTTTCCATTACTTTAGGTGATCCGTCCCAGGTAAAGGTCAATAACATTATTCAAACTTTAATGGGAATAGTTAAACCTCAGAAACCAGCCACTTTTCTCCCTTACTCATACAATCGCTGAAATATGAAACCTCCCTCAAGTGATATGAAATACCTGCCTATTGGTCTTTTTAAACTTGACACATTATGGGATTTTTCCCTCTATTTAATTATTTTTTCTCAAGGTCAAACTCTTAAAATTAAACCGCCTGAACTGAGAGCAGCGACCAGCTCCTCTGCTGTCAGCGGCGCATCGTGAAAGCATGAATATAGAAGGGTGATGTTTCAGTTAGATGCCACTAATCCCATTTAAATGTTCAATTTTAATTTGGAATGACATGTTTAAGTGTAATTAGCACAATGGGGAAATTGAGAGTGAATGAATGTCTGAGCATGGCTTGTTTAGTTGGCTAATTGATTGATTGAGATTGATGGCATGCAGCACTTGGCTTGGCTGAGGTATAATTAAATGATGTGGGAATAAATAGTGAGCGAACAAAGGCAAACGCAACAGGCTCTATCTGCACATTAAATACCGCTCTTGTTTAGAACCAATACTAAAGGACTTGCATTATTCTTCTTTATTACTCTTATTGGGTTATTGAGTTGAACAACAACAGGAGAAATCCTTCAAACACAATGCTTTTGTATCGCCTTTTTCCCTCTGTCGTATACCTGGAGTTTTTATTTCAAGGTTTTATATATGAAACAAATATCATATCTACTTGGATTCTAAGTTTATACTAATAAGACAAGTTCTTTTTGTTTTACTTTTACTAGATTATTTTCACTGTTAATGACAATTTTAACCAGAAAAACATTCATTAAAAGCAAAGCATTCATATAATGTACACCAACCCATCTTGTCTGAGATAAAGTTGGCATCAGCCACACCAGACAAAATTAATTCGGTTGTTTCTAGTAATGAAGTGGTAATTTTTTTCCTTATTTTATCTAAACCACCATGGTATAAAACTCAGTTCTTAAATATCGATTAAGTTTTTCACGTAGAAACACAAGCTGACACTAGCGAAGCAATTTTAAATCCAACTTTTCCTTCATATATAGGACTATCAAATATGTTTTACATTGTTTTCCTATGAGAGTAAAGTCTTAGTGAGATTATATTACAAGAATAAAGCCTTAAGTACATAAAGCTGTTACAAGATTAAAGGCATATCATCACAAAATAAAGTTGTAGTTAATTAAAAGGACAACAACAAACTCAGAGAAAAGAAATCCATGGTGAATTATTGGTATGGCGTCGCCTCATATTTAACTCATATCATTATGACTGAAATAATTCACATTTGATTTTTCTGTAAACTGTGGTAACTTACAGCACAGTAGAGAAGGGACAACATCTTCAAACATATATCTCTACAAGGTTAATATAATGTTTACCCTCATTATCTGCCATCGCCTGTCCTGATTTGTTTTTTCTTCATGTTTTTGTGTTTTTGGGTGAAAACTCAAAGCCAGCACACTTCCTGTATGAAGCACCTAGATGGGGTACAACCTGCTATGGAAAAGTAAGCAAACCAGGGTTTATTGTACCACACTGTACTGATCTGAACCGATCCAGACCCCTTTATTGAAAATGTACCGTAAGACCCATCCTCGTGTGGCAACAGGCAAGAGTTTAAAATTAACCAGAGGAGTTTTGAAGTGAGAGAAATTTGAATAAATGCGTCAAAAACAAAAGGACAGGAAGAATATTGGTTTGGTTGTCCCCACTTTGGTGAATATTTGGTATCAAAGTCCACTGTTAGATAGGTAGGTAAGAAGGTAAAATACACACACACACACACACACACACACACACACACACACACACAGTCACATATAGAGACCCACCAGTCAGCCAAAAATCACACTCAGCTTGCCTTGTATAGGTCAACCATGTGGCACCAAAGCAGCTGTTACTTATCGAAGCATGGATTCCACCAGACCTTTTACGGTGTCCTGTGGTTTCTGGCACTGCAGCCTTTGCACAGGATCCTTTGAGTCCTGTAAATTGTGATGGGCCCTCCATTCATCAGATTTTTCCACACATTCCTGAAGTGATCGTTTGGCATAAGACCAGGGGAACTGAGACCTGAGGCATTATTTCAAACTCTTTGTAATTTCCCTTATTGCAGCAGGAGACACTGTCATCGGGATGTCAGCTGGGGGTGTACTTCATTTGATGATGCGAAAGCCTCTGACCCCGTCCTCAAACCGTCACCATTTGCTTCTCACCAGGGTCATTCAAGTCCTGCTTTTTATGCATTTTTCACTGGCTTCAAAGATGAAACTTGTCAAAAAGTGTGATTAGTTTCAAATAAAGTACCAGTCAACCAAAAAGGTATCATCATTAGGCTTCTGGAGCTTCAGTCAGAGCTGTTTTTTCAGAAAGCTACAGATCTTTCTGTCAGAGGGAAAGAGGTTATCATCACAAACTGTAAATTACCTAATTCCTGACAACTTTCAACCTTCACTGCTGCCTGTGTGTGAAAATAGAGGGACTGAGGGATTTAGCGGGGCAAAGCAATGTCCTTTTGTCAACAGCCCATTTTCAGCATTGACACGTGGTGTGCAGTTCTGTTTCTTTCTCTGCTTTAGGGCTTGAGCAGCTGTTTCAACACAAAACCAAAAAATAAGTTACAGAGGCGACACTGAAAACTACAAGTTTAAAATGTAGTTGAGAAAACTTCAGGTACGGCGTTTGACATAAACGTCTTGAGTGTGAATTAATCTAAATTACATTTATGGTACATGTCAAACCATCAAAACACCAAAGAAACCCTCAGTAAGAGTTCTGCTTTATCCTAACTATCAGAGTCCGTGTATTTATGTGATTTCAGTGAATACTTTCAGGCGGGTTGAATGATTTGAAAACAATCACTCCACTCTCAGAATCAACCCCCTGGGATGGTCGAAGCACGCCTTAATATTCATAATGAATAAAACGCGTAAAATGAAAAAGATTATTCATCACATTAAATGACTATTTGTTTCCTTCTAATAATGATGATTGCCGTTGTACACATGGAAAATATGAAGCCCATCAGAAAGCCTGATAATCAAACCTCCTTAGAATTTATCAAAAACAATATTTTTATCATTGAAAGGTTTGCTGTTGATGCAGTTATTATGCTGTTTATGATACTGTATGCCTTTACATCATATAGTTTTTAATCAAGTTATCTTAAAGGGATAATTCAGTGTTTTTAAAGTGGGGTTGTATGAGGCACTTGTCAATAGTAAGAGTAGGGAAATTGGGTTGTGAGGAACTTTTGGTTTGTGTCAGTTTTGGCGCCCCCTGTGGACTAAGCAGGCTTGCTTATTAGTCTAGATGGAAAAGGGGGTCCAGCGCACTCCCTGGCATTTTTTATGCCACCTGTTTTGTTTTTTTAAATTCTTGAAGTGAGTATTTTCATAATATGTCAGGTATCAAGCTGAATCAATGTCCAAAAGGCCTTAATTTTTAACTCTTTATTGTACTAACCCCCACTCAAAAAAAATCAAAATAAGAGTGGGATAAATTTTGATGTAAACAACTAATGGACAAATTAACAAATTTCCCTTACAATTTTGACACGAGTAATTCAATAAAATATTTATTTTTAATATTTAGACAACTATCTTGTCCTCTACATGCTTGAAGAAGGGTTATTAAGCCTTTGCAATTTTTTTGGCTTTTTATTGTCCCTCTGATAGCTTCTCAGCAGCTTTACATGATCAACAGTTCAACAAATTCTTGGCTTATTTCAGGCTGTTATTTTTGAAAACCACAAGGAAATCAGGTAGGGACTGACATACACACAGACATGCATCAACATACAATGAGCCAACAAAGACAAAGAGGGAGACAGGGACTATATACACACTGGGAAACGAGCAACAGGTGAGGTAGACAAGACACAGGTGAAACTCGTAGGTGATTAATGGAGGAGGGAAAACTGAGGAAGTAAAACTCGACTACACACACACACAGGCATCAACAATTAAACAATACAACAGGAAGCCAAACTAAACCAGACACAAACTGAGCACTCACAAAACAGGATCATACTGAAAAACACATCTAAATAACAAAACCAGAAAAAACTAAAACAACAAGATTCAACCATGACAGAAGTTGAGTTTTTCCCCGTGCCTCTTATTTTTTGTTTGTTTTGTTTTGTTTTCAGTTGGACATTTTGAAGAGCAAGTTTTTTGTTGGAGTTTTTTGCCTTTTACTTTTGCTTGAATAAATCCTTAGTTCTGCACGTGTGTCCTCTCTTTTGTTTTGTGTTCCCAACGTGACCATTTCAGCTTCTATCTGAAACATTTAATCAAAGCTACTGCCCCTTTAAGGCCCCACTCAGCATTCCACAACCTGGGAGCCTCGTTCACTGCTGCCATGCATTTAAGTTGTGTTTCTTTTAATAAAATGACAAATTTGCCCTTTTAAGGAGATTCACTGTCAGGCAGTGTCACAGTTTGAGTGATTCTCATTTTGATCTCCTTGAATTCTCATGTGACTTTTTGAACAAGCCATTCAGAGCACCATATAGTCCCATCTAGGGATTACCTTAGCACATTAAAACTTGTGATCTGAAATTTTCTTATGCTTAGTACCAACATCCAACATTTAAATTTAGTGTATTGGATAAGGGTTAGGGTTATGGTTAGGGTTAGAGGCCCCATCAATATTTCTTATACCTGGCTGAACAGTTTTGCGCCTTTACCCAACCAAACAGCAAGTGTTTCACTTCATGATTTTCCAATACGACTTAAATTTTTACTGAAATCTTGTGACTTTTTGAACAAGCCATTCAGAGCACCATATAGTCCCATCTAGGGGTCACTTAAGCACATAAAAACTTTGGTTGGGGTTAGGGTTAGGGTTAGATATTCAATGTATATTTCTCATACCTAGCTGAACAGTTTTGCGCCTTTACCCAATCAAACAGCAAGTGTTTCACTCCATCCATTTATGAATATTTCTTATACCTGATTAAACTGTTTTGCACCTTTACCCAACCAAACAGCAAGTGTTTCACTTCATGCTTTTCCAATAAGCCTCTCAGTGAACCTTTTTTCTATTTAAGTACCCAGCTGATGAAAAGGGTTTTTGCTCGTTTATAGATGTCGACCCTCTGGTTTTATACAATGTGGAGCTAAAGTTATTAAAACATACTGCTAACATGCAGGAAGTGATTTATAATTTCGAGCAAGTGATGTTCAAGCAAGAAAAATGCTATGTCACTTTCCTTGAAACAGATTAGCTAGTTATTTCATACAATGATGAAGGACGAACACCTGAAGCCTGCGATAACCACAACACAATTATCTTCGACTGCTACAGTATGACCCAGAGAAATCTGCATTAATTAAAGCACAAACAACCAGGCTGTTAATCCTGTAGGAAAGTGTCAGGGAGAAGAGACACATGTTTGTGAGGTGATTAACTCACTCACCTGAAAGACCCTGTGAACGGCACTATAGGCTTGAATGTCAGTGATGTTGCTTCTTGATGTTTAATGCTGTGATACTTAATCAGATTGATGTTTACCAGCGGCAGGAAATGTGTTAGATGTGGATGGTGGATGTTTTAGATGTGATTAATTGGAAATAGCTCTTCTCTTACCCATCTCTCACCAGAAATGAGGAAAAAAAGGTTAAGTGTTTCTGACAGGAAATCTGTAATTATCTGCAAAGCCGGGGCTCCAAGCTGTATCCTCTGATGTTCCTTTAACCAAATCTCAAGGTGACTCCTTTCTGTGGAAGCGCAGAGAAGTTTCCCTTATGCCAAATTCACATTGATGTTCCGCTTCATAGCCAGCGCCCAGATACAATAAGCAAGGCAAACATTTCCCAATCTCCTGCTCTTATCTTCTTCTTCTGCTACGTCTCTGTGTAATCTTTCAATCATATTTAGTATTGTTGATGCATAATTAATTTCAATTTAAAGTACACTTTTTAATTTAAATCACCTAGATAGCGGTATCTCCTTTGAGATAGCGGTGAAAATGCTTTTGTTGCAATACAAGTTTATTTAGCCGCCTTGCTTCCTTCTAACGCTCTGCAACGCCTCAATGGATGTTTTCTCACTTATGCTTTGTGAGCGTGTTTCAGTCGTCTGCATATGAAAGTGTTCTATTTTTGTGGGACAGCCTGTTACAGTCTTTAAAAAATGTCTTGTACACAGCCTTGAAGTCAGTCACAGAGAGCCTTCGTGGGCCTGCGAATTGCTGCAGGAACATTGCCACCTCAATAATTTATCACTCTCAGTCTATTTTCACTTATTAAATTAATCAGTTAGGTAATTAAAAGTTACATGTTTAATTAAATTGGCATTGAATTCAAACACAAGGAAAGAAAGGCATCATGGGATGAAGTTCATCAGCTCAAATGAGCTTGAACTTAATTTCAATTCCATATGGGAAGATGTGGATAAGTTAAAAAATTATCTATTTCGCGCTCTGTGACCAGTGCAGACTCTTTTGAAATAAGAGTTGCTGATAGAAAGACAAAGAAGGAAGTACAACAGAAACAGGAAGGTGATTAAAAGTTTGAAGCTCTTTGCAAACCCATAATACAAGAGGACAAGGTGTAATTCTGAAAGGCCTAACAGGCCTGACGTGAGAGGTAAAATCATTTGGGCTCTGCGTTTTGTTCAGCAAATCCAAGAAATCCAGAAAAACAGTGATACCTCCTGAGCATTAGTAATAAATATCTGAAAGACGTGGCTGGAAATGGTAAGTTTAAGGTATTCTAAGGCAAGGCACTGAACCCCAAAGAGCTCAAAGAGTAACCCTAACCCTCAAAGAGTGCGTGAATGCATGTGTCTGTTACAGCACCATCTACCTTCAGTGTCTGGGTGGTTTAAAACAGCTTTGAATGAATAAGTATGGCTGACTATGATGTTAAAAAAAACAGAATTTGGTAGTTTGCAAATCATTTAAACCCCGTACTTAATCAATAATAAAGCAAAATGATTTCTGGTGCCTCTAGCAGACACTCAGGGAACTGCAGTAACTCTAACCCTGGCGCTTCTGAATCCACTTTATTTCTCGAGACCACAGGTTGCCGCTTAGTTGCATCACCTCTTCTTTTAACAACACTTGATTAACATTTTGAAACCGAGGAAACCAGGAGTTATGAAAATGAAATGTTATCCCTCTTTAGCCGGATAAAAGATTGCAGCTACTCAATATTTCAAGGTCTCAATTTTTTATTTCATGATAACCAATAAACTGTTTCATTGGATCACAAATCAGGACTGAAAGCAGCGTTGTCTTGCTGAAAGATGCAGGATTTTTTTCTTTTTCGAGGGCATGATGGAGTACATGTTGCTCTAAAATAAAACCCTAACGCCTAACCCTACTTTCCTGTACCATCATGGATGCAGGATTTGAACCGTAGGCTGATAACAACCAAGGTGGTCCCTCTGCTCTTTAAAGTAGATTTATGGAGCATCAAAAATTGCTTTTCTCAATTCCACAAACGGGAAATGATCGGTCAATAAGGATCAGTTAAGTCTACTCCACAAGATGCCTGTAATTAGCCTCAGTAAAGTTTGTTTTTGTCCACTTTTCAAGACGTTTTCATTCGATTTGTCGCCACAAATCCACATTCCCATGGTAGGATAATCTCTATCAAAAGGTGAGATGTCATAAAGTCCGGCCATTACATTGTTTTGGCTTTGTAGGGCAGCACAAATGATGGAGGACTGGATAGAGAGGTTCATAGACAAATACAGAAAAATGTTTGGTAGCTTTTTCATAGAGTTTGTTCAGCTGTGCAAAGGATTCAGTTTTTCACTTGGTGAAACAATGCTGAGCAGAGCTGTTTATCCAGTTTGCCTGTGTGGTCATCTCCACACGTCTGCACCGAGTCTGAGTTAACACAACAATTCAGATTGTACACAGGCAGTGTGGCAGAAACCACGAGAGGACGAAGGAATCTGTCATCTAAATTATAATTCTTGTGCTATCACTGGGTATTCACTTTAAGACATAAAAGCCGGAGTCTGAGAGATGTAGTTAGTACCCAGTGTTAGCACACTCTTACCATGTCATTGTGATGTGAACAAAAGAAATCTGAGCTAGTGAAACAAGAAAAATGTGTACAGAAAGGAACAAATGAGACAAGTTAGAGGGAACAAGAAGGAGCACATTGTCTACTACAGTTAATTAGCATTTGATGCACAGTAGTCCAACCAACCAGCTATTTTCAGACGTCTATTATAGACCTTGAGTAATTACCGCAAATGTGAGAAACACGTTCTTCAGTTATGTTATTAATTACTTGTAAACACATCATTGGATCTTTTACCTCTATTAGAGACAGTTTCACTTCTTGCGACATAGTAAAGGTTTGTTTTATTTTCAGAGAGAGCACAATTAAGTCCTTTTCACACATGAGGGGGAAAACAGTTTAACTCTCTTTATTTACTTTGATTTGCATGAAGGTGCCTTTTGCCTCTTCATAGTAATTTTTGTGTCACTTTTTGTCAATTATGTCACCTCGAGCCATTCAGTGGAACAGATCTCAAAAGAGGAAAATAGGGAGATGAGACATTTATGTAAGGCAGAGGCGTTTATTTCAGCACATAGTATTTTCTCTGTATTCTTAAATCAGAATTGCACTAAACTTTAACAACAACCTTTTTTGGCACCAGAATAAGTGAGAAAATACATATATTTTTAACCTCAGGCCCTGACTCATTTTCAGTAAAGAACATATTTTATGCTGCATATGTGGTGTTGGAGGTCCACTGGAACAGGCTGATGTGTTTTGCAGACTGTTGTGTTCATAGTGTAGACTGATTTAAATGTGTTCGATGTCTGACTACGTTTTTGGGAATCAACATTATAAATGATATTTAAAAACTTGTTTTAGATTTGTTTTTTCTCCATATCTTGAATTAAAGTCTCTTAATAATTGCATTTTAGAACAAAAACTGAAAAGCATTTTAATTCAGAAAAATGGGTAAAAGACAAATATCAACCATAACTGCAGTTTATAATACTTGCTCCTGGGTTAATATAAATACTTCTACTTAAATTGCTGTGGCTGTATTATATAATGCAAGGGGTCAACCAGATCATGAGTAACTAAACAACAACTCCACATGAGGGTTAAATAAGAGAGAAAATTTGTTCGACCCTAACCCATAAAAGTTGCCAAGAACTTTTCAGTAAAGTTCCTCAGATTTTGGTCTCATATCAAAATCTGCAGTGAGATATCTAGAGAGGAAGTATTGAAGAAAATAAGGAAAGAATGGAGTAGAAGAGAAAGGAAAAGAAAAAAAGAGAGGAGAAGGAATAAATGAAGAAAAGGAAGGGAAATGAATAAGAAATAAATATCAAGAAAAAAGAAAAGAGTCAGAAAAGGAAAGAAAAGGAAGGAAAAACCCTGGTTATAATAGCAGTTCATGACATTCACTTTTAAAAACGAGAACTCTCTCTAAAACTTCCATTTTTAAATTAATTTTTAAACTTTTTAATTCATTTTATGTTAAATTTACCTTTTAATTTTAACGTCTAATCCTTAAATCACCTTTTACTACTGCACATGTTTTTCTGAGTGTTCAGTGACTTAGTGGAAACTTGACAAAGTTCTGTGTCATTTAGTTTGTTTTTGTGTCATTTGTCTTGGAATAACATCAGTGTCTTGGATCCGGGTAACACAAAAAGGGTAAGTACTCAAATTGCAGATCAAAAAAGAGGATTTATTTTAAAAGGGATTGAAAGAAGAAAAACAAAAACCTTCTTGGAAGGTCAAACTGAAAAATTCCCAAATTTACCACATACACAGGTAAATGAGAAACGAGAGGCAGGTGAGACACTGAGACACAGGTGCAGTAAATCACAGAGGAGGGAAAACTGAGGGAGTAAAACAAGACTAGAAACACGGGGAAAGAGCTACTACAAAATAAAACAGGGAAAAATCACACAGAAAAAACACTCGGGGGAAACCAAAAACCAGGGAAAAACTAAAAACCAGAACATATCATTACAATCAGAGCTTTTATTCATTATGTTAAGTTTGGAAAACAAGTTTGCCAAAAAAAAAAAGAAAGATTTCATCCAAATTACAAAATGTAAACAACTTGGAAGTGAGGTAATTTTACCCTTTCATAATAAACTCTAAGACCTGATGGATGTGCATGGGAGACCGCAGAAGTTTTCTCTCAGAAAGCATTTCCACCTCCACCCCAAAGCACATTTGCTTCAGTCCAATTTAAAAAGGCCGAGTCAGAAAGATAAATTATGTCCAGGCATGCTTTGTTTCTTAATGCAGAAATTAAATTGAGGTCTTAAATGCATAAATTAAACGCTTGTGAAATTACAGAAGGTGGAGCCTGAAGCCAGCGAGGCTCCTGTTCTGGTCTCAACATGAGTGAGTGTGATTGCTTTTCTATTCAGATGCAAGTTTCCCCTCAAACAAATTTCATACTCGGATCAGCTCATTTGGTCCACTTGCAACAACACATTAGCAACGCCGAACCCTTTGACTGGATAAGACTGTTAACTTTGGCATCTCTGGTTACATAGCGCTCAGCCATCCAGGTAGGAGGTCTTTTAGGGGTTTCAGGTGTGACAAATAAAATCAACCCGCTGTGACATGGATCCTGTCAAACTGTGTGTCTTTTGTTTCTTTCTCATTAGTGATGCCCTATGCTTTTAAATCCTGTTAAATTTAAAAACCACTGAACTGTTGAGCCATGCCCCCCAAACAACAGATGTATCATTTACAAGTAAATGCTCCAAATGGATTCACATGGCTAAAGCTTATTCAACTGGTGGTTACCTTTTGAACTACCTGTAATGCCTTTGGATAATTACATTCTGTTTCTCGGGCTATTATTCATCAGTGAAAGGTCAAGAGTATTATTTGCAACACAAACTGTTCGGGCCAGCACACACACGTCTGGTTGCTCAGTCACTTTGATATGCATGTGAATGTCAAATTAAAAAACTGAGCCCTAATAGGCAGCCATTACTGTGAGCGAGGAGCCTTTGTGTAAACCTGAGGTCTAATCACTTATTCAATCACAAAGCTCTGTGTCCCTGCTCTCCTCCACTGCTCCCTCGAAGAGCGACTGTTTTTTTTATTTTTATTTCAAACACCATGGTTACTCTCGAATGGAAAATAAAATTTTCCTGCCCATAGCCGGCGCCTAATTGTTTATCAGAAGTACTAACAAGGTTGCTGTAATTAAATCAGGATCCATTGTCATGCTAACCAGCTGATTAAGCGAGCCATTGATGATCTTTCTTGCTTTAACTGGTGGCAACGACTTTTACGGGTGCAGACACACAATCAGCGAGGTGCTGAAAAGATAACAGAAACACGCCTAAAAGTAGAAAGTGACATCTACTTGTTTAGCTCTTGTGAAACTTATCGCCTCACCGTCAACACCGAGGACAACGTGGCACCGAGTCAGGACGCCAGAGAGCAGATCAGACTTTTTCTTTCTCTGTCAGATAAACAGGGAAACAAAAAATAGATGCATCATCTTTAATGTGCTGCTTTGTGTGCTCCTAATGCATCTATTTTAGGGCACTATTTCCGGCCATCACATGGTTCTATCTATACACCACAGCTGTGGCTTTTAAAAGAAAATACTTCTGATTGCATATTCACTAGAAGAAAAGTGCGAAACTCATATTTAGACTGATGTAAACTTAAAAATAAGCCCTGACAGGATTCATCTTTATCAAAAAGGATTTTTTATGGAGTCGAGGCTTCTACCGCACCATTTTACTATTCAAATATGCTCTGCACTCTACAGTCAAGATCCATCAAAGAAAAAACAAGGAAGTGTACATTCATAAAGTTCCAATAATGTTTTGTAATGGTACATTAGTCTGTAATGAACAACCAAAAATGGTTCTTTATGGAGCCACTAAAGTGCTGTGAACCAGAGAGGCACAGCTCCTGCCATGTGCTACATCGCTAATAATAAAAACGTGCAGGCTGCAGCCGCAGTAAGAACCATTTAGGATTTTAAATTGCACCTCCAGAAAGAAAGAAAGAAAGAAGTCTATAATGCACAATTTCGTTCAATTCTTAAGAGTCATCTCTCGGAGTGTGTGCAGGGAAACTTGTACTGCACAGATCACCTGCCCCCTGTAGGGGTGATGGTCCTTTCACCTTCCAGCTGCTTGCGTTGGCCACTGCACGCCTCACACATCCCATCTCTCCACCTGGACTACACCAGATGTTCTTGAATAATTTCTCACGCAGGTGAAAGTTCCCTCCTCTTTGCAGCTAAGCCTCAACTTGTTCCACATGTCCTCCAATTCATACCCATCAAGACACACGTACACAATTTTCTGCTCATGTATTTCCTACCCTGAAAAGTGAGGCAGAAGGTGAGCAGTAGGGCAAAGGAGGGCCTTTTTCCCCACTCATTTCATTTGCCCCTCACTGAAAAATAAGACTTTAACCTTATCCTGAAAGGTGGCATGTCTCAAATGCATCACAATGTCCGAAAAAAGCAGATGGCTGTCTAGCAGGGCAACAATTCTCTTTCTGAAACGCTGAATAATACATGCATATCTTTGTGTGATCTGGCGAATTCAATAGCCTATGGAAAAGGGATTGCTCTCAACGTAAACCATTTTGCTTGAGGCCGTTCTTTTTCTTCAGGTCCAGTCTCCCATAAATAATTTGCCTTCAACCTTCACATGCATAAAAATTGCAACTTGTTGGTTATGAGAGAGAACAGTGAGGATGCACTTTGAATGCCAATGCGGCGATGAATAAACAATGGCTCACTGCCCCAGGAGCAATGCAGAGCTGCCAGGAGACATAGCTTGGAGTCCGAAGGCGCTCTTAATGGTTTTTCACCACAGACCCAGCCTTTCAGTCAGCTGTGAATGGGAGGATGTTTTGATCTGGTGGGGTGGGGGAAACACTTAAATTATTTCCAACAAAGCAGCAATTCCCCGAGGCACTTTGGACAACCTTTGCTGATTCCCTCTGATTATCCTCCAGCCACTCAGCTCACTTGAAATCACGTCTGAATGGGCTTCCTATAGCAACAAGCTTATCTTAGGCCAGGAGTGGCCTCATTTTCAGGCATCATCTACAGCTGAGGTCACCCCCATAGTCAAATAGAGGATTCATCACCCTAAAGGTATTGTTCTACATTAATTCCGTGTTGTTTTCACAAATAACACTATGGAAATTAAGAAGACATACACGCCATACCAGAAAGATCTTGTGCGAAAATTTCTGAGCAGATACAGGGCGACAGAGAAGCAAATCAAGGTAATCTCCCCAGAATGAAAGTGGTGCTTTCAGATGTTTGCAGTGCTACAGTGCCACCTGGTGGAGAAGAGGCGCTACTGTAGATCTGCAGGTAATGAAACAAACAACAAACTACAAACTACGGTGTTTGTCGGGTCTGGAGTTGGGAAAACACCACCGAAAATGAAGAAATAGTAAGTTTCCTTAAATTTTACTTCCTGGGCGATAATAAAAAAAAAAAAAAACCTCATAATCTACGACAGGTGGGGCTGACAACTCTGTTTATGTGTCTGTTAGCAATTAGCATCTATTTATTTAAGCTAACACATAACCATGAGCTAGAAAGGCATCCAAAATCACCTTATATTGCCCCCAAGACATTTGAATTTCGTTATGGTTTGTCTTAAGATCCGGCTCATTGATAGCATGAAACTTTTTTTCCTGTTGAAGTTGTAAAAATCATAACAAAGACGGCTGCCTACCTGCCCTTGAAGTGAGGGTTGAAACTTGGGCCAAAAGTTTCAGATCTTTCTCTTTGCAGGTCAGTTTGTTCCAACAAACCGGCAGAGGGGCATGGTGTAACCTTTAAATAACCTTTGCATTTTGTATATTTGAACTATTGTTGCTCTTTTTATGTGGCTCTCTGAGAATCCAATACCTAGCACTCCATTAGACTCTCTTATGGGAGGGACAGGCTAGTGTTGTGTCGTTCGCGAACGATTCGTTCGAAAGAACCGAATCTTTCAAGTGAACGTACTGAACCGAATCACGTTCGTTTCTCACTTTAGTTAAGCTGTCAGCCAGGCAAGCAGCCAAGGAACAAGGGACTGCATGCGTCAACGTCTGAATCAGTTGGTAAACAAATCACGCATTGAACTACACTCTTGAATCACTTTTTCAGGCAAAACTAATTTATTATTTTTATTTTTTACTACTAAATTTCCACTACAACAACTTGCATACAATAGGACACAGCATGTTACAAGTAGTGCATTAAACCCACAGCATCCTATCATTGCGGCTGTTTGCGAGGGAACGGTGCATGTTCTGAATCCTGTTTGTCAAAGCAACACAGCCGAAGACTCTCATCTCCCGGTCCCAGAAGCTATGAATTGAACTGAATCCTGAATGTTCAGCTGTGTATCAGTTTAAAAGGTCGGAGTCGCAGGCTTCTCCTGCCAAGCGCTGAATGATTTGGTGAACGAATCTTTTGAACAAATCTTTTTGGTCAACTAATTCCAGTGATTCAGTACATCTAAAAGAACTGCCGTGCCGATCACTACTGTAGCTAGAAGGGAAAGCTGGTGTGCATATTAAAAAAACACACCTGTCCTTGGATGATGTAACTTGAGCCCATTACCTGTTGCATTGTAGGTCACGTAGGTGTGACTTTTTCTAATAAAATTTGTCATATCTCTGGGCTGATAGATGAATAGAATCTGATTTGGAGTCACCAGAGATTTCTAAAAGTGGCTGCTTACCCAAAAATTTAATATCAATCACACAAGAGTTCAACAAACCATAATCAATGATATAATATATCTTTATTTTTAGGACCGATACTAAAATAATGCATTTAACATGTCTTAACAGAATATCCTCATCTACATGTTTGGATTTGAAATAGCATCTTTAATGAATAAACAACGTCATATTCAATTTAAAACAACACATTGTTAAAAGTCCCCCTAAAAGAGAAAAGAAATGTTCATTTAGTGACAAAACCACAATGCAATACAAAATACACTTTACCGAATAAGCTAATTTGCATTTACTGTATCACTAGCATATTTAGCCACGGTAGCTCTGACCTTAAAAGGAATCATAGCACTCATTGTTATTTTAAGATTGCATTACACAATGTGTGAGAAAGGAAAAAAAGAAAAGTCAGAAACCATGAGTGTTTTTTTTTTTCATTTTACCCTGCAAAAAGTGCTAATTTAGTTTTTAACAATGATTCAGAGCAAGCTGTTTTTTTACAGAAACAAAAATATATACTGTATATCAAGAGGCTTCATGTACACCACGTTAAGACAATGTGTTTCATACACAGTTATCCCCAAAAGTGCTTGTTGAAGTCTGAGCAGACTAGAATAGAAAACAAAATTTACAGTACATTGGCCACATGTTAGCTGTGTGTTGTTTATACAAATATAATACATTTAAAATGAATGTTAATTTATACACATTCCTACACTGAAATCATGTTAATAGAACCAAATACTTAAGTTTTCATTTCAGTTGTTTAGACATTAAATAAAATATAAAAAGCCATCAAATTTCTCAAACATGCCTGTTGTTACTGTAACTTTCCAATCACAAAATTTAAGACAATATCTGCTTATGATTTACATGTTCTCTCTTTACTTCCCAAAAGCCATTGCAAAATATGAAACTAACAGTGATGGCGACAGTAGGGTTACCAGCAGCAGGCTCACTTCACACTTTTTAGCAGCTCCTGAAGGTTACAACAAACACACTCTCAACACAACAGTCTGTTGGTCTGGCAGAGGATAAAGTGCTGTTCTCCTTTGGCCCCAGCGTAAAATCAGAAAAAAAAAAAAAACAGTGGTCAGCATCACTCGAAGACCCCAGCCTCTGATCTCAGTGCAGCATGATAAAAACCCTCATGACCCAGGGCCTTGGACAGCAGTCTCTGCCCACGGGGAGACATGCAGCCTGGGTTAGGCAAATATCCGGCTGCAGCTTTACCAGATCTTGTGGCTTTGGGTCTTGGAGCTGCGTAATACCCCTCCATGTGGTCATATTGTGTTGGCCTGACTTTAGTGCTCTGAGTCCTTCTGGTGGGCTGAGAAGAAAAGGATCCCAGGTGTTCAGGATCTAGAGGAGATTTGGCGTGGTGATGATAGTAGTGTCGGTGTTCCCTGGTGCTTTGCGACCTCCCCTGTCTCCTGAGGATGCCGGGTTTCACAAGCCCGGAGCAGCTGTTGACGGCGTTGGTCATCATTAGTTGATCTTGGTTGTGACCTCGTGTTTGGCTTCTGTCGTTGTGCTCAGGGTTTTTCACGTTGGGACAACTCCTTTCTGGAAGCGAGGGGATTTTGCGAAGAGGTGGCTGTCGTGAAGATCTCTCTTGGATGTGACTCTGTCTAGACTTTCCTGGATTGGCACTTGACCGCTGACTATACTGCGGCCTCGTGACCCCGAGATCCTCCTGGTAAGACCTCGGGGATGTTGGGGATATATCAACTTCAACATTTTCCTTTTCTGCCTTGTTAGCGGAAAGGAGACAGGCGTTTCCAGGGTCTGACTTGCTTCTTGTGTGCATTATGTCCCTGCTCCTTGTATCAATAGGTGATCCAGGGCTCTCAGGAGGTGACACGGCAGGACGAGCACTTTTATGTCTGGATTTACTCTCCTGTTTGACCGGTTGATAAACGACTCTTTCGAACACTTCTGCGTCTCTGGCCTCATAAACCACAGTGTCCCTGCTTTTTATGCAAAGCTCCCTGTTTGCAGCAGGGACGTGTTGTGGAGAGTAGTTGTAATACTCTGGTTGTTCATCTTCCATTGTGGATCGTACGGTATAAGACTGACTGTGTTGGAAACCGCGTGGCTGACTCGGCTCTACGTAGAAGTGGGCAACATCTACAGGGTTCACGTCAGAGTAAGGGTTGTAATGATACTCAGGACGTTGGTTCTCAAAGTGTGACCGGACGGGCTGAATGCCAGTCTGAATCAGCCTCTGATAGGGTGCCTCCTGGCTTGCTGTCTGCTCAACATAAAACATGGTGTCAGGGGGCAGCACTTCTGTCTCCGCCAGCTCGTAGTGACTAATCTGAGGGGCATGGAAGGAGCGGGCCCTCCGGATGGCCGGGTGCCTCATTATTCTATCTTCTGACCTCTGCCACTGACTTTGTTGCCTAGGGGGGCCTCTGATAAGGTGCTCTCCTCTGTGGTAACGTCTGTACTGAGGTGACAAAGGGTGTCGTAATCCTAAAGTGCTGTAGCGGCCTTCAGAAGACTGTCTGTACAAACTTTTCGGCCCCATGAGGTGATGTGGCAGAGCGCTGGGCCGAGGGCAGTAATGTGCAGGCATTCTTCCAGTTTGATACGTCTGATGAAGATGATGATGATGATGAGGATGAGGATGACTGTAGAAATCATCGACAAGGCCCAGAGGTCGGTCGTCCTCTGTGCTGTAGTGATGTAAAGGGCGTGGGAGGACCTCCTCGATTGAGGCAGGCATGGAGGTCTCTGCCAGAATAGCGCGGAAGTTGAATACATTGACAGAGTCGGTGTTCACATATACGGGAGACGTCAACGGACTATCAGCTGAGCAGGCCGGCTGGGTCGGTGTCGAAACGCCAACACTTTGATAGGTTGGTTCTGCTTGTGTTCCACCTCTGGGGTCTTTTTCCTCTCTACGGTTCCTCCTCTCGGCGGTGCCTTCATCCAAGCTACCTGACCCGAGCGGACTCACATTAGGGGTGTAATTGCACATGCTTTCCTGTCCGTCAGCGACCTGTAACGGCTCAGAGCCAAGGTGTGCAGGTAGGAAATGAACTGGATGAGGGCAGCAGTGGGTCTCCACAGGGCTGTGTGCTGATGTTTGCCACTGGGAAGCAGACGGAGCGTGGGGGCCGCAGTACTCCTGAGGATACACTTTAAGATCCAGAACCGAAGGCCTGGGGGGTCTCTCCTCGGCGTAAGCAGCTTCTGGTCTCTGGTGAGGGCGCGATGAGACGTCTTTTCTTCTCTGGGAACCGCTGCTGGCCTTCTGGGCAGACTCAGCAAGAGCCAAAGCCAACTTGCGGGCAGCACTCGTCAAGGGAGGGTGAGGAGGGAGAACAGATACTGAACTCATAAGTCTATCTGTTCCTGGGGAGGGATAAGACAAACAACGCTACAGTATGACAGGACAAACAAAGCTATGGTAAGACATGATGGGGAAAGACACAAAAGCTTTCATAAGAAACTACAGCACGCATTATTGTTTAAATAGATTCTAACTATATGTAAATTAATGTTGGTGTGGAGTGGCACTGACCTGGATCAGGCAGGTTCTGAGCAGACTGGCTGAGCTCCGTCAGAGCTGACGCCTGGCTCGCTGTGCTGAGAGGGCTGCAGTGTGGGTACGGCGCCCTCGTCTCTTTTCCATCTGCCAGTGGAGCTTTATGCCTCTCCAAAGGTGGAGAAGAAGAGGGAAGAGGTGGAGGTGAGGCAGATGCGTTCTGCGCGTCCGCTTGCGATCGTAGAGATTTCTTCCTGAGTTTTGGAGAGAGCGGCTGGGAGGTAACCTTCTTTGCACTTTTACCTAAAACCGGGCTGATATCAGGGGATGGAGAGCAGCTAATGTTGTTATTAGGAGAGGAGATGGGCTCTGATTCGCTCGAGCATCCTGCACTCTTCCTCCATTTATTTCCATCTTTGCTGTGTTGAAGCCCAGGCGTCCCTGAGGGTGGGCTGCACTGAAAAGACATGGGGTCAAAGTCCAAACTAAAAATGCCCGCAGCAGGTGGACAAAGATCCAGATCCTCTTCCTGGTATGGAGGTGAAATACACGCAATAGTGCGGACGCTTTCAGCACCGTCATAACTTTTAATGGGTTGGTAGGTTCTGTGGTCCTCTTTGCTCTTGGGTTTGCGTAGTTCATCTTTGCAGACGGCAGATTGGGCCTCGCTAGTTGAACGGGGTCTGCGTGAGCGGTACACTGGAGTTTCCCCTGAGATGGAAACCAACAAATACATTAATATGTCTTCAGAGGAATTGATTTAAAAACAATTTGGAGCAACTTTTAATCAATAATTACCTTCAACATTGTGCAAAGAGGTGAGAGATTCCTCACTCTTGGTGGAGCGTAACGTGCCGCTATCTCCTCTTCCACCTGCAAATGTTTTCATATCCAATTATATTCCTCCCTAAATTGAATCATCCCCCTCAAGAGCGTGTCCAAAACACTTGTCTGTCAGGTTTATTTGAATAACTTAACAGGCTTAAAGTTATTTTAAAAAGTCCCGACACAAGCTCTGAAAGGTGGAAATGAAAAAGTTTTCTGGCCGTGTAACAGTAGCAGTGATCTGACCTGGCAGTGCGATGCTCTTTATCTCGTTCGGCTCGCTGGGGTGTCGCTTCAGCTTACGTTTGGATACAGACTGGGACTTGCCCAGATGGAAAAAAGAGAGCCAGTTCCCCACAGGAGACTTCTTGGCTTTGGCAGGAGGCCGCTTGGTGCTACAACACAAAAACAAGTCCTTCTTAACACCTATCTCATTCAACAAAAGTGCTGACTGTATCAGTCATAAGATACAAAGAGAGAATTAAAGTTCAGACAACTTTTTAAATTAAAGGAGTATCCTGGCGTAAAATTAATTTAGGGTCAAACATTACTCATAGGAAATCATAACATAACATAAACATAACTCACCTACTCTCTTCCAGCAGCCGCTTGTTTGTAGCGAGACCTCAAGCTAGTCCATTACAGACTACAGCGGGGTGACGCAGCCCAAGGAAGAACATTTATGATAATTTCTTTATCATTTCCTTGAAGTAATAATCACCATATTAATCATTTTGCACTGAAGACGCGGTAGTTCTTTTGCCTTAGCGTCTCAGTCTGATTGCATTTCCATAAAGAAATGATCATAAATGTTCTTCCTTGAGCTGCGACACCCCGTAGAAGTCTGTAATGCACCTGCCTGAGGTCTACATACTAACAAGCGGCTGCCGGAAGAGAGTAGGTGAGTTGTGTTGGTACTAAAGTTGGTAAAACTAGAGAAGCAAGCGGTCTGCAACATTCATCTCTCGAGGGGGTGTCTAACTCGGTGTTGCGGTGTGTTTGACCCTAAATTAATTTTACTCTGGAATATCACTTTAAGGTTTGAAGTAACACGGTGAACTTCTTTATTGTTTCAAACACATGGTAATTAGATTTTCAAACACAAAGAGCATATAAAACAACAAATCCAGGGAACTGATAAATACCTCTCCATGGGGAGCTCTATGACAGTGTGGAACTTGCCAAGCAGAGCTCCTGGTCCCTCCCCGACCTCGATGTAGTCACTGTGGGTGAGGCATGGCGTTGTGGCCGGGGAGCTGAGGTGTGCCTGAGTGCGGGCCTGGGCCTCCTCCAGGGACAGTAACTTGGTAGATGGGGAGCAGACCAGTAGGGACTTGGGTCTGGCTAAGGTGTTGTTACCTAAAATAGGATTTTGAGAGAGTATTAGATGTGTGTATAACTTCAGAAATGTGCCATGTGGGATTTGATCTCCACTTAAACCCACCTGTGCTTTCTCGTATGATGGCATTAAGTTTAGGACTAAAAAGAGCCTCAGTGTTGTTGAGAATGAACTCAACCACCACCGACTGGATCCGGACCTCCATGAACGCCGCTGTGCCACTAAAACAGGCCGACTCGATTTGTCTGGACCTGAAACACAGTTACAGTACAGCACAACCTATTTCACGGCTCTGCACCACTGAGACGTGCTCCAGTTCACTGTCACAGAAACACTTCACAGCGACGTAGACACTGATAAGTACTACTTTACTCAGTTTGCATGCAGAAATAATGATCGTTCACCTGAGCAGGTTAGGAGCCCAGACAATCGCCAGGTTTTTCGTGTGCATGTTGGTGGTAGAGCTGAATGTAGCCAGGTGGGAGAGGTGTCTCATGAGGTACTCCAGAGTCCTGTGGATAAAGAGAGGTTGGAATAAATACAAAATATGACAGAGAAACCCAGAATATTTTTTTTTCAGACAGCAAGAAAAGGGCTGTTATCCGAGTCACTGGTGAGTTCAGGGCCGCTGCACTTTACTAAGATTTGATCAGTCTGACATTTGAGGCGCCTATTCAAAGCAGAGTGTCACATCTGTACTCTGAAATGAACGACATGACAACTACTGCCAAAGATTTAGAGATCCAGCTGGTGACTGCCTAAATGAAGGTAGTAAACCTTACACCCTCTATGTTGACTGATGGGATATAGGTCAAAACTGATTTAATTTTTAATTTTTTTTAATTTGTAATTTTTAAAGAGGCCAAAGCACTGAAACTTTTAGTTTAAGAAGACTTTTCAGGATTTCCTACTCTTTCATACTTTTCTCTGCCATTTAAAGGGATATTCTGGCGTAAAATTAAGTAAGGGTCAAACACACCGTTACACCCCTGTCAAGAGATGAATGTTGCCGACTGCTTGCTTCTCTAGTTATACCAACTTTAATAACGACCACACAATAGCATTACAGAGAGCCACACACTCAACCAAAACGCCACTCTATAGCCACAAATAATACTCAGAACAGCTCCTAACTTCATCAACAGTACATATAGGGTCCGAGCGACAGCACTAGCCACCAAACATCTTTTTAACTTTACCTAATTTCTGTAGCAAATGGACTAAAAATTACTTACCCACTCCTCTCCAGCAGCCACTTGTTTGTACGTAGACCTCAAGCCAGTCCATTACAGAATACAGCGGGGTGACACAGCTCAAGGAAGAACATTTGTGATCATTTCTTTATCATTTCCTCAAAGTATTGCATTTCCATAAAGAAATAATAATAAATGTTCTTCCTTGAGCTGCGTCATCCCGCTGCAGTCTGTAATGGACTGGCCTGAGGTCTTGCTACAAACAAGCGGCTGCTGGAAGAGAGTAGGTGAGTTGTGTTTAGTCTCTTTACTAAAGAAATTAGGCAAAGCTAAAAAGATGTTTCATGGCTAGTACTATGGCTGGGACCCTATATGTACTGTTGATGAAGTTAGGTGCTGTTCTGAGCATTATTTGTGGCTATAGAGTGGCGTTTTGGTAGAGCACGTGGCTCTCTGTCTTGCTATTGTGCGCTCGTTACTAAAGTTGGTATAACTAAAGAAGCAAGCGGTCGGCAACATTCATCTCTCGAGGGGGTGTCTAACTCGGTGTTACGGTGTGTTTGACCCTAAATTAATTTGACGCCGGAATATCCCTTTAAATCAAACTGAACATTATTTTCAGCACTGACGGTTTGAGCTGGTTTGAAGCTGCACCCCTTTTTCTAGAAATGACACAGTTCCCGTTACGGCCGCCAGAGTGCAACAGTGAGTCTTCATCCTGACCTGTAGTGTGGAGGAGGCAGCTGCTGGATGACATTGTGGATTTTGACCAGTCTCTCTTCATCTGTGGCTGCAGACACAGCTTCCTGTGGAGACAGAGGATAAAGAGAACATCACTGGGAGGGTTCATAATCAGAGTGGAGGGACTTGCTCTTCACTCTTCTGCTCTCTTTTCCCCTTTTTATATTTAAAACAGCACATGTTTCGGCTCTCTTAATCTGCTATTCTGTTTCAGCACCAACACCCCCTGCTGTTCTTTGAAAGCCCAGTATAATTCAATGACCTCATTCTAGCAGCACTTTAAAATGAGCTTAAAATTTTACATTGTTTCTTCAGTTCTATTATTATCTTGGAGGGACCGGAAATTTGTCCTCAGCTGCTTTTTTTTTTTTCTTCACTGTGCTTATCCGCCGTCTAAGTCCCTGCCCCAGTTTCCCTCTTGCTGTAGTTCTTACTGAGAATCTGTCGTAGAGCTGATAGGTGAGCAGAGGGTTCGGCAGCTCTCTGAAGTACAGCTTACAGAGGGAGCCCACCGAGTGGATATCTTGTCTGAAGACGTCCTTGCTTAGGTCTGGGATCTGTTCGGAGTCGAACTCGTGCCTGGAAGGAGATAGAATAATACAGGAGCGTTGGAGTCATCCTACTGCCCATCTGTCAGCATTAAAACATAAAACACAGACTTTTCGACCTTCAATCGGAGATCTCTAACATCTCTACCTTCCTTTTCAAAAAGAATAACTCTCAGGGAGGATTGCTGGTTTGATACGGGCGCTATAGTCCTCATCATACTGATTCACTGGACTCAACAGGATCAGGTACATCGCTCTCTCTCAAGCTGACCTGTTCGATAAAGCTTAAATAAAGATTTAAAATAAAATAAATAAGGATATTTTTCAAAGTTGGGCCAAACAGCCTGAAAAGGTCCTTCATTACCAACATGGAGAATCTCAAACTAGCCATCACACATTTATCATTTCCTATAATTCAACACTCAACACGTTTTAAATCCCTTTTGACGGGCTGTCAACACCCCGTCAGCCTATTAAGAGCTTCCAAATCCATCTTGCTTGTGAGAATTTGTTTTATTAATTCCTCCTGGTGGGCATAAATTAGATGTGAAAATCATTACAGCTATTCAAGGCCGCACAGCTTGAATCAATTCAGTTTGATGGATTTCACAAGAAGCGGCTAAATGGAAAAAACAACAAACTTGGAGAGCAGCGTCCATGATGTTATTGTTGAGCTTCTTCTGTTAATTTCTAATAATTGTTTCCTATTCAGTGCTTCTTTAGTGAGTCAGCCCAGTCCATAATGCCCGACAAAAACAAAGAACTTGTCAGAATGTGGTTTCCAATTAAGTCCCCCCATTGTTCCTTTTTTTTTTAAAATAACAAATTAACATTTTCTTAGAGTAAATTTCTTATCCTGATAACAACAGAGGTACAAACCTCAGTTTCTGGATGTTAGAGGAGATCCCAGACAGTCTGTAGATTCCATCCACCACTCCGTGTTTCTCGATGAATTCAGCACAGCTCTTTACAACCTGTGGGACTGTGGGAGCAGAGAGTCACATTTTATATCACTGCGCTGTTACTGAGTTGAAGTAAATTACGGTTTCTCGTGTTGCTTTGAGAATATGTAACAGGAAAACTAATTCTGTGAACTCTTTCCTCTTTCAGCCCAACTCAGATCTTTAACATCATTTTGGTCAGAATAGATCATGAGTCGACTCAAAGCCACATTTGACTGCCAGTCTCTTTTGAGTTTTACCAGCTACTCTGTCCTTCTACCTCACTTCATGCAAGTAGAAATGTGGTATTCTCTGCCCTGCTGTATTAATCAGACACCTGTATGTTAAAAAAAAACATGCCCATAAAGTATAACTAATCTAATGCTGCTTGGATAATAGTTTTATGACTAATCTAATGAAGCATTATGCTGTTATGTTATGAATCTACCTAAAAGAAAACGAATAAACTCTTCTTTGACAAACTACAATAACAAGAACATGAGGTAGTAAATTAAATCAGAAAAGTCTTCAAACAGTAAAAAAATTACAATATTTTGATGTGAGGTATGTAAGAATCTGTTCTTTATTATGATTTATCTGATTTTTATTTCATACTTCATGTTACCTGAGCTAATAAAACTACATTGACTGGAATTTTTCAGAAACCGAGATCATAACTGTTAATCAAAGTAAATAAAACAGCAGAATAGACCTGCCAATTATCCACTCAGTTCTTTAAATGCTGACTATATACTGCATAACAAGCACAGAGGTCATGACCTTAGGCTTGACACACACTAGACGATTTATGGCTCCAATTGAAGGCCTGATTTATGACCCTCGATGCTCTGGGGAGTCTGGTTTGAGGTTTGTCACACTTCATTGCTTGTCCAAATAATCCTCAAAGGTGTGGAATCAATGCAACTATTTCACTGCTAAACATCAAAGATGTTAAATATTTATGACTCCAGATCAGAGTGACACTGAAGGACCACCTTTACAGATTAGTCAGGATTTTATCCGTATTCTCCTTTCTTTTGTTTTTCTCTGCAAAACTAAACACATGCAAGGACAGACAGCTGGTGACGTCAGTTGTCCTCCATGTTTGTCTCCTAAAGCCTGTTAGATTTCATATCTGTAGAGACTTTGCACAGTGACCTTGTCATTTTAAAGTTAAGTGTGCGGTCCAACACTCTAATGAAACCTTCAAGTGTGTGTCCACAGAGCTGTAATGTTAAAACTCGGTCAGAAATGTCCGCATGTGTTTTTTAAATCAGTCAAGTCGTCTTGTGTGTAGCCAGCCTCTGTATCCAAGGTATCAACAACAAAACACAGACCTGAGCAAAGTTCGACAATCACACTGCAAGTGAACAAAACACAAACTGATAAAATACTTAAAAACATCAATAAAGCTTTTTAGGCCACGAGCATTTTGACATGTTTGAAAAACCAGAATAAATCCACGTCCTTTAAAAAAAATCTACAAAGTCCTCTGCAGAAGAGAATCTTGCCGGGTAACATAACACAATTATTCACACCATGGATTTATAATTCACAGTAAACATCAAAGCAGTGTATCACAAACCCCAATCCACAAAGGAGCTTTGCAGGGTAATCCCATGTTGGGGTTTTAGAATATAAACTGAAATATTTTGGTGTGAACTGCCCGCAGGTAAGCAGAGCAGGATGGAAAATAAGGAAAAAAAAGAGGAGATATTGTAAAAGTAATTCACCCTCATGTGCTGAGTTGTGGAGATGTTCCCCCAGGTCACAGCCGAACACTCTCTCTCTCAGGATCCCACGCTGCCGCAACTTCTGAGGCGGCGGTCGAGACTTCATAAAAGTCCTCAGGAAGGTTACGAGTTTCCCATGCTTCTTACACACTGATTAGGATGACACACACACGCACAAAACAGCCACTTTAAATCAATCCGTCTCACATCCCCAGAGCAAGACTTAAATAAATCATCAAGCAGGAAGGGGGGGGGCAGACACGCTGGAGAGTACCTGGCTTTGGCACCGAGCTTTGAACGCTGGGGGGAATCTTGTCATTTATCAGCTCAACACAGTCGCAGGGGAAGAAACCAACCTGTGAGTGGAGAGGAGAGGATGAGTGAAGGGAAGAGGAGAGGTAGAGACGGCGATAACACTTGTAAGTTCAAAAGACCAGTGGGGGTGTTGAGGGAGGTTCAGAAATAGGTCAGCAAGCATGAGGGTACATGCTGCCTCGGGCTGAAAATAGATGGTTTGTGGAGAGGATTTTAAGGTGTCGCTCAACTGCAAGGACGAACCTGCTGCTTTTAGCTTTGGTGAATTTCAAAAACAAGAAGTTAGCGTAAATAATCTCAGTATAAAGCACAAACATGAGTTTTCATCTCTCAGTATCATCCTCACGCTCAAAATAATTCAAATGCGTAAATGTGACACATTTGAAGACAGAAGATCATGACGTCTGACATATGTTGTCAAACAATTCAATCCTACAGACCGAATGCCACTTTTATAAGTTTTTACATGAGCGCAAACAAAATAAGAGTGTTCTGAATTAATCACAATGCAGATGGAGCAGAGCAGATGGTGTACCTGAAAGCCATGTTTCCCTCTCCACCACCCCGTGTCTTCTTTTGGAGGCATGTCTATGACTGACACGATGTCCCCGACCTGCATCAAAAACAGAGGGATGATTACGATAAAGACCGATCACAGGCACTCTGAAAAACAATCATTATGATGGGATCAGAAATATCTGGCGAGACTGACCTCGAAGGTTAACTCATCGGTGGCCTGTGCGGTGTAACGTTTGGTGACGTGAGCGGCGGCGATGGCAGGAACGTTGATCGAGGCCTCCTCAGAAACTAATAGATGGTTCCCTTTGTTATCGATCTGGAAACAGAAAAAGAACAAAATGAGGCTGATATTTTTTAAAAGAAAAGAAATCAACTCTATCGCAGAGTTCATTATGATGGGAGACGCAGGGAGGAACATCTGCTCCTGCTCCCAAACCGTGCTTTTAGTGTAGATTTAAATCGTGAACACTTCAGCTTATTGCACATTTTTCTTGTGTTGTCATTTGGAAATGAGTCACAGTTAAGAAATAAAACTCAAAAACAAACCCCTGCTTATTGGTATAACAGGATCAAACTGTAATGTCCATTCCCTATAGCTTATGCTTATAAATAGGACTTCAATCCAATCCATTTTATTTATATAGAACGATTTAAGCAAACACAAGGTTTCCAAAGTGCTGCACAGCAGGATAAAAATACAATAAATAATACAACAGAAGCACAACAGATAAGGTAAAAATAAAATGATATAAAACACAGTAAAATCAAATAAAAACAAACACAATGAATAAAATCAAACAAATGAAGTCAACCTCCTACTGGGTGTTAAAAGCCAAGAAGAAGAGGAGGGTCTTAAGACAGGATTTAAAAACAGGCAGAGAGGAGGCCTCTCTGATGTGCTGAGGCAGGTTATTCCAAAGTTTAGGAGCTGCGACAGCAAAAGCACGATCTCCTCTGAGCTTCCGCTTTGTTTTAGGCTCTCAGGAGCAACTGATCGGCTGACCTGAGAGACCGGGAAGGAGTATAAAAGTGTAGAAGCTCAGAGAGGTACGGCGGGGCGAGCGTATTGAGGGATTTCAAAGCAAATAAAAGACTTTTAAAATGTATGGGCAGCCAGAGAGTGAGGCTTAAATGGACTTCTTGAGACAGACAGGAGACGTGAGGAGTAGAGAGTGTGAAGAGACGTGTAGCAAAAGGTTATGGCAGGGAGTTGAACCAGCAACTGCTGCAACCAGGACTGTGGCTCTGGTACATGCATAAACCTCCATGCCAACCCTGACTGTTCCTTTAACTCGACTACTTGAGTATTTATGGTGAAGATTAAATATTAATTCATCTTAATGGGGTCTTCTGCAGAGAGTGAATCACTAACAGTAAGTGTGAGCATTCAGCAGATGCAGATGAGAAAATACCTCCATCCATGTGAGAACAGGACCACAGTTGATCTTGTTGTCGGCGATGACAGAGAAGCGGGACAGGTAGGTCGCCAACATCTTGGTAACTGACTGAACGGAGACAGAAAATGATCAAAATTTAATGAAGTCTCAAAAACCGGGAGTCATAATCCACAACTGAAAACTACTATGTGTATAAACATAGAAAGATTATGAATGAAGCTTTATTTTATATCTGTGTAGCTGATCAGAGATATGAAAGTGAAGTTCAGTGTTACCTCAACAGGTTCCTTTAATGTGTCATTTCGTGGCAGCTCGGTGAGCTGAGAGTAGCGACGGTCATAGATACACAAGTGCAAGTGTTTGTCCAGCACACGGAAATCCTCGTAGGATCTTTTTACCAGCCAGTTTCGACCCTAAAAGAGAGATAATATACAGAATTAAATAAAAAAAAACACCTAAAAGAAATTCATAAACCATTATTGTAGTTTTTCATGCCTGTATAACTCTTAGCAGATTTATTTTTCATCTAAAATTTTAAAGGAGTCATGAGAGAAAACTTTAGGCCCTCAAATCAGAGCCTGCAGGTGGCTGCTGGGAAGGTGGAGGAGCTGAAAGTTCTGGTTCAGCGCAGAGAGAGACTGGAAATCTTGTAGCTTAACTAGACCACCAAATTAGGAGGATATGTCAAGTGTGAAGCTTCAGTTTCCTGCCTGCACTAGTTTGCAGCGGCCACTCCTTTTCAAAATACTCTTTTTTCCTACTACTCTTTGCATCAGTAGGCGGATGTATCGTTTGGACTCTCAGTTATACTTTGTAAGTTGTCATGTCAGCTGTTTTTTCCCCATATGTTTACATAAAATAACTGTACACTTCTCAGTATTGAAGACAGCAGTTCTGTTTACTCTTCTAAGGTACAAGTACTAAAGTACCTTACATACCTACCTAACTGTGACTGTGCAAAACTCTCTTAAATAGACTCTAATATGAAACTGTGAAGTCTATTTTCCAAAATAAAGCTACCTGGCAAGTGATCTGGACCAGAAAGACCAGCTCCTTGGAGTCCAGACCCGCCTTCAGTCCTTCACTCTGCCCTTCTGCGAATTCCAACTATGAGAGAAAACACCCAAAAACAAGAGAGACGGAGGAGGTTAAAACTGAGAGGGTCCACATTATGAATAATGGATAAGTGTAATACAACAACCTCTGTGCATGTGACCTGGTGTACAGCGAGAACATCATGTCCAACCCCTTTTTTCCCATTAAAAAGTAAAACCGCTTTTACACTGAGCCGAGGGTTCAAGTGAATAAAAGCAAAAAAGGACTCAAGTAACAAAGAATTGTGGGTAGAAAAGCATGAAGAAGAAACAGACAACCAGATCTTCCAGAAAAGGGTCTTAAAGAGATTTTTGGGACATGTCCTCCGCCTCTGCATAAGAGTGATTCATATTCTCTCTCCACCATAATCCTGCAGTATGTAATGTTTTATACATAAGCTGATAAGAAATCAGCGCTTGAAGGCGTGGTAGTTTTAGCTCACTTTTTTTTCTTCTTCTCATCCTTCTTCAACAATATTCCATATGCCCCAAAAACCGAGACGATCAAAGCCCTGAAGGAGTTTGGGAATACATTGACAGGCATTACTGTAGGAGACTTCAAAGGCCTGCGAGCCAGGGGGAACCTCTGGTTATTTTTAACTGTTAGCAACACATCCAGCTCCACTGTTACACAACAGACAGCGACCCAGTTACTGCTCAACGGCAACACTGCCAACCAGGCTGACAAGGAGCGCACATTGAGAAAACTGTTCTTTAATAAGTTATGGCGGAGGAGATCTGACTAAATGCAAAGATTTGTTTGAAAAAAATGAGATCCTGAATGAGGTACTGATGCTGCACCGTGACGCCAAATGCATGATGGGAAGCAGGATTCCTTTGTGATGAAAAAAAGATTGACAAAAATGTGTTATTTTTGATATAAAATATAAAAAATGTGATTGTTTTATTCAACAGCGTGCCAGAGCATCACTTCCTTTATTATGCCAACACCTCAAGGGCTCCTCCTTTCAAAATAAAACATGCAAACACAGCTTAGATGCTAGCTCTACACCGGCATTATGTCATTTACGCACAAACGTCTCACACCGGATGCTGAAATAAACTCATGAATCATCCACACATGCATGTTACCTGCCACTAAAGCATCTCAGATATCCATCCGCAGCTGGAGGATGTGACTCTCCCTTTGTGTGCGGCAATCCTGGACCTCAGTGAGCTCCTCCAACAAGCCAAATCTTTGCAGAGGGCAGCAGAGTTTAAATGCTGCTCCTCACTCCCCTGCTGTCGTACGTGGAAATGCTCATTCACACAGCTTTGGATCAGCACGCGCTCCTTGCTCTTCTCAAAGCAGAAAATATGAAAAGAGGATGCTTCCTGCTGTGTGTCTTACCCCCTTCCTACATGCCTCTTTTCCATCTCTAACCCCCTCCTTCTCCTCCCCTCTTCTGCACTCTCCCCCCTCCCCCTTCTTTCTCTCTCTCTCGACCACTCTGCTTTCTTCAGTGACAAAAAGGGGGGGTTTTGGCAGTAAATGGGCTCAACCGGGCACACACAGATGCTCAAGCTCATCCATCACACAAAAGCAAGGCTGCATGAGAGAGATAGACGAGGCTGCTTCATTTCATAACTATTCTCATTCATTCCACGCTCAAGGCGAGACTGGAGCTATAATCTGGAGAGGGATCAGTCTGGGAGGCTGCAGACAGAGGCAATGTCTGCTGTCCTTGTGCTATTCAACGATTAGGATACATGAAACCTGCTGAGCACACTCCCAGTCTGCTGCCACAAACGCATCATGAAAGATACAACAAGCCTAATAAATCTGATTTAGTCAGGGGGGATACGAACAGCAGAAAACAGCATCACATTGAAGAGTGACAGAGTGCATGCAGATTTCAGTGCCACTCTCCCCAGACTCATATTTCTCTCTCGGCTCAGCTCGGCTTTTCCTTTCCCTGTGGAGCTTTTCAAGGTCACTGGGACTGTTACGCTGCTTTAACTGATGGAGCCATTACAGACACGGCAACCACAGCAGGACAGCAACCCCTGCCACTCAGAACATCCCGGGATTTAAGTCTCGTCCAGCTCGCTTCACTCTAGTCCATTAATGCTGCATGTTGGGAATCAGCCCCACAGCGTGCATGTACTACTCATGCTCTCTCTTTTGTGTTGAGCTTCACCAGCAGCTTCTGGTCGGAGAGGGGCGACTGCTGCGCTCTGCTGGCAAGAAGACTGAACTGCACCGATGTTAACCAGGCAGATAACAGCAACTAACATACATGGCTACACAAATACCAGTGCTTCACTGCTTACTATTACCAGTGCTGCAAGATACAGTTAAAGTATTAAAAGCTTTACACATCCAGACTGCTTTTTATTCGGTGTGAATCAGTGCACATGGCTGAGGAATATTCACATCAGGTCTTTGCAGCTTATTTGCAAGTTACATATAGTCATATAGTCAGTACACCCCCACACAATTTCCAAAGTTTTGACGAAGCTGAGTTTAAAATAACATTTTATCTACTATAAAATGAAAACAAGGGTGATATGGAAACTAAAATTTAGCTTTGCCCCAAGAACTTTGATTGAGGTGTACTCATTTATATACTTTTTTGTATGCAACATTAAAAAATCTTGTTTGCAATCAATGGCCTACATTTGGGGGAGTATTTTGTTGTATAATCTGACATAGAAAATGTTGATTTTGGAAGGAAACTAAAGGTTTTCTGACAACTCTGAAGGGGTGTTCTCATTGCACTGCACTGTAATCTCTCAGATTACCAAAGTTTATAAAAATGAGTCAAGAAGAGCCAAATTTTACGCATAATGCTACATACTACTGTGTGCATGTTCAAATCAAATACTTAGCAGAAGGGCTGGGTCAGTATGCTTTTCTCCCGATTCGATTCTTTGTCGATATTGTCAATTTTCTCACTTTTCAGTCTGCATTTTTAACACCAGTTGAATAATTATGATTGTTTACTGACTATTCCAGGAACCATATTTACCAAAAAATTGCACATCGCATGTAAGTCGGTTTTAAAGATTTACTCTTAAATTGGAAAAAAAAATCAATTCTTGAACATAAAAATTGATTTAAAAATTATAAAACAAAAATTGCGATACTTATGTGAATCGATTTTTTCTTCCACCCGTACTTAGCAGGTATAAAGTTAAACATAATGATTGTCTAAGTGAGCATATTATGATGCAAACAGTTGCCCTTTTTGCAACATATCTAGTCATGGAATTTTCTTTGGTCAAGTCGAATGATGAATCTAATATTGTTAAAAAAAAGAGTACAATACAGTCGTCACCTCCAACAGCTTTTAACTGTCAGCACATTTTCCTCACACCTCTCATTGTTTTGTCGGAGCAGGTTTTCACTTTAAAAGTGAGTCATTCAAAACTATCCCTGGATAGACCCGGCTAAGCATCCAGGAAACTACTGTATCTCCTTTACTCACTGACTGACTCACCACACACCTCAGTCAAATTAATGAGGCGGTTTCACAGGTTTACAGAGGCCAGATGAGTCTGACATTAATATACTGTAATACCCTAGGATTACCCTGCAGCTGTAGTGGGATCATGGTTTTTTGATATCAATGAAACCATTAAACCTGTTATAGCGAAAACATGATGAATTAATGGAAGACAGTATGTAATTGTGAATGTATAAGGGTATATTTAAGGCGCTGAAATAACACACTGAAAGCTCTGCTGTGGCACAAAGAAGGGATTTTAAGTAATGAGGGAGGAGCAGTAAAGAAAAGACAAACTCGAGTATTGATTCAGCTGCCAGATTGCATTGCAAGGCTGATGCATTTCTGGAGCAATTCACCTAAGCATCTACTGAATTCGAGCCAAAGACACAATTACTAAACATAGTGACTCCTGGCTGCTGGAGTCACAGTATATATAGTATCTTCAGAGCTCACCTGAACGTTGCCAAAGTCAACAGTCTCATAGTGGAAATGGGCACACTCTGCCAACCTGGGGAAGTGACCTCGGGGGAACGTCAGCCTTTAAAAAAAAAAAAGAAAAAACATCAGAAACACACAACAGCCGCTCATCAGTATTCACCACACTGACACCATGATGGAGAGAAGAGTAAAGCAAAAGAGGGAAAAGAAAAAGAGATTAGGCCTCTGTGTGTGAGGGAACGGGGTTAGAGACGCAGCCGGCTGAGCTGTCTGTCTGTGCCGCGCCCATCGTTTTATAGGTCCTCATTTCCCTGGCCTGAATAAGAGGCCTGTTTTACAGACGATAATAGCAGCAACACCGACACACCGAGCACCTACTTCTTCACGTTCTTGACCTTCATGCTGGCCGTGCTGACGCAGGAGCGCAGGAGGGGCTCAGCTGGCAGCTCTGTGATATCATCGCTCCTCACCTGCCAAATAGGGGAAGCAGACATCGATAACTGTCAGTTATTCGCCGTAGGGCTGATGGACAGTCAATACAGTCAAGAGGTGTTTGTCTGCTGAGAACTGGTAATGCAACAAGACACAGTTAAAATTAAAATTCAAATACACACAAAACAAACAAACGAGACTTATGCTAAGCTGATGCAACTTACATTATTATTTTATATCTTATTATAAGCTTTTTTTTGCTTGACAAGAATTCTCAAAATAAGAACAAATTTCCTGGCCCTGAGAGACTCAAATGAAACTTAAAACTAGACAGAAAATCATATATTAATCTTTTATTTTTTTGGCAGCAAGCAATAAAAAATGAAGATGCAGTAACTTAAAATTAGAATGTTAGTCTCTTGAATAAACGAACTTCAAGAAAATACACCTAATCTAGGATTATTAATGATCATGACAGTAGTTCAAACAAGACATAATTTCTTAAAACAGCATAGCAAATAGAAGTGCTGTTGTCTTAAATCAAGATACCAAAAAATTCTTATTAAATATATATTTTTATTCCACAAGCAAGCAGGTGGGAAGCAAGCATGTTCTTTGTTGTTCTTTGTTGTTTTGCAGTTTTCATCTGGTCATTGTATTATGTTGTGTGTTGTACAGAGTAGCCTACTGACATCTTTATATGTCAGATAATGTTTGAGGCAGCAGATTCTGTCAGGTTCAGATGACCTGCAGTGGAAATCTTAATATAAAAAAATCAACTGTTCTAGTTTCACGGCATTCTTAAAATAAGAAGTTGTACATACAGTATGTCTTACTATTAAAATGAGATGAATGATTTTGTTGCTCCGCTGGATTTTATTGTAAAACATTCTTCTACTCTATTTCTGGTTCATTTTATCTCAAAATTAGCTGGAGTATCTTATCAAGAAAAAGTTAGCCTTCTTCTCTTCAAATTAGATAATTTTTCTAATACCAAACATGCTTGACAAGATTAATATTCTTTTTGTACAAAAAAATATGACTTATTTTCTTAATACGAGGCTGTTTTTCCTTTCTTGAAATTCCTTTTTTTCAGTGTAGTGCTATAGAGATATTAATACAAACTTCTGCAGATCATATTTTATGTTACCTCTACGTCCTCTCACTTCACGCCCATATTTGGTTTTTGCAGTGCTCTGCTTTTGTGTTGTTAGCATGTAGTGCTATTGTAATGCTCTCCTTAAGCTTTTCAACATCTGTCTATGCTAATATTATGTTGTGCTATTTTGGTTTCTTTGAGTCTTTCCTGGGTTGTGTTGTGTTGGTTATTTGATGCTAATGCTTTTATGCGAATAATTGCTCAGTAATTCATTCTTTGTATGAATTCTTATGCATGCCATATATTGTGACACTACATCATCGACAGTATTATATTGTAACATGATATTATAACATTCATGAATCTGCGTTACAACCTTTTATGATGGGTTATGATACCATCCAACATAGAATCCACTATGAGGATTTTTTTTTGTCCCTCATCCAAGATTCACTCTAACAGGAGGGTAATGATGTTAAGTTAGAGCCCCTGGGGAGGATTATTACATAAAACTAGAGTATCCAGATCTAAACTGAGGGGGAGGGGTGGCGACTTCACTTGTCCGCCATAGTATTTATTTAAGCATCTTTGCACTAACAGCTTTCAAACACGCCTCACTTTCAGCCAAATCTGAAGGTTTGATGCCCTCAAATGCAGCCGAACACCAATTCACACCATTTCAGCTGCAATTAGTGACTCTCTCATGATCGTGTATGGTATTTTTAGTCTTTCAAAACCTATGGAGTCTCATGGAAGAGGGATGTTGTATCAGCTAGAGTGTGTTTGTTAGTTTTTGTCCTTGTGAGGGATGAGTTTAGAGTGCGATTGTGTGTGTGTGTGATGTGAGTGGGCGTGCACCTTGGCAGTGGATGTCTCCTGTGGCGGTTTCTCTTCTGGAGGATGGTTGTTGGTTGCATGAGGTAAGGCATTGTCTTTGTCCAGGTCAGAGGTCTGTAGCACCTCTCTGCAGAAACACAAACACACACATAACAACAGAAACATGGTATGACACGCAGCAATCAAGTCAGTGTGGTCTGATGTTTAAAAAAAAGAACATTTGTAATTATTTTCAAATACACCAGAGGGAGCAATTGAGGGGGATGAATCCACAATATGTTCGGCTTAAATCATGACACTGCATCACCATGGCCCAGAAAACATCATGTACTCTTCTGCAAGGTGTGGGACTCTCTTCTGTTTAGGGGGGAATGTGTTTATAAAACATCAGGAAAAACAATATATCTCACATTAAGATATATATGTATGGGAACAAATCATAGACAAGTGGCAAAATCTTGATGTTCGGGTCAGCAAAAAGTCATGATGTCTTTTGTATGTGCTCAGGAAAGCAAAGCTTCTCTATTGAGAAAGCTATAAAGGCATTCCGCCCACAAGGGAGTGCTTCACAAAACCGTCACTTGAAATGTGACTCAATGTACTCGGGGAGTGGAGGGAGAGGTGCATTCAGTCCAACTTTTGTGTGCAACAAAGAGAGAAGGAGAGGAGGACTCGGGTTTGTCTCAGGGACTCAGTGTTATGAGAACAGTATATGAGGCCAAGAACACTGACATGCAGTTGAATATATGTGCTCCACAGTGACAGGAAAGATTACCAAGGCGTGATATAAATCCGAAGCTAAAGAGCTGATGAAGCTTAAGCAGGAACATTTACTCTCTCTGAGAGCGGTGGACTTTGTCCTAACGTTACCCTGCTCCTGCATTTATCCATGAGTAAAATTTACATGCAGGCAAATACACAAATGCCTCTTTCTCTGCAGATCTCTGAAAATTTACATAAATATGATCAGCCGCCATGACGATCAGAAAACAAGAGTAACTTACCCTTCAAGGACGTCACTACTTCCTGGTTCACCCTGGGGTCCTGAGGCAGCATTCTCAATCACCGCGGCAACCACACATCCAGCCTCCATGATGCTGCCTGACTGCAACAGCCGGCTGTAGAGAAACGTGAGAGGGAGGGAAAGAGAGAGAGCCAGGATTGGTGGGTGGTTAAAGGAGGAGGAGGGGATGGGGAGGAAGAGATGCGATGATGCCGCCAGACGTCAACCCACTTGAGGCTGCGGTGCCTCGCGACACTCAAGGCTACAATCCACAGAGCCCAGACTGTAATCTGTAACGACATCATGCTACAGGGCCAGGAGCTGCTTCAGTGATAATGCATGTCAGGCCAAAAATTCAGGGGATGGTTTCATGAGAATATCAGCAGAGCACTGACAGGTTTTAGCTGGAAACAAAACACATACGCATATCATCCTGAAGGAAGTGTCAGGATCATCGTGGCAGCTCCAGAACATGTGCCTGATTTACATGATGCAGGATTAGGGTTGAATTAACACTCATTAAGTGTCTTTTAATTCATTTTTTTTAATATATGAATGAATTTAACATGGAAGTTTTAGTCCAAATTTCATACACATTAACCTGATGACCAAAACAACCATCGAATGCATTAAAATAATGGTCAATAAGTTATTTTGCTAAGCTGTGAGGTTGATGGTGTTAATTTCTTATTCTTCCTAAAGCCCCGTTTGCTCCTTTATGCAATCTGCTTCATCTTAAATCAGGTCAGATAATTCATGAACCTTGTTAGTTTCTGAACCGAGCATGATATCCAAACACAGAAGAAAACCAAAGTTCACTTTTCATTGAATGCAAACCTGCACGTTTTCAGAATCACACATAAGAAGTTTGGTCAGACACTATTACCTAATCTCCTGGCCCTCTCTATTAGAAGAGCCTTCTGCCAAAATTAAGTCTTAAGACTTTGATTTTATGTTGCGCTCACGTGGCGCCCATCCATCCTTATCCTAGAGCCCGGAGCCAACCCCCGGCTCACATTAGGGGAGAGGTGGAGTGCACCCTGGAGGGCTAACACAAATAGACGGACAACTATTCACATTCACCCTAAGGGCGATTTAGATAATTTAGACGTCCACGTGCTATTTACAGTCACATTGGGTTCCTAACCTGAATGTCTTTGGACTGTTGGAGGGGACTTGTTCAGGCAGAAGCGCGACATGCTAACTCCAGCTGTCATCTGTCTTGCTGGGAGGCAACAATGACACATCACAACTGTGCCTTACATGGTGTATAACCCTGTGTTAAATCAGATTACTGCAAACCAACAGACACACAGAAAACTGAAGGCCAAAAAGTACTTCATAACAGATAGTACTGGCTCTGTAGACTTGTTTGTGCATACTTTTTAGTTTACTCTTTTTTAACCTCTGATGCTTCTTCTTATCTTCTCAAAGGTTGTTTTTGTTGTTTGATCTGAGCTCTTGGTCTGAATCACAGTCTAATGTGGGCGAGTTTAATATATGACCCCCGCTAGTATAGTCTATGTAATTGGTTGTAGCTTTCAAGCTATAGACTGTATTAACTGTAGTCTCAGTGAGGTTGTCCCTTAGTTTCTGAAGAGGTGTTATGAAACCCAAAGGTGGCAGTAGTCACCATATTGAAACTGCTGACTCCGTCTAACTTGTGGCTAAATCAGTAACTGAAAAAGAGACTGAGATGGAGACTAACAGTTACAATATGCACACCTGTCAGCAACTCCGCTTATTATGCGTCATCATGCAGAGCTCTTGATTCAATCATGGGATAGGCTGTAAAAAAATTCCAACTGCCCAACAGTTTTTTATGACTAAAGAGATGAGTAAAGAAACAAAAGCTGTTTTTTCTACCAGGATGAGTATGTGTTTAATCTGTAAAAATCAGTATTGTTTTGAGGCTCTAATGGGGTTTCCTCTACGTTTGGAGCAGCTTTACGGAGACATTTGGGGAACTGCAGTTTTTTGCACTTTCCTTAAAGGGATATTCCAGCGTAAAATTAAGTTAGGGTCAAACACATCAAAACACCAAGTTAGACACCCCCCTCGAGAGATGAATGTTGCCGACCGCTTGCTTCTCTAGTTATACCAACTTTAGTTACGACCCCAGGATAGCAATACACAGCAGTCTGAGGAGCCATCAACAAACCTCAACCAAAGCGCCACACTATAGCCACAAATAATGCTCAGAACAGCACCTAACTTCATCAACAGTACAAATAGGGTCCTAGCCACAGCACTAGCCACCAAAAAAACACCTACTCTCTTCCAGCAGCTGCTTGTTTGTAGCGAGACCTCAGGCCAGTCCATTACGGACTACAGCGGGGTGACGCAGCTCAAGGAAGAACATTTATGATCATTACTTTATCATTTCCTTGAAGTAATAATCATCATATTTATCATTTTGCACTGCAGACTTCTGCAATTCTTCTGCCTTAGCGTCTTGGTTTGATTGCATTTCCTTGAAGAAATGATCATAAATGTTCTTCCTTGACCTGCGTCACCATCTCTCGAGGTGTCTAACTTGGTGTTACGATGGGTTTAACCCTAACTTACTTTTACACCAGAATATCCCTTTAAGGCTTTCTTTTTCAAAACTGAAGCTTGCTGCTTCATCCTGACACATTTTGGTTGACAATCACTGATAACGCTTCTTAGAAATGTTAAAACATCAAATCTTCACACAGAGAGAGTCTGGCATTGACCTTTCCTTCTTAGATACATTTCAACATGAGTCTTCATCACATTAAATACATAAAGACAGGAACCTCGAACATGCTCACTCCCTTCCACCCTTGAAGTTTACTCCTCCTCTCTTTATTTACTGTAAACAGAGTGGACACACAAATGTCCCGACGAGGCAAAACCAGACTCTACCAAGCGCTCCTCCACAATCTTCCCATAACTACTTTCCAAACTGTTTGTGGCTGATTAGTGTCAAACATCACTGACAGGGCACAAAACAGGGTTACAAGTAGATTCATCAGCAACTACTGGAGTGGCTGTTTCCCACCAGCCTCTCTGGCTCGTAGCCTCATTGAGTTGCAGTTGACGGACTTCCACAAAACCTCCTGACTCAGCAGAATGTGAGCATGCAGACATGAATACAGGCCACATCAGGCTCCACTCTATCCTCATCTCATAGTGTATCTCCTCTTTAATTGGCACTATCACCTTGCTAGAGGGGAGCCAAAGCTTACACAGACAGAAAATTAATTTACGGTGGAGTAGTGCTACAAAAAGTACTCGTGGAAACAGAATTGTCAAAAGAATAGGCCGTGTGTCACAGAATTACGCAGAACTGGAATGACAGGAGCACTTGTAATGTAATTAGTGCTTTTTGGTGTGGCTTAAATGTGCAGGATAAGTCAGCAGCTGCCTAGAAATGCTGATTATCTCTGATTCATTCACAATATTTTGGTTATGCGGCGCTAATGGTGGGGAAATATCCCCGGCTACAGCATGTAGTCAGTGATCTTTGTATAAAATACAATGCTCGACCTTGCTGATTAAACCACACCAGACAGTCAGGCAGGCAGACAGTCTTTCAAGCATGGGAACACGCTGTACCTCGCACCGCAAAAGAAGACGGCTTGATGCTGAGAAGCGTTTGTTTTCATCTAGTATTTACTTTGCAGAAAAGAGCCGAAAAACAACCGAGAGCAACGACTGAACAAGTTGCTGATCTTATAGGCAGTGCTACAATACATCTAAGGTAGACTATTTTGGTAATGCCCCAAATAGTCCGAGCTATAAAAAGACCAGGCTGTCATAGCTGTAGGAAAAAAAAAAAAAGTGTGACTTTAGAGGTGATCTTGCGCCGTATGTGTCATTGACCATGGCAGTAAAAAATGAGGGGAACATGCTGACATTTGGTGCAGCATCTCAGGCGAGGAAAACAGAACAATGTCAAACCAAGTGAGCAAAATGGTTTGAAATCTCTTTAATGTCGCCTGCAGAAATCTTCCTCACAATACCTCTCTGTCAGAAATATCCATGCAAAGGCCTTCCACTTGCAACAACAAAGTTGCTCCTCTACTTGTGTCACACACACTTACAGCAGAGAGAGATGTTTCTCTGATGTCCTGAGACTGAAGCAGCACAGGAGGATGTTACCCTGGTATCAGATGGCCTACATGGTACTGTCATGAAAAAATAGGGCAGCCTACACGGTCTTGCAAGCTGTTTACGAAAGCGGTATCAGCAAGCGTGTTGACATGAAGAATCGCTTCCTACATATTTGTAGACATGAACGCACGGCAGATGCGTGCAAGTGAGTCACAGCGTCTTCGTCACATATGAGAGGAGGTAAGAAAGCTGAGGAAAAGGACGGGGACAAAAGTAAACACGCCTCAAACTGAAATAGCACATATATGGAGAACAGATGGTGGAGAATTGCAACAACATAGAGAGGCGTCATGTATCTTGTTTTAAATTAACATTAATTAAAACACAACAACTCCGACTTTGGAATAATTAGTTAGAAAATATAACAAGTTTTTAGGTGAAGTCTGCTTGAGTCATAGCCTGGGTGTTTGTTTGTTTTTTATATCACTGTTGGCTGTGTTTTGTAAAACGACCACAAATCCCAGAAAGTAGAGGGAGTGGTAAGAAATATCTTGAATGTCACACCGATGAGTAAGTTGGCCACAACTTACAGATAAATCAAAGACTGTATTTTACATCACTGCAGCTGAGGGTTTGTCATGCATATAAATGCAAACTTAGAAACATTTTAATTAACCTGGAGTTGCATTTACATTAAAATTATGAATATAAGTATTTTTCCAATCTGCTTTTGATCAGAGTGTATAAAAGATGAAAGACGTGACAGCTCCTTTAAAGCAAAGCCACAATATTTTGAGTCCGCCCCCTACTAAGGCTGCATGATATTGGAAAAACTAACTTGCAATTTTTTTCAATTTAGCGATATATATTGGGATATTTAAAAATACAGGAATTTTCACCAGATGACCTGAATAGCACTTTATGCTGAAGTCTTGAGGACAATTAACCTGCACTGATCTTGTTTGTAGAATGGCTTCTGTCTGTCTTAGAGATATTTTTAGCTTGCTTTTACTGTGCTGGGACATTATTGTAGCAACAGATGAAAACACGTGAACACGTGTTTTGGTCGACATCGTCCATCTTGTAACTGAAATAATTCCAGCTAACTGACTTTCATTTTCTTTTTGGCAACAAGTCTTCATTTTCTGTGGTTTTCTCTTGTTCGTTGCTTGTTGTGCCGAGAAACGCACAATTGCATGCATCTCGCAAAACGCGCACCGCTTATAGTAGAGTGGTCCACGGAAATGTACAATTTAAAACCCATACAATTCATTTTTGTGGGGCTAAACAGTGATAAGTAATGTGAAAGTGAAAGTAATTGCGTTTCTTGGCACAACACCAGCAGCGCCAGTGACTCACTCCATGTGCAGAACATGTGCATGGGTGGGTTTCCTCCGCTCTGATTTTGATTGACAGCTGGCAGGGTAGTCTGATTGGCAACTGAGTAAAGAACAAATGTGATTGGTGGATCGCTGCACAGCGCATGCAGAGTCACATGCAGTGTATCTCAGTCAGCTACCCTAGAAAATAGATTGATTCATTCCCCTCCTAGATCGCAGGCTCTGCAACGATATATCGTACAGCCCTACCTACATGTATACAGATGGGCCACAAGTCAAACTATGGAATAAAAACTGAGTGTAGTGTTAGTTCAGGCAGGCCATTTGCTGACCTAGCCTTTATCAGCTGACAGCTCAGCTCTTCTTTGCACCAGTTAGTAAATGGGCTTCCCATTCAAACTACTTCCACTTGCCTACTCTTGCTTCTTCCTGCAACCACTCACAGCCCACCTCCACCCCCGGTGTTGTCACTGGTGTCGGCTCTGTTTTACTTACAGGGGTTTTGTTGCTGATGCTCTCCCTGCTGCAGGCTTTGACATTTCACAAAAGCACATGGAAGGGCAGGGATCTCCCAGAACAGAGCTTTATCATCAAATATAACTATTGCGTGCAAATAATATGTAGTTCTTATGATGATGTTTTATGCACAAATTCTTACTTTTCAGAGAAGTTCAGTTTTGAGGAGAAGGTGGAGACGCATTGACCAAACAACAGAAATACTTGCTCTTATAGCAGTTTGATGATCCACTAAAAGGCGTTTTTGTTGTTTGGTATTGAAAAATCAGCTCATACTCCTTTTTTAAACTAAGCGAGGGGCTGCCTGTTGTGCCTGAAAACTCTGCAGATGAGAGCTGTTAGGGTAAGCAAGACAGCAAGCTGCGAATCAAAAACCAAAACAACCAGCTTGTACAAAGTAACAGCAACTGCAGATACAGATGATGATTCTTATTGTGGTGATGCCTTTCCATCCTCAGAGAGGATCAATATGAAATTTTAGAAATAAATGTCGATCACAGTATTTGATTTCAAAGCGAATGAATTCAGCTCTCCGCTGACGATGTGACAGGACAGTGTTATCCACGGAGAGGAAAGTTGGTCTCAAGCTCTTCTCTCTCTGAGCCCTGGAATGCAGTCAACACCAGCCAGTGACGCAGTGGAGAAGGGCCCGCGGTTGCTATGGTAACCTCTCTCCCGTCCATCGTGACTTGATGCTCCTCCAGACTGAGGATGAGGTGGCACGAGGAGGGAAATGAGGCCTAAGATAAAACCTTTGACCAAAACAGACTTTGACACAACACCACTACCGCCACAACCATCATTATCATCATCATCGTAATCATCATCATCATCTTCATCACAGTCATCATGAGCCTGAGGCGATGACATCACTGCTCCTCCACCTTACAGCATTCAGACTCTAAATCTGCAGCAGCTGCTGCTGCTTTCTCAGTTAGCCACAATGCAGAACATTTTTACTTCTTACTGGAGCTTTATCACTCATCTCACTCTTTGTGGGACGAGGAGGAGGAGGAGGAGGGGGGAGTCATTTGACCCCATAATCTTCTTGAAATCGACCAGAGTGAGATTAACTTTATTTCATCTCACACTGAGTCGCCAACACAGCTCAATCTTTGTCCTGCAACCTTCATTTTCCCAGTGATCCCAGATGAAGGGCACAAGAGCGGGATGAACAGCAGGGTGATTAAGATGTACACAACAAAGAACAAAATATTTAATCAACAAGCCGATCCGTCACCTAAGCCTTACAGTCAACTAAAAGCCTCTTTGTTTTTTAGCACAGATGTGCTCCCTCTAACACAGACAAATGACGTAGTAAGAGTAAAGAATGGGCAGAGTGATCCGGGGTGGTGTAGCCATGTTACTGTACGGCTGGACAAAAACCGCAGACGCTACTTTCAGTATAATTCCAGAGCAACATCCATGCAACAACTTCTGCATTAGTAAAGCTCAGTTTTAGTTTAACGACATGTTGAATCAAGCATGTGTTGATCATTTTCTGAGGCTGCAATCGCACTGTATGATTATTACAGGATCTAACACCAGATATGTGCACTACAAACTCCTACATAGTACTCCATGTTGATTCTTCTTATGATATATTGTGGAAATAATACTCAATTACGTTTTTGTTTATGATATCATTTCTTGATGACACTGTAGAGTGACTAATTCTGCAGGACATACAATCAAAACTAAATCTTTTTAGGTATCAAAAATGTGAAAATTGTCCAAATTTTTCTACCATTTTGAATTTTTTTCCGCTGATCTTACTCATTTTGAACAATTTGTAACATCTGATTTTGATGTTTCACTACTGATTGATTATTTCTGTGTTTAATTTTGATGATTTCTGTGTTTTGGTCTAAAAAATAGTCTTAAAAGTGGGAATAATTTAAAAAATAGGATTTTTTTAGCTTTATGTTTAGGGGATCTTCAGGCCAGTATGACAGAATTCACAAACAGGCCTACCTGTTATAAATCCAACAAACTGAAACATGAATATGAGCTGTTTGTCCATGTGTTGGGTGTATGAAATGGCAGAAGATAAGTAATATTAAAAGAAATACTTCAATTGTTTTGACTCTCTAACTAGTAGTTGATTTATTTTCAGAATGATTAACTACTTTAGGTCTCCAAAGAATAGCTTACATGTTTTCCTGCCACCCTTAGAGGCCTTACATGCAATATTTCCAAAAAATCCCCAGAGTTTAATCAACAGCTCTTTTTAAAATGGAAAAAACATGTCAGCTTCACCAAAAATAGGCCTGTTTTGCTGGGCTGTTGCACTGGATTGCAAAAAAACAACAGAGATCTTCCTCATTTCATGTCCACCCACTGTATTTCAATTACTCCAAGAATAAAACAGCTTCAAAATCCTCTGATAAACTCAGATTTGTTTTCATAAGCTGTGATGCAATCAATCTCACAGTAGGCTACAAGGCAGTCCTCTTAAAAAACACTCTGAACTCAACTGGAAACCACTGAGGGAGAAGGGAAAAAAAGTTTACCACCAAGTGTACTCTGACCTGTTGGGCCTGGTCAGCCTCATGCATGAACACACACGCCCACATACACACGAATACACACGTACACACATGCAAAATCCACATGCAAAGTCGATTGGCGTATCAACTAAAAGGGGGAAACGGCAGGATCAGGTGTGAGGAAGACACCCTCAGGGCAGTGCCAACAGTTTAAACTCCAGTCTGGTTCCATCTGCCTGTTTGTTCGAGGCGATCCCTGCTCCGACAGCCTACCTGTAACCGTGCACGTTGTTCCCCTCTGCTGCCTCCTCTATGCTGCACAGCGCGGAGCTTCTCGACGAGGAAACATGCTGTCAGCATCGCACTGCAGAATCGCTCATCTCGGACGCGCACACGGGCTCACAACGCGGGCTCCAGTGGATCATCTGAGGTAGATGTTTTTTAGGGGAGAAACTGTGCTGGGGTGCGACATCGCTGAGGCAGTGTGGGAGTCATCCCGGAGAGCGCGACTGCCAGACTGACTGCTGCTGAGAATCTGCACTCGTCGCCGGGGGCGCGCACTACTGCTTACGTGACCGCGCCTGGGATAATTTCGCCCCGGGGGTTCCCAGACCTTTTTCAATGTCAAGAACCCGAATATGAAGTTGGCGTGAGCGTGTGCGTGGAGCCCTTATTTGATCATATCTTCCAGCCTAAGGAGCCCCATCTGGCAAATTGTATGGTGTTAGGTAATGCCTGGTACGGAATTACATAACCGTGTAGTGTAGGTGGGGTGGTAACAGTGAGAGGAGTAAAACCTGGTGTGCAAATCACTTCATCCTCATATATCATCTTATTGTGAATGTCCACCAAATGTAATAATGTAAAACTGAATCACTGCTCTTTAGCATTAGGCTAAAAGAAATTCACAATTTTCATCTGCTATTTCCAGGGCCGGCTGGTGGATTTTGGTGGCCCTAAGCAAGATTTTATTTGGTGCCCCCCCAAAACACTCCCTGCGCAACCCCCGAACAAAACACATGCATGTACACACACAGAGATGGACATCATGGACAAATGAATTACCAACAAAGCTGGCTTTACTTGGATATCAAAAAATTAAAAGTAAAAGTATAAAATAAAAGTATAATTCTTTCAAAATAAAATGAACACAGACAAGTATTGTTTAAAACAAGCTAGCTATAGGCTTCTGTAAACAAAATTAAGAACATCAATTGAACACAGAAAAGTATTGCACAATGTGATGTCCCCCCCCCCCCCTTAGGCTTCTTATTGTTTTATCTCTTGCTTATTTCTGTTGCTCTATTTTATCATTACTATTATTAAAATTATTACCTGTTATTATTTTATTATCATTTTTGATATTGTTTTTTATATTTACTATCCTGTTCCCTCGTTCCTCCCCCTTTTTAATTGCATTTTCTTTTTTTTTTAACTATTTCATATTTTCATTTTGGTCCTCATGGTCTCATTTTATGTTGCATGGTTCTTGTATTGTCTGAAAATGGCCTTCAATTCCAATTTTACTGAGCTTTTTGTTTTTATCTGTCTTTTTTCATGTGCTCTATAACTACATGTCAAAGCACTTTGTAAACTTCTGTTTTTTAAAAGTTCTTTACAAATAAAGTTATTATTATTATTATTAAATAAGACAAACTAGTGGTTACAGCCTCTTAAAGCAACAGTTTATCACCTTTGATGAAAATTCACATCCACTCTGAAACTATAAACCATATTTAAATGATTTTGATAGCAACTTTTTTAAGTCTCAGTCAGTTGCCTAGCAACTTAATAGGACCCTAGAGATATAGTGCCATAAAGCAAATACTCTCTTCCAATCTGCAAGCAGGTGACCATTTTAAAACTTCAATTTCTTATGTTACAAACAAGTCTTAAGTCTAGCACAAGAACAAAAAGCAAAATCATGTTAACATCCCGTAAGAGCTGCTTTTGAGGCATTTGTGTAACCCTCTCATGAAAGCTATGCTATCTATGTTCCATTGGCTTTGCAAGGCTAAGCTAACTAATATATTAAATTAAAAAAGAAAATAACAGTGAAGGGAAAATTCCATTCATACATGCTTGATTTAGTTAAGATACAATTTGAGCGCAGAAAAGCTCTTATTTTTTATCTACAAGTAGATCCTTGAAGTATTTGTGACCAGCCCTCTTAAGGTTTGTGTGTTTAACCTGAGGATTAACCGCACTTTTCATCTTTTACTCAGGTGAATGCAAATGCTGCTCATTTGTTTGTTTTCCTGCCTGCCAGGGGGAATTTGAACAAAGGCACAAAGGTCAGTCCAACAGACCTCATCCTCAGTCATGCTATTTGCTTTTCATGGTTTGGCTCAGCCGACACACTATTCATTTCTTAACCTTTGTGTGGAGACAATATAACCCAGGTTCGAGTATTAATCATTGAACAGTATGCACTAGTTTAAAGAAGCTGGAGATTTATGAAATAGAAGTGCAAATTAGATTATATATGTCAGATTTAAAGCGTGTAGTTGTTAGTTAGGGTATTTTTTCAGGTGGGGTGGGGGAGTCTAAATTCTGGCATCTACACTCCTAACCTGCTGTCCTAAAATGAAACCACACAGAAAAAGGGCCTGACCTGATTGGGCAACTCCAACCTCCATATAACATATATCTCCTCCTCCTTCTGCCCAACACTTACACCCTGTGTTCAGCTCATGAACTACACCCTACACCGATCAGAGGAACTCCAAAATAAAACAAAACCACAAGGAAAATAAAACCTCTTTTGATTTTTTTATTATATCAAAATACAAAAATTTGAGAGGAAAATTTTCGTATGGGACTAAGCATTTGAAATGATATGGTGACATGAATACATCACTGCTTTCATATTCTCACAGACATGCCATAGATAGAGCATAGATCATGTGCTAGGCCCATGTCTACGTCATGATGAGCCACCAGGAGTGAGCCTGTGCATTTTTCCCTATCGAGGCTTTACGTGGCGACTGTCACTTAAAATCCCAGCCAGTTGGTAGCGAGCCGTGAGTGTTTTTACATCATAGTTCATTCAGGTTTCTGTTAACTCAATGTAGAAAGGAGATCCATGGCAGTTGAACATGAAGAGTGAGTAAGACATGATCTCAGACGATACAGAATTCACTGGACAGCAGTGGCAAACGAGAGAAAAGTAATACAAATATTATACATAAGGCTTTGGTACAGCACCATACAGTATGAGTTAATTGCTCACAAAAGAAGTTAAGTGAAGCGTAACACCTGATGTGGTGACAGAACAGAAAGACAAGTCTAAAAAAAAAAAAAACTGACAAAAAGAGAAACATCAGGTTATCATTTAAAAAAGAGAAAAGTAAAAAATGTTTTTGCTTTGAATTATTTACATATGAACATTAAAGACCATTATGGAGACAAATTATGTACAAAAAAAAACAGAATAAACAACATATAATACAGAGTGTAAACATGTGATGTACAGCACAGAGTTCAGTGGATGACAATGAAATGAAATGTATTAAATTTTCTTCCTTTTTAAGCACTACTTGGTTTGCTTAAGTATGAGCATTAGCTAAAACAGTCAACAATGTAGTGCTTATTGTAGCCTACGATAATAATAATACATTCTAGTTTCTCAGTGCTGGTACACATGAAAAAACAGAGAATATAGAAAATACTACATATTTCTATTTTCCGTCCAATAACAACCAGCTCGGATGTCCATGAATGATTGCTAAATAGGCGTTTTTTTGTTCTTTTTTTGTATTGTCTCTACATGCAAGATTAATACAATAAAAAATCAAATTGGTTTTTAAGTATCATCCTACCAGCACCTAGTGATGCCCTAAAAGCTGTAAGCAGTAAAATTGAAAAATAAAAAAGGAGAAATAAAAACTAGAACGTAAAAAATAATAATTGAGCTAACAGTACGTCCAAAGCAGCCCTCTTAAAACACTGTACATGTTTCTGTTGAATATGCAAAAAAGAGCCCGGAAGACAACATCCATTCGTAAAAACCCACGTGGAGGATAAATGAGCCTTCCCAATCGATACCTTTCAACCAGGAGAATCAGCAGTAATAAATACAAATGTGGTCTGATGACTGCTCATGGCTATACTGTACAGTACTAGTAGGAAATCTACTGCCGAAAAACTGTGGTGAGATGATGTGAGGCGGGGTTTTTTTCCGCCTCCCTGCAGTAGTGTGCTTGAAAAACAGTGCTGTTAACCAAAGATGGTAGACCTACAGGAAGTGTGTAGAAAATTTCCCCTTCTCGAGACCTGACGATGCTCTCAGATTCCCTCCCATGAGTCCTGTGGTGCGTATACTAATCTAAATCAGGTTATGTTTCTCCTTTTTAGGCTGGGTTAATATTCTTCATATCATCACAGATATACTTTAGAGAGGGTACCTTGGAAGCACAGACAGACATTGCAAACACACTATAGAAAACAGGTCATTTTTGAGTTCATTTGAATGTCACAAAATCTCTATTATTTGAGGTTATACTACTATTTTCCAGTATTGTCTATCACTGTCATCACACCATGATACTGTTATAATAAGGACCAATAGTGTCTACCAGAGCTAGTTCAGTTGCCCAAACACACAGGGCCCAAAAGAGTTGCTTTCGGAAACCTAAAAAGAAAAAAAAAAAAGAAATCTTTAGACCTCTAATCTACAGCACCACAGAGTTAAACATAGCACCAAGTCGTAATGTTCAAAGCAACTATGCCCTAACACACTTTTCTGTATCAAACTAATGTAAACACAAGTTCCTCCACGGCACGTTTTGTACATGACTATAGCATGTCTGTGACTCTTAGAAAAAACATTTCCTTCGGCAAAATACATTATCACTTTGTTCCAGGAATATTATTATAGAGGGCAACACACTTCTGCTTCTAAAGCTTTTTCCAATGGGCATTCACGTACTATACATCAGAGAAAATACTACTTAACTTGTGCAGCCAGCGGGCTATGGCATTAATACATCGTACGGTACTAACATTAAGGTTTCTTTTCTTCTCAGATAAAATAATGTCTGCTAAAATATGACAAATGAGGCACCTTAAAATGTTTTAGAAACATTATCCACTTAAAGCCGTACTGTAAGCAAATATTTTTATATATAATCTAATTTCTTTTTCCTTGGGATCCATCCCGTCTTTTCATACATCTTTTACAAGACATTATTCCTGTAAAACATGGTTTGATTTATCTTTACAAATACAATACATACCATGTACAGTACATAACAAATATAGATTTTTTTCCCCCTAATATTTTACTGTACATGAAACCAATTTTTCAAAGTAGAATATTTACTTTGACGCTCACTTTTCAGGCAAACATCACTTTCTCACTTGTCAAAAGAGATTTCATTATGCAGACATTAAGTCGATTCATTCATGTGGATATTTGTCGGAAAACCTCTGATTTGTTGGTAGCAGATAGAAAGATTTGGTGTTTTACTGAACTAGTGTTGGCCTTTAAAAGAAACCATGGTTCGTAGCCGTCTGAACAAAAGGAGCTTGGGTTGGTTGGTTATTACAGAAAAGTGAAAAATGTTTTTGATTTTTTGTTTTTTTTTTAGTGACAGCTGCTCATCTCACCAATTGCAGCCGCACTTCAAACATTGTTATGGGTCATTCAATGCACTGTGACATCGGGACATTCATTTCCTGTACAGCAAAACATACATTCATTATCGGTTAGTGTTGAAAATGAACAAACATACAGAGAAGTAGCTAGCAAGTAATATACAGTTGTTAAAGATAAACAGTCAGGGTGGCCATTGAAGATTTCCCATTGCTTTTTAACGGCTTTATGAAGCAATCACATTCTCCTTAAGACATGGTTGTTAAACATTAACATACTGTCTGAACTTGTACAGCCTTTCTGTACTTTTCCATTGGATTTACTCGCCTTCTTTGAGCCTGAACCTTATTTTTTTTTCTCACCTCTATGGGTATTCTGATTCTTTCCTCGAACTTGGATATACACAGTTGAAACAGGTACCCATTTAAAGTATACATGATGTAGAAAATAAAAATAAGAAAACAAGTAATGCATCCTTTGTAGCGTTTTCTTTCATGTGTCCTTGGCAGAGAAAGTAAAAACACGTAGTATTGGAGTCTCTCACTCCCCCAATAGAGACAAATATGAGAAGGCGAAGGAAAAAGGCAGTTTATGTTAGAAAAAACAAGAGAGAAAAGGCAAAAAAAGGCACCTCGAGACGTGCCATGCTTCACAAATGATTTCTTAATAATGAAATACAAACTACAGTACACTTTACAATTCATCACCCTGTTCTTCTAAACCCAACGAGTCCGACCTCTGGTGAGTGAGTCCCAATTGTTTTCTCATGAAGGCTATGATCTGTATAATAACGTGTTGCTATGACAATGAGTGTAAACACACCGAGCCGTCTAGCACTAAAATTAAGACAGTCCTCTAGTGGTTGGCATTGGATCATGAATCAAAAAACAAACACAATATGCCAGTTTCTACTGATAATAAAAAAGCTTCTAAATTAGATAAAGTTAGGCCATATTATCTGTCTGGATGAGCATTGTGTGTGTGTGTGATATAAACCTTTTTAACCATACGTTTCATATGTAAAAAGGTCAAGTACGTACAGTATACCCCAAGAATTACAGCAACTCTGCATTTACTCTGAGGTATATTTTGTGGTAAGAACCCTGTGTTTAAATACTGACACTATTTGTATTGTAGGAAAGGTAGACTCATGTCCCTGTCTGAGGACGCACCAGGCTTCACAGTACACTGTATCACTGAAAAACCTAAAGATATGGACCCCTCAATGACCAGTGAGTGAAAAATCTTTAACGTGTTGTGACATACTCAACCAACACATTTTTATTACTGTAGGAGGAAGCTTAATTCCCTTGTTTAACTAGTTATATACATTATATATGTTCATTTTCAAGTCAAATTCCTCAGAGACAAGTAGTGGTGACAACTAAGAAAAGCCATTGTTCTCTTGTCTTCCAATGAGATTTCCAACCTCCCAAAGTATTCAGCTGGATGTTTCCCCTGCTCCTGAAATGATGAAGAACCTTTGAGAGATTATAAGAAATGTATTAGCTTGGAGCAAGGAGAGCTGAGGTTAGACTTTTTTTTTTTTCTTTAAATCAGGGGAGGTCAGTTTAGTCGAGTCCAATGGCTTGGTGGGCACACAGGTCAGTGTAGAGTCCCATAATTTGGGCCCTCAGAGTCTGCACTGGCCAGAATGCCTGTCTGGTCCTCCTCTGACTTCCTGCGGTGCAGTAAGGAGGTCAAATAGTGATAGGGGTTCTTCTTCTTTTGCTTTTTCCTCTTTCTGTGGAGGCTGAGATCCTTTCCCTCTTGGGGTGTCTGAGATTGCTGCTGGGTCTGAGAGGGACACGCACCTGAAAGGGAAAAGACCAAGAGTAACATAACACCCGTGTGTTTTTTTTTCTCTATTAATGCCTTGCCTTGTTTCTTGAATCTTTGGACAAACCTGTTCTCCTCGCAGAGGTTGTGTTGTTATTGTTGTTGGCAGCCACGCCTTTGGCTTTAGTAATACAGTGGTGTAGCAGTGCTGGTAAGCTCTCAGACCCGGCAGGATCACTAGACGCACCTAGAGGTTCCCTAGAAAGAGCAGAGAGAGCACAGCATACATTGTCCTACATTAATCCAACAGTCTTGTTAGGTTTCATACCAGATATATAAAAAAAATAAAGAATGGCATTTTGCATTTCTACATTCAGCAAATGCTAGCTTATGATAATATGAGCTTTTGCACATCTACTGAGAGCCCTTTCACTAGGATGATGACTGTCCACTTTCTATCTGCGTTGATGGATGATAAAAGTTAGACACACACTAAGAGCAAGAGAAAAACAAAGAAAGAATAGTTGATATAAAATGGAAGTGGATTTGGTGAATTTATTGGCTAGAGAGAGCCCTCTCAAACAGTCATTACATTAAAGAACCAGTCCGAGGTTGCAAAGAGTTTTGCATTCACAGACTACAAAACGTCTCCTTGAGAGTAGAGAGTAAAGTCGTTGAAAGAATTTGGGTCCCATAATCAGAATTTTAAAACCTGGAGCATGTTTTGAGATCTTTGAAACAGAAAAGGTTTCAGGTTTTCAGAAAAACTGAAATCGGAGCTCCGACAGGTTTGGGTCTTTACATAGTGACTGCTTCAGAAGAATGGGCGTTATTGCTCCAGTTGTTGTATTAAACTCATAAAATGAAAATAATTTCTGGAACTAGCAAACTACTGTTCCTTTAAGCAGATCGTGTTTGATCGATTCAGTTATTCCAATACCTTTATTTTCAGTATGGGGTTGATGCTACAGTGTGTGAACTAATATGCAATGTGTGCAGGCGTTTTTAAAAGGATCCTGGGGAACTATTTTCATTTCATGAGTGATACATGCTACGTTCAATGAAAAATAATCAATGGTCAGTCAGTAGAAAAAGATAATCACATCAAATTGAAGCATCTTCACGGTCATATTATACAGTTAAGCAGTTTTACCTCGTACCAAATACTCTGGTTTTGTTGTCAATCTCCATTAGAGAGATGCATTTAAAGCAGATTAAATCCAAACACCCTCAAAAACTTTACGCATTAACATTCAGGCGCAAGAGGGTTCATTTTGGCTCAAAGAATTTTAATCAAACTGCGTCAAAACCCAACTTAATGCTTTATTAAGTCAGGTTATTGAGCCAAACATGTATCTTTTCAAAAAGGCAACGAAACACAAAGCTTTAGAGAGGCTGTCCATCACTTGTCACTGTGGAGAGAGAGATTGAGAACCATTAGCAGAGGGGGGGAGACAAATGTAAGAATTCCTGAACAGATAGAGAACATTTCCATCATAGTACTAAACTGCGGGTCGAGGCCACAGCGTGTTAAATACATTTCCATAGACATAAACACTGTACAGCACACTTTCATAAACATGAACACTGCGTACAGAGGCTTCACCATGCTGACGGGAGGAGATGGCAGGAAGAGGAAATGGCCGTTAAAGAACAAGTCACATGACAGGAAGAGGAAATGGCCATTAAAAAACAGTCACATGACAGAGAAACGAAAGCACTTAGGACAACAAATGTGACAAAGAATTTAGTTTGAGAATTGTTGTTATTGGTTTGGTCGTAGAGAGAAGTTTAGAGAATGCATGCATGGCATTTTGCACATGGAACAAAACTTTAAAGGGGAATACTCCAGTCTATCATTCATGTGCGTCCTCTATTGATTCAAGGCTTTTCTTTTGGTAGTTTTTTTTTGGTGCAGGGAAACATATCTGCTCGAACAATCAAAAGACAAAAATGCTTCTCCACAGTCCAAAACCACTCCTCCTGCTTGCTCACAAGCCTAATTACTGCAGCCTACGCCACAGCAGGCTTACTGTACCGTGAAAGTGTATTGACAAATGTGTCCTGCAGTCATTATTACCATTAGTCGTACTTCACTTGAATCCAGCACAGAGGCACAACCCAAAGCGATTCCCCTTTAAAGGAGAGAGTGATTAGAGCCCTCCCCCTGCTGACCCCTCCCCTCTCAGACATGGGTCCGACCCTTACCTATTGCGGCGTAGGGGACCGGGTCACAACGCTGCCCAGATAGCTGAGATCAATCAAAAACAAATCACGTAAGACCCTTACCCTCTATAAAGCAGCAGCAGCCCTATAAGCTACCTTCCCTTAAAGGCCAGTGATAGTGCAGGAGCGAGTCTCTGCTTCATGGCTTTAGCCACTGTGTGATTGTAGCTTCTAGGGTTGTGAGGTGGGTGTGAGGGGGCGCAGGAAAGTGTGCAGTAAAGAAATGCCGAGGGGTATGAAACTATAAAAGTCTCAGCTATGTTTTGATGTGGGTGTAAAAGCATGAGATTTCCTGCTTTGTGTCTGTTAATCCGTAGATGGCGGTGGGCACCATTTACCAGATTGTTGGGTCTTTCTAGCAACATTTTGTGGTTTCCTTCACGACAAACTGGCTTAGAATACTGATTTTATATATTGTATAGATGTTTAAATATGCACTCTATTATAAATGTTTTAAAATCACTCACAAATGTATTAAAACACTCTAAAAATGTTGATGATAGCTATTCTTGGGTTGCCAGGGTAAAACTCGGCTTTATCTTTTGGATGAAGCTTCTAATGAACGGCCTGAAAACTATGAAATAAAATGCTATTTTTGGTCAAATTCATACATAAACAGATATATTTTATATTGTTTGTACAATAAGTTAATATTCTTGTTTGCATTTTGGTAAAACACCCTAAATTTACTGTCGATATTAAACCTTAAAAGTCCGCTTCTCTGGAGAAATAGATCCCAGTTAACAACTATGACTGGTGGTGCTATATGCAAGTGGGCTCAGGTGTAAATGGTTTGCACCATCTGGGTGGAATACCAGTTTGGATCCTCCAAAACCTGCATTCACTGTTTAAATAGTACTCATGTTTGTAGCACATCTCTAGAGTCGATGGTTTGGACAGCCCTTGTTGGCATTTCTGGGAAACTTACCCAGAAAGTAAGAGTCTGTGTGATTGGTGAAGTCTTGTCCTGTTGACTTTAAAGTGCAAATTTATCATTATCTATTACTGCTGACCTGCTCTTTTACCCTTATTCATGATAAGAGCTAAAAGACTTCATTTGTCACTTTTCCAACCTGGCAACCCAAAGCTTTTTTTTTTCTTGAAGCAGCTTCACAGTTACTACCAAAAAGAGAATAAATGAACTTTTCTAACTTTTATTCAATAATTTGTCTGTTTCTTTGGATGTTACATACCATAATAGTGTAGTTGTGTAGTTGCTTATTAAGTGTCACAGTTGTTTCATTTGAGTCTAACTTTAAAGTAATTCGTAAGTTGTGTTTTAAGTTTTATACTCCTATAGCTTCTCCAATCTGTTTTAAATGATATCCAGCTGCGTAGGATTAACTAATTCAGAGTTTCATTAATCAAAGATTAAAAACATGGGAAACAGCAGAGCTTTAAAAACAGCACACTTGTAGTTTGTATAACTAACAGCTAAACAGTTCATCTGTATGTTCCTGCGGTGGTTATTTTTCATTATATTTTCATTACGGTCATGTGGTTTTCAAATGAGAAAGACATTAAAACATCAGGTTGAGATTTCACATGCTGTAGTTAGCTGTACTGCTAAGAAGTGATACAGTGTGTGCTAAATGCTATTACATGCCCTCTGCATATAGTACAATATGCGTCTTATTAATGTCTAAATGGAGACATCAAAGTAAAACTGTGGATAAATGCTGAGGAAATTTGAAATAGATAGAGAGCAGAGGAGGAGACGAGTCTCCCCTTTATATAAACATGTGACTATTCTCTACTGGAGTGGATCACCTACCCTGAGGCTGATATCTGGAGCTGAGAGGGCTCTGAGGGCAGCATCTCCTCCTCTGTCCTTCTCTGGGATGGCCTCTGCCCGAACACATCCCTGCCCTCCTGAGGGGGAGAGGGGGACTGGGAGGGATAACTGGCTGCAGTGGAGGCATACGACATGTGGGCGTGGTAACTGGGGCTGGGTTGCCTGCCTCCCTGACCCTGAGTGGGGGAAGCAGTCAAGGAGGACCTCCGGGAGAAACTGACAGTGGCCGAGGGCTGCAGGGTGATCTCTGGCATCTCCAGAGACCGAGAGGTGCGGAGGATGCCAGGGCGTGGAGGGGGCCGCACAAGAATATCTGGGGAGCCCGGCTGGGTGCTAAGAGGGCTTTGGGAGAGCGGAGACAGGCGGGAGGGCTGGAGTACTAGTGGAGGGAGGCTGGGGTCTGCCCGGCGCCCTGCCCTCGGGCTGAGCCAGGACTGAGGGCTACTACTGGGGGCTGTGCTTGGGCTCCCTGCACGGGCTGCCGGGTCAGGGTAAGGCAACACTGGTACACCCACACCGTGGGCCGTGTGTCTGAGCTGGCCTAGACTTTGGGCCTGTTGCATAGCTAAACGCCTAACCGGAGGCCCCAGGGGCCTGTCTCTGCCGGGGGGAGCCACAGGAACCTCCAGCTGCAGGAGTCCAGGGCTGGTCGGATCCTTTAGGGAGGGGAAATGTAGTCGACTAGGTGGGAGAGTGTGAGTAGGGTACGAGGGTGGGTCAGGGAGGTCCTGTGGATGATGTAGGGGATGGTGTGGTGGGTATATGAACCGTGGACCCTCAAGGCCCAGGAAGGGTAACTCATGAGGCTGCCAGCTTTCAGGTGAGCGAGGAGGAGGGCTGTGTGTGTGAGACAGAGAATGGCCTGAGGCGGTGTACTGATGGTGCTCCATCTCTCCGCTTTCCTCAGGGATGGAGGGGTAACCAAAGGGCCCCTCGGCGGTGCCTGGAGGGGAGGACAGAGCGGAGCTACGCGGGCTGATGTCAGGGATGTAGAATGGTGGTGGGATCCCTGATTCACCGCGGCTGCCTAAGTACCCATAGAATGGGCCCTGGGGAAAGCCCCTGTAGCGGGAGGCGGGGGCCTGCCCTGAGGCGTGAAGTACACTGCCCTCTGCAAAGCTCATACCTTCCATGGGCCTGTGTAGGCGGGGGCTGTAGGTAGGGGGCTGCGTTGACTCCAGGCTGGAGGACGTTGGGGAGAGCTGGGGCCGCAGCGTGGGCATGATGGGCGGCAGAGGCCCAGGGTCAAAATCATTCTCCTCATCGGACTGCCGGAACTCAGGGTACATGTCGGACTCCTCTGCGAAGGGAAAGCCCTGGATGCGGCGGGGTGGCGGGCTGGTCTCCATGACAAAACGACCGTCGGGGCCGCGACTTATCAGCTCAATCGGTGTGGTAACCTCGGCCTCGTGCTTGGACACGCTGTACTTCTTGCTGGCTATGGCACGCTTGGTTTTCTTGTAGAAGGAGAGCTCTTTGTCTCGTTCTCTTTGAGGGCTTGGCAGCTTCCTGACGTATAGGCCTGGGCCGTGTGAACCCTCTGAAGAAAGGGAGCGCGGGCGAGATGGAGGGGAACTCTCTGGACTTATCTTCCCTGAAGATAACCTTATAAAAACGCAGACAAAAGACAAAGACTTAATTTGACAAGAAACAGATGAAACCCAGTGCAGAAAAATATCAAAGAAAAAAACCTCTGATGCTGTAAAATAAAAAGGCATGGATGCAAATAACCAAACAGATAAGACAATACAGAGCCAAAGCGCGTTATCAAGACAGCCATAATGAACTACATTATGAAAATGAGCAGTTCAGAGCAATGACAGCATCCAGATAGCACAGCAGCTAATGAACCAAGCCAGAATGACAGGATGAGTAGAGAACCAATGACACGACCATGACAACCACATCACAGATCTATCGAACGTACGTCTTCTTGAGCAGACGCGAGACCTATTCCCATATGCTGCACCAAATGGTGATGTGAAGAAAGCAGATGACATCTAACCAGGCCTCATTTGCCCACACCAGGAGCAGCATAGTCGACACTTACTCAGTCCCTAATTGCATCAGGTAACACACATCATGGAGGGCATACACAGGACTGAACCTTACATGCAGCTGAGCTAATGCACTTTAATCTCTGCTTGGTTGCGTGAGAGTCTGTGCATGCAAATAGGCTTCACTACAGCAAAGAGTCATTGTCAGTTGATTATTTCTATGCAATGCATTAACCATGCAGCCAAGCCAGTGCAGTGCAGCACACTCTGTAATTAGGTGCAGGCAGGCACTCACAGGGGGCTGGCGGGCGGGGGCAAGAAACTGCTCCTGGCAGGCTCGTCCCAGCAGGGCTCTACCCCTGGCAAGGGGGTGAGAGGAGGCCTGCGATGGGAGACAAATGACATGGGCCTGGTTCATATTTGACTACGCCACTAACAGGAAGGACTGAGAGTATAACTTCCTGAACTATAGGGACCATTTCAAAGGAATAAAACAAATCTTAAACTGATAATTTACCTAAAATGCATGGAAACCATTTACTCTGGAATGGGATTTACACATATTATCGTCACAAATGATCGTCTTTAGATATCGTAATGCAATCATACATGTACACAAGATTACAGACAGACAGACATTTACACACATGTAGCAGATAGTGTACATTTAATGTGCAGCTAAACAAAAAGTAGCTTTTTTTTTTTTAAACATTTAGAATCATGCAGAAAGCACACAGCGTTTGAGGTTTAAGAGTACAGATGGATCAAAAATCAATACACATACTGCAGCTTGGGCACTCCTGGTAATGTGATTAAAATGCTGACTGGGCTTCTTTGAACTTTGCTCCATTTGCCCGTGATCCGCTAGAGGCTGCTACTGAACGTGTTCTACACCTTTCAAATAGCCTGAACATGAAATCAATGAGATTTTCGATGATTTAAGTAGATGTTTTTTCTCCTGTATGCTGATTTGCTTGGTATATACCACTTCTTTCCATGTTACCTCTTGCTCAAAAGCAATACAGGAAGCATTCTACGGTTGTTTGCATTTACCAAGGCTCTAAAAATGGTCTCTTACCAAATGTCTGTTTCTTCAAAATAGTTTATACTTCTAATGCTTGATATTGCTGAAATGTGTGCCATTTAAAACTTTGCACAGGGAGTGTAATACTGTATATAAAAGGTGCACTAGAACATGCACAGTAGCAGCCTCCTCCGGCAGACGGCAGAGGCTCCGGCGTTCGCGTTACTTACGGTGACTCAATGCTTTTCCTGAAGTGTGTCACCGACAAGGGAGGATCTGAGAGGACAGAAACATTTGAATTCAGCATTCATCCTCTGTTGAATACCATGAAAAGAAGTCAAACACATGTACGGATTATGAGGCTCCGGGGCTCATAAGACACATCAAAGACCCCCAAGAAACAACAGAGACAACTAGACTGGAGGAGAGCGAACACTATGAAAAAGTGGGTCAAATGTTGCTATTCGTCAGCTCTCTGATTGCTTTGTGTCCATCTATTGACAGTTTGGATCTCTGTCTTGTCAGTCTAGTCACTTTTGTTCCTCTTTATGGTCATTTTGCTCTAATTTCTGTGCATCATTTGAATTTTTTGGTCATCGAACTCACTTTTTTTAATCAATCTTGAATCATCCATTTCATGGTCAGTATGCATCCTATATGAAGTTATTTCATGAGCCTCTGTGGCCTCATAATACCTCATTGTCTTTCTTGATGTCATTTTGCATTCCTTATTTTCAATTTGATTCCCATTCATGGCCAGACATGCAGCGTGTTTATTAGATAAAAATAAGGTAGAGACCGACCTGGTTTACGCTTGAGTTTGCGACGGTGTTGCTTGTTGACAAAGCAAGCTGCAAGGGTGCTAAACAGTACTGCCGCTGCCAGGAAGCAGATGGTTGCCACAACACCAGCAACCACAGGCCGTGCCAGCCCCTCATCCGGCAACTCTGCAGGGGGGAAGGGATCTGATGTAGCACACGAGTGGGTAAAAATTAAAGATTATATTCACCAAATACTCAGAAGCTTATTCCCCACGGGGGCCAAGTTTTCCAGTGGGTAGGGTAGATTGAACCTGGAGCACACTGACCTGTGCTGGACACTCCCACTACGTTGCTGCTCTCACTGATCAGGTCGTCCATCACGGCCATAACCCGAAACTCGTACCAGGACTCCTGTGCAGAGACATCAAAATTCGCCCTTCTTTCACCCACCAAAGACCATCTCACTGTGAATCTCGTTGAAACATTAAACAACAGTGACGGAATATTCTCTAATGTTGTTATATATTTGCTGCGTTCCAGTTACCTGGGAAGTCGGATGTCGGAGCTGGGAATGACACTACACGAGTTGATGAGTCGTAAAACCGAGATGGACACCTACTGTTAGCAGTTGTTAGCGGTTGTTTACAATTTTCAGCTGTCGTTATTGTTGTTAGCTATACCAGTTGTAAATAACACATAACACAGTATTTTACCCTACAAACACCATAGCACTGTGTTTACAGTTAGACGTTAGGCAGTACAACACATATCACTAACTCAATTTCACAAAAACAAAACAGAAGTGCTAATAAATAATACAATATTAGAGCTTTCACTGTCACTCTTTACTGTTGATGCACTGCACTGTCATCTTGAATTACGACATTGTCGTCAAGTTGGGGTTGGCGAGGATTGTCCAACTTCAGAGAGGCATTATAGATGAATTTCCGACTCGAAACTCGGAAATCCAGACTTCCAAGTACAACTGGAACGCAGCATTATTCAACAAGTGTTGTACTTCATAATGAAAGGAGGCTAACAGTATGAAATCACCTCTTATTTTGAACCCAACAAACCCATGTTTCATATCAAATCGTCCCTGTGTCGATGGTGACTGACCTGAACTAGGTCTCGAGCTATGAGCTCAGTCTCCGTGGACGGGATCAGGTCATCGAGAACCTCCCACCTCTCCCCGAGGCGAAACTCCATGATGTATCTGTCGATGGGTGAAGAGTGGTTGGCCGGAGGGAGCCATGTGAGGAGGACACCGTGCTGCGTGCGATTGGCTGTGAGGCACCGTGGTGGAGTAAGAAGCACCAGTGGTTCTGGGGTACCCAGGGGGGAGCCTGTAGACCAAAACCATTGATCAGAAATGTTAACACAAATATGAAGTTTTCTTAAGAGATAATCTGAAAACTTAAACATGCCACACATGCTCGACACATACAATCATTTTCATTCAGCATGCTGACATCAGCTAACTAGCATTGAACACCAAGTATACCTTAAAGTAAGAATGTCATCAGATTTGCAAAGATTTGTCGTATTAAGAGTAAAAAAATCATTTAGATGGAGCTTGATTTCCATACAACTCATCTAAAAGTTGTAAGGCACAAATGTCAACCTCATGGTGAGACTGGGAAAGTCATGATCAACTTTAATAAACCAAACGTTGTGCCACTCCATTCAGTATTTCTTAACATTCAGATGATTACAAATAAGTCAATCCATTAGTGTTTGAATAATATTTCATAGCAGTCCATCTGAGTGTTGTCGAGATATTTTAGTCTGGTGGTGAATTGAAGAACCAAAAGCCTAAATCTGCTCTCTCCTGAGTGATGAACAGGGTCAGTGGGTTTTACTAACTGAGCTGAACGTTACAGAAATGTTTTGGTAGCCTTTCTGTACCACATAAATAGTGCATGGGATCACTCAGCTAGAAGTATGTTATACACCGTGAGAGTGGAGCAGTTCTAGCTCCCTGAATATACACCCTCACAGGTATTCTACCTGACCTCAGACTGAATACTGAGAGTGCTTCCTCTGGAGTGACTCTTCCTACTACTCCAAATGTCTAAACAAACCTACCGTAAGTCTTAAAATACATGTCTAGTAGAAAAATTCGCTTACAGTGAGTAAACAAAAAAAATAAAAAAAACAAACAGGCAGAAAAGACTGCTCAAACGCAGACACATTTTGCCAAAAAGGAAAATTGGATCAACAGTGACAAAAATCTCTGACGATCACTTTTATAGTGACACATCTACCATAGTGTTATGGTTTTCTTTTAGTAGTTAAAGCCAAAAAAACAAAACACTTAAAAGAGGTCTCACGATCTTCCTTTCTGACAAAACAATATTATCACAATTATAAAAATAACATTACAGGACTAAAAGAGAGGGGACGGTATAATTAAAGCACCTCATTGTCAGTGCCTGCTCTTCTGTTGGCTACCATCTCAGTGTGTGAACTAGGTCAGAAATGTGCAAGCCTCATTTAGCCTTTGTTTCGCTTTTGCAGGCAGTAAGTAGGATTTATGTCTGCGCTGTGTACACCAGAGCCGGTCTTGAGTCTTAGTTTTTACATGGTGTCATAGCCAAACTATATCCGTGACTTCAGGTGCGCCTGTCCTGACCTGTGAGTACTCCTACTGCACACCTTCATCTCTTTGTCCTTCCCACCGTATAGCGAAATATCTATCCGTGCATTTTTCTTCCTACATGCCTTTTTTTTTCTGCTGAGACATTGATTTTAAATATCATACACCTTTTAATTCAGTTGCTGTTCAGGCAGCTGCACGCGGAGACTCGGCTGAATTGGCAGCGTGCCCTTGAGGCATGAGGTGGATTAAAAGTCAAGAATCTTAAATATGTAAATCTGCTCGACATCAAAGACGCACAAGACAGAATTTGTGAACGGCAGCTGAGTGCGGCTCTCCAATGCGTCGTTCTCATGGCAAACATCGTTGGCTTGTCAAACAAAGGTGGGACTAATAACATAATTAATGACTCTGGCGTTGTGAATGATGGTTTATTGGCACACCTAAATGGAACGGCGCCATCAATAATGTCATGGGTAACACCTGTGCCACTCCTGCTGTGTAAACTGAAACTATTTACAGCGAGGATTATCCATCTCATATCAGAGCTCATTAAAACTAGCATCATCTGCTACCATCTCTGTGCAGGTGCGGGGTGAACTTTTATAAGTTCAGCCATATGAGTCGTTCCCTGATTCACTTTGTGCACATTCTTCTCTTATGAAGACCATAAATCTCTGACGCTTGGATTTAACAGCGGATAAAATCTTGTTTGCTTAGTCATGCTGAAGGACTGTCAAAATGATTTGATGACTCTGTTATTTGTGGGGGTTTCCTCTTTAAAATCGTGACTGTAGAGTGTAAGTGGGGTAGAAGGAAGAGGAGGGCTGGTTTAATCTAAGATGATTAAGTTTGTGGGTGGACGAGTTAGAAAAGGATGACACTTTAGAGCCGTACACTTATGCTCGCTCGTGCACAGTCTTCGTGTTGACCTGATTTGATCTATTTATTCTGTCTTTGCATTTTTTTGTGAAGAAAATTACAGAAATAAATGCAGGTGACCCACATGAGTACATCAACATCTTCGTATCTGAATTAGGCAGCCTGACTAAAAGAGAAACATCTTTACCTGATGGAGGAAAAGAGTGCGATGTTTAAGTTCTACCTCTCCAGTAAACTTCACTCTTTCCTGTATTAATCTGAGCATCACTAGAGGGCAGCATGTTCAGTGCTGTATCTGATGGCACTCTTAAGTTAAAAATAGAGTCTCAGTGCGGCTCAGTGGGCTTACTCTGAAGTCAGGAAGCATTAAACATGGATGGGAAAACCTTTGATTAAGTACCCACCTGCAGTGTTGACTGTCACAACTTCGCTGAATGGGCCTGTGCCCAATTTGTTTTGTGCCAACACACTGAACTGGTACTCCGTCCCAGGCTCCAGCCCTGGCACCACCAACCAGGTCTGAGCACCAGAAACCGGCATCGAATGCCAGTCATGAGGACCAAAGTCTGTTCTCTTTGACCTGAGAGCGGAAATGAGAAAACAGAGAAAAATTAAACACCGTCTATGGCTGATTCCTACGTCTAAAGATGGTGTTATTAGTGAAGGGGTCCAACAAATTTGCAGTCAGTTCACCAAAAACTTCTAATTTGTTCCAAATGTCGGGATTCAAACTCCTAATGAGCCAGATTTGAGTTTTCATGGTATGAGGCAGCTGTTTTTTTAACAGTCAGCTGAAGCTGCTCAAAATGCTGTTACCAATAAATGGAAACTTGAAACTCATCTCTATACACTCCTGCTTTCAATGCGAATAGTTTATGGTCATTATTTATTTAATTTTATCATTCAGAATGCTGTGTTTGAGCAGTAAAATTTTATACTCTTTATTCTTTACATTTTCCTGATATTATCCCTTTATTCTGATTTTCTTTGCGAATAAGTCTCCTCTCGCCTAAACCACTTAAAATCCTCAAATACTGCTATTCTCTATCTTTGCATGTAAATTCTTGCAAACTGTGGCACAAACCTGGTTCAAAAGTGCTTCAATAAGTTCATAAAACAAATAAAACAGAAAATGAAACTTGAAATTCATCCTTCAACTTAGCCGGCACCTGCTGTTAAGAGTACAATAAGTTATAGCTAATCTAAACTAGACCTGTTATTTGTCCGATTTATAACCGCCTGTCAATTATCACCGCGGTCACATTAACCACAAGTTGATGGTAATTTGTTGTGCTCACTAGGCTATAATGTGTCTGGCTCTACAATGTGCAAACAGTTAAATGTGTAATTATCTCTCACTACGGTAATTACAGAGCTTTGACTTACAAATTTGTAGTTTCAACCCTGAGAAAAGCAGTATTTAACTCAGAGTGTAAAGCTGAGGAAATGTGTTCTTTATTTGACCGTCTGCCAACGTTCATTTCTTCAACCTGAGCTGATTAATTATGCACATGTTGATGTATCTTATATGATTTTGCATTAATTAAAGCTCAATCATTTTCCTATTTCACATCATTAAATTCAGACAAAAATCTGAGAATAAGAAAAACTAAACCCTCCTCTTCTTCGTTCATAGATGACTAGAGTGGTCTAACCCAGGGGTCGTGTTTCCACATCTCCAGACAGCAGTCATTGATCTGAAGTAAAGGAAAAGCACTTACACTGGACCGTACCACACAGAGAACGTCTGTTCGAAACCGCCATCATAACCTGGTTCCCAGGACACATTGGCAAAGGTTGTTGAGGGCAATACATGGATATTACCGGGAGCATGCGGGCTGGTGCCTGAGTGTTCACAGAGACAGAGAGAGGGAAAGAAGTGAGCTCAGCAATAGAGGCAATCTGAGTTACCATATATAGTGCTTCTTCAGAGATAAAACTGTAGGTATCGTGTTAACATGTACAATGAATCAACATTTTATCAACATATCTGGTGACTCGGGTCAACACGATGAGCATTTTGTTGGTATTTTCTCTCCCTAAATGCTGCCTCCAGAGTCGGCCTGCTCTCCATGGATATTGCTGAGGTGCTGACCAACGTAAGGTCAAGTTCAAGAGCAGCGGCGCTGCTGTCTGCAGCTCTGCTCATCCCACCCACGCGACAGCTGTGCCGTGTGGCCCGCAGCCAGTAACTTCTCACTGCGATAAAAAACAGAGAGACCTGAGTGTGGTCTGAGGAGCACAGCTGCCTCTGCAGCCCTGTGACACCTGTCAGCTGAGGGCTGGTCGCGGCGAGGCGGGCGGGGAGCTGCCAGCTGTGAAACAGGATAACAGCTCCATAGGCACTGGGGCAATGGGCTACTGGGGCAGACATGCTTGCACTTTACAGGCCAGCAAATGATAAGAAAAAACCTTAGGCTTCAAGGAATAGCTCAACACTTTAAGGGATATTCTGGGGTAAAATTAATTTAGGGTCAAACACACGGTAACATCGAGTTAGACCCCACGTTGAGAGATGAATGTTGCCGACCGCTTGCTTCTCTAGTTATACCAACTTTAGTAACGACCGCACAATAGCAATACACTGTGGTCTTAGGAGCCACACACAAACCTCAACCAAAACGCCACTCTATAGACACAAATAATGCTCAGAACAGCACCTAACTTCATCAACAGTACAAATAGGGTCCTAGCCACAGCACTAGCCACCAAACATCTTTTTAGCTTTGCCTGATTTCTTTAGCAAAGAGACTAAACACAACTCACCTACTCTCTTCCAGCAGCCGCTTGTTTGTAGCATGACCTCAGGCCAGTCCAAACTGACTACAGCGGGGTGACGCAGCTCAAGGAAGAACATTTATGATCAATTCTTTATGGAAATACGATCAGACTGAGACACTAAGGCAGAAGAACTACCGGGTCTGCAGTGCAAAATGATTAATATGGTGATTATTACTTCAAGGAAATGATAAAGTAATGATCATAAATGTTCTTCCTTGAGCTGCATCACCCCGCTGCAGTCCGTAATGGACTGGCCTGAGGTCTCGCTACAAATAAGCGGCTGCTGGAAGAGAGTAGGTGAGTTGTGTTTAGTCTCTTTGCTTAAGAAATTAGGTAAAGCTAAAAAGATGTTTGGTGGCTAGTGCTATAGCTGGGACTCTACATGGACTGTTGATGAAGTTAGGTGCAGTTCTGAGCATTATTTGTGGCTATAGAGTGGCTTTTTGGTTGAGCGCGTGGATCCTGAGAACGCTGTGTATTGCTATCATGCGGTCATTACTAAAGTTGGTAAAACTAGAGAAGTAAGCGGTCGGCAACATTCATCTCTTGACGGGGTCTCTAACTTGGTGTTACGGTGTGTTTGACACTAACAGAATTTCCCTTTAAGGTATATTAAATTAATGTACCAAAGTTCTTCTTGCATTTGCAATCACAAATTTCACAAATTGTCTGTCACCATCACTCTGGCCTTGAAGGGTTAACAGGCTTGGAGTTCACTCTGAAATTACACCGTGAGATAAATACACGGCAGGGAAAAAAGAGCAACTTGTTTAGGAAAAAAGATTTTTGAAAAAACAACAGACACCCCAAAGTAAAAAGTATTTTACATTCCTTGTATGGTTTATTATCATGTCTGACACTATCCTGCCCGTTCAGCGAGAGCTTTTTTACTACTCTGTGCAAGATGTTATCTCTGTTGAAATAAGTGTTATTACTGCTGTAAAGGCTCAGGCAAGCAAAGGCCATAATCAGCAAATACAACCCAAAATCGAATCAGAGAGCACTAGTTGAGGTAGGAGGGCTGATAAATGGCGAGGGTACTGACATTCGTTGTGAAAATCTAACAAAACCCTGCTTTTTGTGCAACACATGATAAATCCGATTCTCTGTGGCGTTATCCCACAAAAGGGTGACTCATCGCTTTCTTCGATAGCTCTAAAATTGAATATTCATCTCTGCCATTTGTCAATACTTATCAGGTAAAAAATGTCTCTGGACTCAGCAGACGGAGCCTGTGGTGACTGGGTGGATAAGACAGATCCAGGCTTTAAATTAACTGTATAAAGCTATTACAGATAAGATCTAATGAAATTTTAATGATGCCTGAGGGGAAATTGGGTAGAGACGAGGTGTTTGAGGGATGAGGGTCATCTCCGTACAAATCATTCCAACCTCTTGGTAAAAAGCGCAAAAACAACAAACACACAATAACTTTGAAAGGTGACTTTTTTAAAGAGGAGATAGAGCAAACTCTAGTGAGCTTGGGTTGTACCGATGACTAGGATACGCGTGCTGGCAGTGATGCTTGTGACCACGTTGGTGGCTACACACTCCCATTCTCCGTGGTCCTCCTTGCTGAGGGACAGGAACTGTAAGCTGCCGCTGGGTAAGATGTTGTGCTTACTCTTGCTTGGCTTCCCCACCTTCAATAGACATGGAAATTAAAAAAAACATTGTTACAAACAGACGTACCTTAACAGATAAAGACGAGTTAGAAAATGGATTTTGATTGTGTTTGAACTGCACCTTTCTCCAGGTGATGGTTGGTATATCAGGGTCTCCAGAAGCAGCACAGGGTATAACTAACTCTCTGCCAGCCTCCTGTCGGTACTCCCCCCCAGGCCTCACATTAAAGTAAGGGGGATCCTGGACACACAAATGTAAGTAAGACATCAAGACTTTTATGCTAGACCAGGCAGGACCTGAAAAGGAGACGTACCTTTAGCACCAAAGTGGCAGGGGGGGACATGCCCATGGTACCCAGGGCGTTGTAAGGCACACAGGTGTAGGTGCCCAGGGAGTCTTCTGTGGCCTCCGCCACCCGGATACTTCCATCTGGCATCACGCTCCAACCGGGGTACTATAAGACGAGGTGAGGGAGGCATGAAACGATGTGAAACTCCATGTAACTGATCTGAAGAAGTCAAAAGTGAAAGTGAAACAGACCAAACCCTCGAGATAATCTTACCTTCTCCACTCTGAGGGGATAGCCGTCTTTCTCCCACTTCACCGATGTCACAGGTGGATTGGCATCCACCGGGCAGCGGATGATGCCTGGTAGTTTCCGTGGGACGTAGATGACCGGAGGCATGTTGATCACTCTGGCGGGGTCTGGAGGTCAGAGAGAGCTCAAAGTTACAAGAGCTGGATGTATGATCAATGATACTTGATGTGAAGAAGCTAATTTGGACTTAAAGGGATATTTCAGCGTAAAATTAAGAATTAATTACAGAGACCTCCAGGCGAGTCCATCAACTGCAGCGGGGTGACACAGCTCAAGGAAGAACATTTATGATTAAAACTTCATGGAAATGCAAACAGACTGAGACGCTAAGGCAGAAAAACTACCGCATCTGCAGTGCAAAATGATTAATATGATGATTATTACTTCAAGGAAATGATAAATTAATGGTCATAAATGTTCTTCCTTGAGCTGCGTCACCCCGCTGCAATCGCCCAGGGGTCTCCATACAAACAAGCGGCTGCTGGAAGAGAGTAGGTGAGTTGTGTTTAGTCTTTTTGCTAAAGAAACCAGGCAAAGTTAAAAAGATGTTTGGTGGCTAGTGCTGTGGCTGGGACCCTATATGTACTGTTGATGAAGTTAGGTGCTGTTCTGAGCATTATTTGTGGTTATAGAGTGGCGTTTTGGTTGAGCGCGTGGCTCTCTGTATTGCTATCGTGCGGTCGTTACTAAAGTTGGTATAACTAGAGAAGCAAGCGGTCGGCAACATTCATCTCTTGACGGGTGTTACGGTGTGTTTGACCCTTACTTAATTTTTCGCTGGAATATCCCTTTAAATGGCAGAAAAAAGTAGGAAAGAGTAGGAAATCCTGAAAAGTCTTCTTAAACTGAAAGTTTCAGTGCTTTGGCCTCTTTAAAAATGACAACATAAAGAATAAACAGACACCCAGAGCATGTTGTGCATGAAGCTTACAGGACTCTAGTTTTATTACAGTATGCCATGTTTGAGTCCAGTGATAAAATCAGAGCCTGCAGTGCTGTGAATCCTCTGGATCTCTCTCTCATACCGGGGCACAGTAATCAATGACGGGCAGCAACTTGGGAGCAAATTAGCTGAACGGACAAAAACCAAAATTGTAATGCCACATTGCTGAGGATGAAGAGTGGTGATTTTTTTTCTGTCTAGATGTTCAGAGCTGATGGGCAGGAAGGTCAGCGTTTCATTTTAGGGGGTTCAAAAGAGAACAGAGAGAAGAAAAATTAGGTCTGAGGACATGCCCGTCTCCATCTTTGAGCAAAGAAAGAGGCTGACTGGTTAATAATTGGATGGATAATATCCACTCAGAACATGATGTGTTCAAAGAGGCTTGGACAAAACACACCTAGCTCTCCCTCTGCCACGTCTGCCCTTGAAATTCAAGAAGGTTACTTTGCGTTACAGCGGAAGAAGCAGCGCTGCCAAATAATCCAGCAGCCTCCAGCACCAGCAGCCTCCATACTGCTGCTGCTGCTCCCTCTACTCACACACAGCTCACTGTACCGTCTCCCCGCCCCTCCCCCTCCATTTTGTTACCATGGTAACACTCACACTGAACAGTCAGGTAGGCCGATGCCGAGGGCGAGATGCCAAGGCTGTTGCTCGGACTGCAGGTGTATTTCCCGGCATCCTCCGGCTTGACCCGGAAGATGATGAGGGTGCCGTCGATGAGAATGCGCACTCGGAGCTTCAGATCACTGCAAGAAGACACGAGGCGTTCAGTCACACTGTGTTACAGGGAACACACGGTCAGGACAAGGCAGCAGCACATCTAATCTCCTCTTCTTTTTTTTGGCTGAAGTACATAAAGGTGCCATAAGAGAGCAGCAGAGAGTCAAACAGCAGCTCTGAAAGGGATCCAAAGAACACCAAGTACAGAGTGAGAGATTCAAATAAATCTGCTAATTGCCGTAATTGCCAAATGGTGCAGCCTTCATGTTTTCTCCCTTGATACCGTTTAAAATTAAACACAGCGATGATGGAGCTGTGGTCCTTTATTGGACAATGAAATAACTCAACAGCTCAACATTAATCTGAGTATGTCTTTAAATAAAAATTTTGTCGTGTGAAGCCTTTAAAATATAACCATTTGTTAAAAGTTTACACATTCAGAGACGGAAAAACAAAGGTCAGAAAATTCAGGTCATAAAGGAAACACTCTGGGTCATAAAAAGAACCCGTTTGACCTTTTTCTGGAGAAGGTAACCATAAATTTCTTTTATATATAAATAAATAAATTAGCATTTATGTTGACTACAAAAAAACAGATTTCAAAACTTGGCAGCACCACCTATTAGTTCCTACTGATGGCTTTTTATGGATGATCAATTAAGCCAAACGCCACTGCCTCATGCATTTAGAGTGTTCTTTTTAAAGCATCATCTTTGGGTGTCCTGAAAAGTGCTCTATAAATACCATTGGATAAAATTAATTGGACTGTATTGACTGAACTTTAAGTCTCACAGTGGCGCAGAGACTAAACAAGAGCCAGGAATAAACAGATAAAGAAGAGTTTAATTGAATAATATAAGAAATACGAGTTATTATCTCTAAAGATGAGCACGCTCATATACTTACGAGACAATTTACTCTACAAAGCCTAACATTATGAGACTTTATCAGTCCTTTTTAAGATTCTAAATGATTTTTTTCTGGATGATTTTATTTATATCCTGTTAAAAAGGCAGAAAAGTCTCCACTGAAGCCTTTACATCTGTCAAACTGACACTTCAACACACTTCTTTTCACTTGAAGTCGCACTTCCATTCACTTTTTTCTTCCTCCTTTCCTTGTTCTGCCTGCCACTCTTTGGTTTTTCAAACCCTCACAGACTCCAAAGACAGGCTCCGGAGTCCCCGCAGAGGTCCTGGCTACACTTCAGATCATCACTGCATGATGACACAAGGCCTGAGTCATGTGATACTGCCATCAGACTGCACTTACTTGCCTGGCACTGTCCAGACAGACCCCCGCCAGGCCTGCTCGCACTGCCTCTAGGGCCGCAGCAGGATGGGGCACAGCACACTCATATGCGCACACACACGCACACACACAGCAAAGAGCACAGAGACACACAATGTCGCTCCTATCCCTTTGGGTTAAAAGCTTGATTTGAAAGACTGAACCTCTGAACAAGGCGGCCTCTGAGTCTTAACTTCATCTACTGCGGCTACAGTACAGAAGTGAACTTGATCATAACTTTACTTCTTGAAGTAGACGTTGTCCTCCTCCCAGAACCAGGTGTACGTCAGGTTGCCGGGATACGCCTCAGCTTGGCAGGTGAAGAGTGCATTCTGGGATATGTTTACAGTGACATTTTCAGGTGGGGAGACGATGTATGGAGGCCCTGAGGAGAACGGCAAAAAAATAAGTGGACTTTTTAAAACCTTAACAGCAACGACAGATTATTGAGGGAATAGGCAATTATGAGCAGTCCAAGAAATATGTAAATAAAGTTGAACGCAATTTATTTCACAACTTAAACTCTGATATTTCAAACAGAACACAAAACAAAGTGACAAAGTGTGTTATTAAACCTCTAAGTGTCTGATTAAACTACATGCAGGCTTCTCTTAAAGTAAACTTAAAGAATATTTATTTTCTGAGGATCAGGGAGAGTAAAAGCAAACACTATACATTATTTAAGACGTGCCAACAAAGTCTGATATAAAACACGTTAAGCAGACAGCCACTGCATCAGCGTTAACAGTATTCAGCGTCTGCATGCTTCACATAGTAACCTTTCTGCGGCCTGATGATCTCCAGGTTTGCTCCAAACTCTCAAATAAAACAGGAGAAGCCATGAAAGGTAAGCTGTCTTTTATGAGTGGGCCCAGATACAAGCCTGCGGTTTATTTTCCTCTCAGCGTGCTTGGCTTTTATGCATCAGGTGGGACGGCGATGCGTAGGCGTCTCACACAACAATTAAAAACAGATCACAGGAGCGAGAATCATGACTCCTCAGATATCTGCTTGTTATTGCTCTGAGTCATAATCATAGCCCGCTTCTTTTATTACACAGCGCTCTTCATGCCAACAGTCAACCATGCAAACATTTCACTACACATGCAAAGGAGGTTGTATTTTCAGCACAGAGTGTTTGTCTTGTTTGGCAACGGGATTACAGAGAAGCTACTGTCCCGATTTAAAGGGAAAACTTTTTTTGGAAAGTAAAGAATGAGCGAGTAGAGAACGTTTTACATTTTGGACTTGAGCCGGATCAGATTTATGAGCGAGACCCTGATTCTGTGCGTAGAGTGTTGTTTGCTTTAGACCTCAGCCTCACACACGGAGAAACAGAACTCAGAAGAAGAGGTCGAGTGGTAGAAGAACATTTTAGTCATGATGTAACAAGTCGATAAATTAGTGGATTCAAATATGCAAGAGTTGGTAAACAGTTAGTCTTGATTTTAGGATACGAACATTAATGGTTACATATCTATCCAAGAAAATCCAATGTTTTCTTTTTACAGGAATCTGCACATCTTGTATCTGATTCAGGTTTATTAGAAAGTGACATTGTCAATCACACCCGTTTTTCTCTAAAGAAATAAAAAACTGAGTACACTGCTTTTTTGATATTTAATAGATAGTCTTACATCTATTTATTTGCAAGCATGTCCATCCATTACATTCACCCCAAACCATCATTTATTGTTTCTACATGTGACCTCTTTTGACGTTGTACTGCTAATACTCTTCTTTTTTTGTTCCATCATATATTTTTTCTCCATTCTCTGACTGTATTGACACAGTCTTTTCTGGGATCCCTGAGCTCCATCATGCTGTAGTTTCCTTGTGATCACTGCTGAAGATGCTTATCTGCTTTCCCAGTGCTTCAACTCCATCCCATCTCTAAAACCAGCAGCAGATAACTGTAACACGAGTTTGGTTCTGCTCGAGGTTTCTGTCTGTTATAGGAAGTTTTCCCTCTCTTCTGTAACCTGCTAGATGCTAAAAGTGCCACACTCATGTGAGTGAAGATAGGATGGGAGTGGGTCTGATCTGAACAGCAGAGATGGACTACTGTTCAATATTCAACATCATACACCACACTTCAGATATCTCAAACTACCTTGTTAAAAATGAGTTTTTATCACAGGGTCCTTATAAGGCTGGGCGATATGGCCTTAAATCAATATCACGATATATTAAGCAGTTCACCTCATTCATGATAAATGGATGATAACTACTCTACAAGCTGCTCACCCCCTCCCACATTAACTTTATCTACTTCAGCCACCGCTCAGGCCGCTCCAACTTTTGAACCGTCCTCCATCTCCTCACTTGTCTTCCCTCTTATTTAAAGGACTGAATGGGTTGGAGTCACGTCTCTGATGTAGGACAGCGTCTTAAAGAGACATGAGACCATAGCCTACCTACACACATCCAAAACCAACTTTTATTCATTTATTTATTTTACACCGAATATACCGATATGGGCAAAATAACCGGTTATTGTTGTAAATTTCAGTATTGGTAAATTTTCGGTCTATCGCTCAGCCCTAGATCCTTGTAAAATGTTTTTTAAGGGGTCAGGTGTTTCTCTCTGAGCCGCTGCAGCATGTTGTGTTTAAGAGAAAAGCTATTGCAGTCCTAGCCTTCCATTGGAGGCCTGAAGACTTGATGCAGTTGCATCATATGCACCAGTGATCACTCCATAGAAAAAAAAGTTACAACACCATGATTTTTTAATGTGTTTGCAGTGTGAGTGCACATCCATTGACTTTACTGGGAACAAAGGGGGGAGTCCGTTCGCCTGCTCTGTTTGCACCTACAGCAGGCAGGGCATTAAAATAACTCTAGCATAAAGGCAAGATGCTCTGTTTCCTGTTAAATACACACAGTTAACTCCCCCTCAGCCCCGCTGCATCAGGAGACTGAGAGAGCTGCAGGCTGGCATCACAGCCATCTATCTGATCTGTGTCTAGCAGAGAGCCTAGTTAATGGACCGGAGACAGACAGGGACGTTCTCACACACAGATCCTGTTGTACACACATAACTGTGCACAGGAGCACGCACACATGCACACACAGAGAGGCCCCAGACTGAGCTATTGACTGACTGATACAGACTCACAAGGTGCTGTATGTTAGATACATCAGCACACAGGAGAGTTGCAGGGCTCTGCTTTAAAATGCTGCTCCAGTAAATGTCTTGAAATATAAAAAGTGAAACAGCATCTTAAATCATGCAAATGTAATATTTGGCCTGGGGTGACGGGTGGGGAACATGTTTGTTTTCTTTCTTCGGTGGATACACTCATGATCTGTGCAAATGTATACCAACAGCATTTAGAAATAATGTCTATCTGCTACAGTGCTTTTAGTTTGCGGTACCTTGGACCAGCAGACGGGTGGTGTGAAGCACCTCTCCCTGGTCACTGTAGGCTCGGCATGTATACGCCCCTCTGTCATCTCGGGTGATGCCAAGGATGGTCAGACTGCCATCATGTACCTGGAGAGACACGAAGAAGAAGCAGTTAAACATCAAACTTAGGTAGTTCAAGTTAAATGTGTAAGATTTCACAGGAAAATATCCTTAACTTTCAAACTAGAAGAACCTCAAGTTGAAAATTAAGTCTGTTATACTCGACTCATCATTTGATCACAGAGCAGTGATAATGAACCTTAAACTGTCATTATTTCAAATATTATCTTATATCTTATTCTATACCTCAAATCACAGTTTACCACACTCTGAGGTGGGATTGTGATTGATCACATAATACTAATCACTTTAACCCTTAACTGTCTCATTAACCGATCACTCTCTGCACATGTCCAAAGTGCATCTATAATCTTTGGTTATTTATACATTTGTTTAACAGTTTTATCATCAGTAGCTGACTGCTCTTATCCCATCTGAACTAATTTCAACTCATCTTGACTCATCTCATGTTATCTCATTTCAACCTATTCAATCAATTTGACAAATTTAATGTAATTTTAACTTGTCTCATCTTACATAACTTCATCTCAACCCTAAATATCACATCTAAACTCATTTTATTCCATCTCAACTTAACTCTTTTTAGCTAATCTTATCTAATTTTAACCAATTTCATCCCATTTTGACTGATCTTATCACATCTAATGTCATCTGAATTTACTTCATTTTATCTTGACTCATCTCATTTTATCTAATCTAACCCATTCGACTCATTTAATCTCATTTCAACTTCTTTCATGTCATCTTAATTTATCAAATCTTATTTCACATCATTAATCTCATCTAATTTTGTCTTATTTTTATCTAAGGGTGTTTTTCTTAAAAACATATTTAACAGTGAAGTTTAAGCAGTGATTCAAACTAATTCAATAACAAAATAACAGAAATTTAATGAATAATTTTCACCATGGATCATTTCATTAGATCTTTAGCCCTTGAAAATATCAAAGAAAAGTTTAAAGTGCTTGTAACACTACCCCCGAGCCCACATTGACATCTTTTAATGATCTGGTTAAGCACTTGCCAAGGGTGAAAAAGTTTTGCTCATTTTTAACGAAGTGAAAATCAGCAAATTTATGAGAAATTTTAACTGAAAAAAGTTTTAATTTGAGGGATAAATTATTCATTAAGTCCAAAGCCAAATAGTTTTAGTTCAAATATCATACTACGTTTATCATACTGCATGTTTGTTTTGAATATGTGAGTTTATTATAAGAACAAAAGGTCAATTCTCTCCTTCTCTGATGTCTGCGTTTGTATTCTTTACACTTCTCCACTGATCATAACCCTCTTTAGTGACTTTTCATTGAGTTAGCACAGGAGCGTCCTCCAAAGGAAATACATCAAACACGCTAAAGTCATGAATGTGTCACGCTTTAATTAACTCCAGCTCCGATTCCAGCATGTGGTAACCGTGGAGACGTCTCACAGTGTGTTGCTGCTGCTGCATCCCTGTGTGCAGCACACTGATGAGAAGCAATAAGTGTTGAAGAAACACATTAACCAAACCTAATAGAAACGGCCTCATAAATTATGCAACAGGTTGTGAGAGCCTCTGTCCATTCAAGTAACACACAGCTGTCGTGTGTCCATTCATGCAGCTGCTGCGCCCGCAGAAGTATTCCCATTCATCCGTCTTTCACATGTTTTATAGAGAGACAAGAGATGCTGCGAGTAGATCGGCTCAAGCGCCTTCAACTTCTGTCTGTCTGTTGGCAAACTGAGTCACCATCTCTCACATTGTCTATTACAAGATCACACTTTGTGCTTCACGGCTGTAACAACGACGTGTGCGTCCTGCTGAGAGCTGAAAGTGCAAACTAAACACTGATGGGTTGTGAAGCATCGCTCTGGGAGCCCGCGGAGCCATTTGTATTCATTAAAAAAGTTTTTAAAATATATATATATGATAATAAAGTCTTTATTTTGATTACATGCTTACACTCAGGGCTGTTTGGCTGATTCTGCATGTTTTCTAGCCCTTGTTAGCCTCCTTCACCAGCCACCGTCTGCATCTGAGGTGCAGTCTTCTGAGGCTGGTGTTCATTAATATATCATGTGTTTTATTACCGCTATTAATGAAATGACTTCATAAATGTAAAGCTGTTCAGATAAAATGCTAATGGTTGTTTTGTTGCAGCAGATAGCAAATGTAGCTTTATCTGCCGGATATCCAGACTTAACCCCAGCAAAGTTCCATAACATGATTTCTGTACATCTTGTTTTGTTGCCACAGTCCGATGTCAGGTCATCTCATCCCATCAGGACAACGTTAAAGGACGAGTCCACCCAGCAGCTCTGTCAATCAAACACCCACCCGAAGCTGAAAAGTCTGTTTCCCCCGTGGATTCAATATGTCTTGTGAAGTTTTTAGTTGGTGTGTTATTAGTTGTGAAGGGCAGTCACTGCTAATTTCCCTTCCCAAAGATGAAGGCACCACAAAACAGTGGGAAGTTTTGGGACCAAACAGCCCTATTATTGCTATTTGTGCTCACCACTTCACTGACGACTTTTTTGTAAACAAAGGCTAGAACAAACTTGTATGTTTAGTTTGCTTGTAAGCACTTAGATATGCTAACATTCGGTACATTTACATTTATGAAAATTTGATTCACTTTACTAATCGAAGTGAAATTGTGCAAACGTCAATCCAACAGCCACTGCACTTGGAATTTCTCTAAATTGGATTAACACACCAAGACAAGTGGGGATTAATCTAGTCCCGCATGTGCATATTTTGGTCAGAGTTAAACTCACCTGTGTTTGAACAAGACACTGTAGTCAGCTAAGGTAGCTAGAGAACCTCCACGAAAGAAGAAGAGACGGTATAAGAGACAAAGATGTCCTATCATAAACAAATCACTCAGAGATGTAAAGAAGTTCGTTCAACATGTTAGCTACCTACTAACTTGTTTGTCGATTGTTTTGGTTTCTGCCGTCATAGGTCAAGCAGGACATGTCCCACTGGCTGAAATGACGCATATCGCCCCCTAGTCAATGAATGGGTGCTTATATATTAGGACTCGGGACTGAGCTAGAACTGTAGCCCAGTTTTACTTAGTTTCATGGTGTCTTTGCTATGGGATTGCATTGTTTGGAATCTTCCAGTTAACATAGTTACATACTTTTATATACTTCTATCAAATCAATATGATCAACAAATTACTAAAAAAAACACCTTAATACAGTCCGATAAATGAAAAAAATGTCCTCTTGTAGTTTATCAGTTTCCAAAAACATCTAACGTATCAAACTAGATAAATAAATATATTTGTATAATTTTAAGGACATTTTGATTTGTTGGGTTTTCAGTAGTTAGTGAAATAAACACTTCAGCTCCAAAATAATTTGAATTTTCTGGCCATAATTTGTGGTGTCAGGCATTACTTTAATATTTCCTTGCTTGGATTTCAGCCTGTAGAGGTTTCATTTCATCATTCCAGGATTTCTCCTTAGCTGTAGTCGGGCCATATCAACCTGGAATAAGACCCTGACAGGCAGTGCACCTTTAAGAAATATAACTCTAACTCTACCCTGTATTGTTATCCTAAATTAATCTGAAGTAAACATTGTGAACATTGCACTCTCTCTGGCAATAACTTTGCATTTCCAACTTTCAACTTTCCTTTAAACTCTGTGAGGCTTTTCATTTATTTAAAACAGATATATTTATGTATGCCATCAAAAATCAAAGACGCTTGACTTGCTGAACTTGGGTCTGTTCCTTCCTCTCTTCCTCTTTAATTGTGACTGCTATGCACCAAAATACAAAGGCACTGCCATGATCAGCGTCTAATCTTGGAGGAATTCATTTCACTTTTTGCGGCACATACAAACAGCTTTTCATGACGATTATTATGATTGTGATTTTGAATGATTTCCTTGACAGGATCTGATGGTAAGAAACAGCCGTCAGTGCATCCCAGTCCTTTCTGTGCAAGAGCTGAACTCAATCTGAGGTGAGGGAGGGAAGATTAAAGAAAAGGAGGAGGAGGAAGTCTGCAGTAAATGAGGAGAAAAAGGAGGACGGAGGATGGGAGAAGCTGCAGATAAGGTGAGGCAGGAGATGAAGGCAGAATCTCAATTTCTGTGACTCCTCCGACACATCCAGAGAGAGAACGAACTCAGCCTCTGAAACTGCAGGAGGTTGTCACTGTTTTCCTGCTTTTTTTTTTCTGCTTGTTATCTGAGTGCACTTTTGGGGGAACTCTTCAAAATCTCACCAACGTTTCTGTCCTCTCCTGAACAACACTTTTGTTTAGTAGCTCTGTTTAATGGTCCTGTGCAAACAAATCATGCAATAAAGTTAAGTAAAGAGCAGAGGGGGGGAGGAGGATGAGGCTTCCTCGTCTTTCACCCTGTCTGTCACATTCCTGTTTTTCTCCATGACGTCTCCATGGATCCGAGCGTGTGACTGAGCAAATACCCCCTCATGCTCGCTCTCAAACACCGAGCTTTCCCAAGTTTGAAGTTCTCTGCTTGAACTTACCCTTCAAACAACCAAATGGAGGAGGAAAGCTCATAAACGCGCTGCTTTTTCGCATTTTCTGCCGGAGCCGGTGAAGTACAGCACTTGGCTCTCACTAGCGATTTTCATTTTTAGTGTAACATTCATATTAGGACTAATGTAATATTGATGTGGGGAGAGGGAGATAAATAATGCATTAGAATGTTGTCCAATCATTTACGGAGGGAACGGCATTAAAAAGAGGCAACTGGAGGGAGAGATGGTGCAGCAAAGTGGGGAAAATGAAAGAGGAAGAGGCCCCGTTTGCCCTCGTCAGCCTGTATCACACCGACTGTGCTGAAGAGTTGATAACGCCTGCAGCAGACTGAATTATCAGTCAGATGTGAGAATGTGAAGGCATGCAGAAAACAACTCCACCTTGAAAACAACTCGACAAACAGTTACAAGCGGTTAAAAATGGCCCTCCTGTGCTCCTCTGCTCGTTGAAAACACTCGGCAACTTCTGCTCAAAGAATTCCAGCAGTTTGTTTTGTACGAGCCGCTTAAATCCATCATCTCTTTACCTTGACCTTCCTTTTCTAACGGCTCATTCATGGGTTTGAGAGAGCGACTCCAGACAATCGCAAATGAACGGATGTTGAATTGGAGTGCTCTCTCGAGTATCTCATGTGGGTGGAGAGAGTACTTGTGGAATTAAACTGAAAGAGTGAAAAAGTTGCTCTGCTTCAAAAACAGACATTTGTGTGGAATCAGATTGGTGTCGAGAAATACAAACCTGACGTCAAAGTTGGAAAAAAAGAAACTGAAGCAAATACAATATAATCCAAGAATTTAAAGCTCCTGTGGGGAGTTTTTTGACGCTTAGGAAATAGATGGAAATTTGTATTGATGCCTTTTTGTGATATCCAAAAGAAAGCAAGACCATCAGGGACAAGATTGGTGATTCGTATCTTGTCATTGTTGATGCATGATACTGGCCCAAGCGGGTAGGTGTCGGCCCAGCAGCTAAAGAAACAGCCCTCTGTTTCAAATTTCACATAAAATATAATAAATGAAACATCTGAGGGGCAAAGGTTAGCAGGATGAGATTTCAACCATGTAAAGAGCAAGACAAGCAAAGAGTGTGTTGACCACGGGCAGCGTCAATATCAACACAATCTGAAAGGTTCTCCCAGGAGCTTTAACTTACAATTTACAAAATAATAATCTAGTAATTATTTGTGTCAATTATATCCAGTTATATATATCCAGAACTTTAAAATGCTACTTTAAAACTTACTGGCCAGATAGGACACACATCCACAAAACATCCACTCATTTGGAGAGTCTCTATCAGAGGTGTCGGCGAAAAATCGTGAATAGCACCTGAGGGAGCTAGCAGCAGCATGCCTGGTTGGTACAAGTGAATCCGCAACATGCAGCAACAAACTTCAGTACAGTGATAAAAACACAATGTGAAACAAATCTACTAAAATTAAAACAGACATATCTCAGCTATAATTGTTTAAGTTTTTAGGCTTTAACCTGTTTATCCAAAATACAGCAAAGAGTAGTAGATCTGTTCTTTCCTCTCTGACATAGTCTTGGCTAACCTTACAGCCACTGAAACAACCGAACACAGCGATAGTCGTGTCACTCTGAGGAACCAGTCACCTCGTCAAAGAGTGTCTGAACAAAAAAATGTACAATTACTCAAAGATTCAAACATCCACTGTGGCCTCAAACTGGATTTTCCAATTTATTATTGTGAGCAAAATTCATACTTTGTTAATTCTCTGATCTTACTTTTTCATTTAGCGATTTTTATTCTTTATATTGCACTTTAAAGCTTTTTGGGGTATTTTTAAATGCCTTTGATCTCAGCAAGTCGGTCATTGTCAGGCCAAATGACTGAAAGCACGCTGAAAAAAACAGCATCTTTTTTTTTTTTACCTTTTATCACCTGACGGTTTTAAAGACAGCCATGTGATAAAACCTGTTTAGATTATTAAAATAAGGGATGTAAGAGGTTTTACTTTGTCCATCAGGTGGCGCCAAATTTGACAGAAACAGAAACATCCTTACAGGAGCTTTAATCAGACCCCTCCATTGCAGATTTGTGTTTAACAGTCTGAGCAAGAAACCTATATCTAAGCCTATAAACCTAAAAATTGTCTGAGTAAAAGATGTTTACCAAGACTTGTCAGGTGAATGAGGCTTATTTTGAGGATAATGACATACAGTATGTACTTTCCTTAGTCTTTGCAGTGCGCTTGTGTTACTTGTGTCTGGTTTGTGTCTGTATTGGGAGCCAAAAAAGAAAATTAGTTGAACAAGTACTTTGTTCACAAGTTTTACATATACTTTCTCTGCTTGTTGAGCATTTCTCCCTGTAAATCTTTTTTTATGATTGATTTTTAAAAAGGTTTTATTTGGTTTCATTGTAACAAATCTGCACTTTTTACTCAACATCCTGCGTCTGCGCTGAGTCATCTCTCTGACAAGTGTTTCTGAGTAATTTCTAATGGAGTAGCGTGTTAAATGTCTTTGATTTTATACAGCTGACAACGGCAACCTGATGTTTATGTCACCGATTCATGTACCTGAGACATTTCACTGCTGTCAAACTGCGCCGGGGCTGAGCCAGAAATATCTTAGGATGACATCATTTGGTCTACTTTAGTGAGTTTATCCACGGGAATAAAAAACGTGTTTTTAAGTGAGACAACAGGGAGGGCAGAGAAAGTGAGAACAGACTGATGATAGTCCATTTTCTGATCAATCTAGAGCTACAACGTTTTACTGTGTTTCGACATGCCAATACTTAAGAGTGGGTTTTATTCTTCTTTAAACTTGTAACATATAATCAACTTTATCCACAGCTCCATGCAGTAGTTCTTTGCAGATCTCATCACAAAAGTATTGTCTGTTTTTTTTTTCTATGAACAACAGAAGAAACCGATTTAGGCCTCTGTGATTTGTAGTTCATAACACATTTCCAGTACAGATGGACTCAGCGGATGACACCATCTGTGCACAAGCCCTGCTTCTATATTTGCACACAATCATAAATCTGAATTATGCCCATAACTCACGATCATTCTTACCGAATATTTAGCGTTGGTGGAGAGCTCCTCCCCCTCCCTCACCCAGCTGATCATTGGTTTTGGATTTCCCTGGGCAGAGCAGCTGAGCAGAGTGCTCCCCCCTTCCTTCGCCTCCACATACTGCGGCGGTGTTGCTGTGAAAGAAGGCGGAGCTGTGGAGGAAAAGAAACAAGAAATTTTTATATCATGTAGTCACGATGTTTTGAAAATAAAGCTGATTTCATTCAACTTCTTTTAAATGTCCTGTAGGCTCATTTTTGGGGAAAAGGTAACTTTAAAGAGTCACTTTTTTTGCAGTTTTTGAGAAGGAAAGTTTGAGAAAATGTTGATTTCCCTTTGGTTGAGGCCTCTGAATCTCCTGCCTTTTCCTACACTTTGTAAGCTCACCACATTGTTAGTCTCCACACAGTAATTGAGCATCCATGTTGCTGTCACCTCGCTCTGTTGTTGCCTGAATGACTTAACCGGCTAGCATATATTATACATGACCTCCCTTACTAAAACCATTGTTCTCACGAGTCGAAGGTGCAGGAACCCCCTGTGTGGGGTTTCAGGGTCTGCTTTTCAACACGCCCAGCGCTTCAGCCACACCTAAATACCAACAAAACTGTTAATACCTCCTAATCTAGCGTGCATACATAATTTAAGCCCAATCTGGAGAGGAGTTCAGGTTCAGTGCTAGTGCACGCTCATCCCATCATGCTCATCATAATCAGAAACATACAGACACATACACCTGTCTCCTCTCCCTGCTCTCCACTCTCCACCTATGGCTGCATGGTATCTTGTACCCATAGACTGTATATACTATGGACAACTTGGTTCAGCCTTCCGCCAGTATACGGATTTAAGGCTAAAAGCTCTCGGTGTTTCCACAATTTTTCTAAATTTCCTGAAACCAACATTGCGCAGTAGCGTTGTATGCATTTGATGGGAGAGTCGCAGAGAGTCGCTGTGATGACACTCGGCTCAAACAGCATATTCCCCGGGTAAGCTACCCAATCTTCGTACACCCATAGGCTGTGTCAAATGTCAAACATACAAACATGAACCCCTTTTAAAAATGGAGCTGGCCATTGCACAGAAAAAGAGGACTTGAGCACAAACCAGTCTTACAGTAACTAAATTGCAAGCAGGGGGTAGAAAAATTTATGTTTTAATGAAAATTTCTAAAGTTTGTCCACAGCTCCATAAGCTCTGCTGAAGGAGGCAAAATTTAGGACCTATACTGCAGCCCGTCACCAGAGGGTGCTGTTTTCAGAGTGGCTTCACCCAGCGAGGAGGCAGACAGCGTCCATTCTATATACAGTCTATGATTGTACCGCTGTTGCACAATTTGTTGAAGATATAATAGTCCAGAATTAATCTTAGCAGAAGCTGCGACTTCACTGCTTATCACGAGGTGAAAGTGAGAGCTGTTTGAGGGGAGGGGCTGTAAGGGAAGAGAGAGAGGGTGGGCTTCGTTCAACATAAATGACGTAATGGGGGCAACCCTGCAGGCGGCACAATATCTTCAGTCTTTTTAAATGTATCGTTGCAATCATGGGGAATAATCACGATTTAAATCAAAACCTGATTGATCATCCAGCTCTTGACCATTCTGCACTTTATAGTCGTGTATTAAAGGTGACCCCACATTTTCCTGAAGCTCTTCTTGCTTAATACTGCAGCTTATTCGCCAAAAGCTGAAGCCAGCACTCAGTGACATCACTGATTTTCCACCTGATGTTTCTGAGCCTCACTAGCAGCCACAGGGGAGCTCTTCACCTCCTACTGCAGGCCATTAAACCGTAGTCTCCTAAGCCAGCTGCTCTCAGTGTTTAAACACTATACTTTGATTATAAATAGCAGCACCCTGTTTAGTTAGCGAGGAAAAAAAGGTGCTGCCGTACAAGTGGGTCAGCGCTCGGCTGCTGGGAGTGACATGCTTAAGACTGCACACGAGCACCTGGCATGGAGTATACAAATTGCCCAATTAGCACGTTCAGACATCTGCCCGTCCACGCTGCCCTCTCACTCTGCAACGCTCATCACATTACATGATACAGTAGATTAATGGGGATGCTAATAAAAAGCATCAGTGGTTTATGTTTCCTCGGGATGCAGCTGACAGGTCAACAGCTGCATTTAATGGATGGCGAAGGATCATTTTAGTTGTCAAAGGGGAACCTCGGGCAGTCGCTTCACCACAAGTGTGTTTTTATTCTTGTTTGCACTGCATTAATGATTATAAACAGGTTTGATTAATCCTGATTATAAAATATTTACCTGTATAAAGCCTTCTGCTCAGCGCTTAATGAAATGAAAATGCAGTTTCATTCACTAGAGCCCAATTACAGGTACTTCATTTCAGCGTCTTCATTATGTGCTTGGTAAATCTATCCAGTTGCAAAAGAAAGTGACATTTTATGCGTTTTCCTTCACTACATTTACACTGGTTACAAGTTTCTGAAGTGTAAACCAAGGATTCAACAACAATTTGTGTCTTAGTTTTGTTGCCTCTCACTGTGTTTTTTGGGGCAGTTGTGGCTCAATAGTCGAGTGTTTTTAGTAAACACACGTTTGGAGGTTTCATCCACACAGGCGTTGAAATGTCCTTGCGCAGGACTCTGACCCCAAAAGCATCACTATCATTGTGTGAATACCTGTGTAAAAAGGGTGAATGTAACTTGTGGAGTAAAAGCGCATTCTGTTAACATGATCAAGGCTCACAGTGGTAAAATCATGAAATGTTAAAAAGACAGAGGCAAAGATGGGTTTGCTGCACCAAGGCGCCCAGTACACAGCAGCTACAGTCCTTGATGCATCAGCTGCAGGCTGGCTCGTTGCCATTGTCCTTGGTCCTTTGATGCATGCTTACCCCAGCCTCTTTTCACCTCATCTCCTGTCTCTCTTCAGCTGTTCTTAAACAAAAGCAAAAAAGGTCCTAATGTAAAACCTTGAAAAGAATTAATACAACAAAGAAAGGAGCAAGGATTAGGGAAAAGACTAAAAAGGAAGCACCTCTTATGTTTTCCTTATTTCCCTTTCATTCATCAACCCCTTGCATTTGTCTTATAACCCTTGTTTTAGGTGGGGGGCAACTAGATGAAACCAGCAAAACAGATGTAGAGAAAACAGTAGCCTGCAATGGCAAGAATTAAGATGATGAATTGGAAAACGCTACAGTTCCTCCTGCATCCTGGCTCCAAAAAGAATATTCTCATCAACATCCATGAAAAAAAATGTCCATTTCAAAAGCAGAAATAAAAAATTAGCCTGGTTCAAACTGAGCAGCAACTAAGCTAACGTGGAAGTGCAAAAAAAACAGGCTGCAGTTCCTAGAGTGACCACTAGAGGCTGGCTCCAAAAGCACTGAAAGCCACATACACACCCATTATAAGAAAAAAAGTATAACAATCTATAAAAACCACATAGTCTACGGTTCAAACAAGCTCCGCCATTTGCATATCAGTAGGTTGTCCAAAAGTTAGGATGAGACAGCATTTCTAATATGAGGGCTATTTATTGGGAACCAAAGAGAGACATCCCGCTGAAACCAGAACCATGTCTCCAATGATAAAAGACATCATGCACATTATTACAAATACCTTTTCATAGTAAAAAAAAACACTGACACATAGACTGGTTCTTTTGTAACTGAGTATCTCTAGTACTACTTTTATATAGCTTAAGTAGCTGCATGTGTCCTCCATCATCCTGTGTGGTAATGGCAGTCCTCTCTGGGGACTGAGCATCAGCTGACAGGAACTAGGTGGCACACATGGCGGTGACAGCAGCAGGTACGCTGGTCATCCTGGGAGTTGTTTCACGCCGTCAGGTACGGCTCGTCACACTCAAAGTGTCAGCATGGCGGGGAAACCTGGGAGTTGCTCTACAAAAAAAAGGTAAGCCGAACATCCCAGCTTTGCCCCACTTACTGCAGCTCTTCATCAATTAAATACATTAAAAGATGCTTGAAGATGCCGAACATACACGGCTCTTCTCTACAGACCGCACAGCTCATCAGCAGATGGCCTGGATGCTCAGATGCAGGATTCAGCCCCATGCTTTGAAGGCTTACAGTAGCTGTTATTGGCTCACCAACCAAAGCTTGTGTCTGGATGGTTTTGTTCCCTCACCTGGTCTCTCTTTTCTTGCCTATGCTCCTCAGAGAACACGGCTTCAAAGAGTACACGTTTTTCATTGATTTTACATCATGAGCCTCTAAAGTATAACATGTGTTTCACTGTAAAATAACAGAGAAGAAGAAGGAGGATCTCAAGAAGACTTCTAATATCAGAGCATAGAAACATTCCAGCAGAATCTGGTTCATATATTTTGTAATAAACATATAGGAATACGCCTTTTCTTCGCTGATGTTGTCGAACCGACCTCTACAAATGCATCTTATTCTTCGGGCTTTAATTAAGCTGTTGTGTACACATGTTCATGTAGGCCAGACATGCATCCCTACTGTGCTGTCATTCGGACTCATGCGAGTCATTCGCAAACAAATGGGAAGAAAAAGCACCTCTTTATGACTTCAATCTGCATCATGGGGTCTCAGATGGGCTCTACTTGTTGCCACACTGGGCCCATTAACAGACACAGAGGCAGACACACGGGAAATATATGGAGCTGGTGGAAAAATGAGCTGCATTTGGGCTCCAGCTGGGTCAAACCAATGGGTCCTACATGACAGTGAATCAGTAACCCAGTGACACAGTCACAGGGTCTGTGTCTTTCATGTATCGGTGTCCAGAAGCATTAGAAAATGCTGGCTGTCCTCTTGTATTTTTGATCTCTGAAAAGCCTGCTGATGCTTGAAACATGAAGAGAAAGGAAGGACAGGCGGAGACGAGACAGGAGGAGGAAGAGAAGGGGGGATGGCAGAGAGAGAGAGAGTAGCCCTAGTGTCTTTTTTCGGGCACAAGGCCTTGCCATCTGACACCTGCCACTGAGTGGGCACGAATCCCCTGTCCGTTTGGCAGGAAGTTAAGGCCGGCGAACAGGAACTCAAAGGAGGAGTGTATGCAAATACCAACAGCCAAAGGAAATGGGTGCCCTTAATGTCTGTGTGGTGGCCAGACAAAAATGGCACCTGCTTCCCTCACAGACGTCCATTTAGAGGACAACAGTAGCATAAAGTCTACATATAAACTCCCCCTTCAGATGTCTAGACTCTGGAACAAGTGCTGATATGATATAATGCACAATGCTGAGCTCATGCTACGGTTTTTCAAGGTTGTAAATGACTCAGTTTATGTCCAAGCTTTCGACAAGTGTTATTTGTGATTTTTTTCTCCACCTTTTTCTCTCCATCCCCTGCTTCCTTCTGCTGAGTTGAAAAGTTACAGGAAATAAAAACAGCTAAAAGACTGATCAACAGTTAAATAGTATTCGATTAGTCAGCACAATCTGAAACAGCATAAGCTCTCATGCTGTTCTTACATCCTCTGTCGTGTCTCTATTTCTTCCTCTCTCTCTGTGAAGACAATGTTGCAACAAGGAGTATTGGCAAAAAAGAGGTACCGTCCACTATTTTATGAACAGCACTTGGCATCTAACACGGTTTTAAAACAACAAATGAAACACGCTGATAATGGTCAGCGGATATTCTTTGGCGAGACATCCAGGAATCGTCTGTGTTTGAGAGACACTGGCAGTGTCTGTGCGTCTCAGTTCGGCGAGATTTCACTGAATTATGAGTCTAATTTCAACCAGAGTCTGTTAAATTCGTTTAAGGACATTATAACTTTCTTAAACTCTAAACTCAGGCTGTCTCAGTGTCACTGTCTTTATAGAGAAATAAATATTCATACTATGTTAAAACCAGGATACGGTAACACCATGAGTTTAGGTCGTTTATGGAGGTTGTCATAAAACGTCAGACAGACGAAGAAGAAGTAGCTGACTGCAAGTGAGCTAGCTGAAGCAGCCGACAGAGGTGTGACTAAGCACTTTCAAAGATGGTATTCAAGATTTATTGTGATTGATTTATACTCAAAAATAAATAGAGCTGGTGCTTCTTCAGATTACTAATCAACTGATCGTTTATACTTTCTCTTTATAAAATAATGCAGTAAGTAAATTCCCATTAGATTCATTTATACTAGTGTGACCATACGTCCTCTTTAACCCGGACATGTCCTCTTTTTTAGGGGCTGTCCGGCAAAACCCGTCTTCTTTTTTCTTTTGTTTTCTAACAGTTTACTCTGAGCTTTAACGCCTTTATTGAGAGAGAAGAGACAACTGAGAGATTTGGAAACTAGGATGACATGAGCAAAAGGCAGCAGGTCAGACTCAGAGTAGAACCAGGACAATAACGCGCCACTCAACTTCTGAAACAGGCTAGGATAGGACCGCAAAAATACCGAACTCCAACTTTCAGAAAGGCAGTCAACAAGCTAATAGGTGAGGATTTATTCAGTCCCTGAGTGAGACAGATTTCACACATGAGGCCAAATATATGACATTCATGAATACTTGCGGTTGTGCAATAGCCCCCGAATGCTCAGCCTCTTTTGAAAGGAGTGAAGAGCAGAGAGAGAGAGAGGGAGGGGAGTAGTTGAAGTTAAGAGTGAATACTGATGAGGAAGGCTCAGAGATGCACAGATAGACAGCACACACACACACACACACACACACACACACATACACACACACACACACACACACACACAAGCTTTAACAAGCTCCAAATATCACAAGAGTGTGCAGGTGACAGCGGAGCGCTCACTCTTCAGCCACAACTTCACCCCGCAGACAGAGCTCTCATTTAGCCGCCTACAAACACACACAATGACACGCTCTCATGTCAACACTGATGTAAAACACAGGAACACAAAACAGCGAGTAATCTGCAGCATGCGGTTTCCTAACACACCCTGACACACTCTTCGTATGTAACGTTATATTGTTCGTTTTAATAGCCTTTTACACACATCTGCATTTTTCATTCCCATGAGATCGTTCGGCTCGGAGAACTTAATAAATGCTTGTTTACGACGTATTTTGCGTTGCGATCATTATTCAAACACAAGAGTTGCTCCCATTGTAAAGCATATGCATGGACAGATTAAATATGCATGAGTTTCACACTGTAGTCATACAGTAAGCACCAAAAATATACATGTGAATGAGCTTGACAGTATTCTGGGAGCAAAGTCTCTCGGCAACACCCAGGATTACAGCATAACGAGACCTGTGAAGCTTTAACACCAGAAAATCATCACTCTTGGCTTGAACTTTTCTTTAGCACGTCTGTTTAAGGGATATAAACCAGCTGCGGTGAACCAAAGACAGAAAACCTCACATGCATCTGCAAAAAAAGACGCCTTCATTCATTCTCAGCAGCTGCAGATCTTACGCAGCAGATGTAAAAGAGAAGCGGGGTTTAAAAATAACTTCAACAAAATGGCATCATTGTCTTTACAGTCCCCGCAACAATGTGAAGACACACTTCACACACTGTTCTTTAAGCCGCTGGGGCATTCCTGGGAAATGCAAAGGTGCAGATTTTTTTTCCGCCTGGTCATCACTTTGATCGCTCTCAGACTATCACAGACGATCCCTGCCGGAACCGCCTTAAACAAGCCACGATCAATTCTGCCCTAACCAGCCTCTCATCCCTTTCCAGAGGAGCTGCAGGAGCGGTCTGTAACGGTGAGCAACGGTCACTCATTCGAAGGTGGACGTTTGAGCTGTTTGTGGGGCTGCAGGATGAATCAGTTTTAATGATCTGGGATCTAATTTAAGACAGAAAAGGAAATTAAAACTTGTTTCTAAGGGTAGTAAAGACATCTTTGATGAGTTATGGAAACCCTTATTCTACCACCTACCAGCTGACCTGGTTGCCCTTTCACAGGAGGACACAGCAGCTGCCCAGTGATAACATTTTGGACAGAATGTGTCAAAGGTTATGATTGTTTGCATGAACTTACCAAAGACTATTTTTCTTCTCTGATTAATTGTTCTGCAATTTCTTCAATGACGACGAAACCGACATATGTTGTGTAAAAAACTGTATCTGATGTTTTCTGAGAGTTGACCTCATGGGTGGGACAGATCAGGGGGACAGTAAGGAATTTCCTTCTTCTTCTTCTTCTTCTTTTTTTTGGTGTATTTTTTCCCAGTTTTTAGATTTATTTGTATACTGGTGCAGATCAAACACAAAAGTTCAGCTCAATAATTTGTAATGTAAACTTTGTAATGCACACGCTATAGCTGGTATTTTGGCCCATTCTTCATGCAGATCTTCTCAAGAGCTGTAATGTTTTGGGGCTGTCGCTGGGCAACACAGACTCTCAACTCCCTCCACAGATTCTCTATTGGATTTGAGGTGCGGAGACTGGCTAAGCCACCAGTGAGGTCTTGCATGGAGCCCCAGGTCAAGGGAGATCTTGTATTTGTTCCATTTTCTAATAATTGCTCCAACAGTTGATCTTTCCTCACCAAGCTGCTTGACAATTGTAGATTGGAAGACTTGATCAGGTGAACAATCTTGTCCCCTGGTGTCCTTAGACAGCTCTTTAGTCTTGGCCATGGTGGAGAGGTTGCAGTCAGACGGTTTAAGGGTGTGGACAGGTGTCTTTTATACAGATAATGAGTTCAAACAGGTGCCATTAATACAGGTGGAGTGGAGGATCGAAGAGCTTCTTAATGAAGAAGTACCAGGTCTGTGAGGGCCAGAATTCTTGCTTGTTTGTAGGTGCTAAATACTTATTTTCTGCACCAGTATACAAATAAATCATTACAAATCATACAATTTGATTTCCTGGATTTATTTTTACATTGTGTTTCTCACAGTTGAAGTGCATATAGTGCAGGCTCTATGTTTCATTCTAACTCATCTGTTCCTGTGTGTGCAGGTAGCTCACCATTAACCATGAGGTGCACCCAGCTGCCATTGTGGAAGGTGTCGTACTGTTGCTCCAGCATCAGGACCTTACACTCGTACCAGCCCTGGTCCTCAGAGCGAACGGGGTCGATTTGTAGGGAGGCCTTCCCGTGCAGAGAGGCTCTACCTGGAAACAGAGGGGTTAAAAATACATCAGAATCAAACACTTCTTCTCTGTGTATTTGGTCTGCTTTTAAGAAGAAAAAAAAAAAGGTGCTCCCTTTCACTTTCAGAAAAGTCCTCTGCTTTTAAAATCACACTGAGAAGCTTCGCTGGTCACCACAATGATCCATCACACTCAAGCAGTTGGAAGTTAAGTACTGCAACTTTTCCTTTTTTGCAGGAAGAAAGAGATTTATGATGCTCTGGGTTTGCCTTTTGCTCTAAAAGAAGTCATGGGGTAGGATTTTCTCTACAGACATTACATATAAGGTTACTGTTTTTGCAAAGATTATATGACTGATCACATTTTTAGTACCAACAATCAGATAAACCTCCAACTCAACCACTTTTAACTTTCTCTATAATGATGCAAAATGTACGAAAGAGGATTTCGGCCACAAGATGAGAAAAAAATACTAATTTCAGGGAGGTTTTTTAGAATTTCTTTACAAGATTAAAATCAAAATTTCGAGATTAAAGTCGAAGTTTTTAAAAAATGAAATTTCGACTTCATTCTTGTTGACTTTAATCTCGAAATTTCGACATTATTTACGACATTTTGTAATCTCAAAATTTCAACCTTAATCTCAAGATTTCAATTTCTAATGTTGAAATTTTAACTTTTTCGACATAATTTCGATTTTTTAATCTCGAAATGTCGACTTTAATCTCCTTCCTGTAATTACTTTTTTCTCTTCATGTGGCCCTAATCCTCTTTCATAAAAATAACTATCAACAGGGGGAAAAAAAAAACATTAAAAGTTTGTTTCGATGCACAAAGGTCAGGTTAGATGGGTCTGTTGGTTCTAGTTTGGTATTTTCACTGGATTATCTCTTTACGGGAAGCAGCTACGGCAGTCTGGAGCCTGTCCAAGCACTGGATGGAAGGCAGGAAAACACCCTGGACAGGTTTTCGAGTTTCTCACACAGTTAACAGAGACAGACAATCCCTAACACTCACTGTACAGTCATACCCACAGGCAATTTAGAGCCTTCAATCAGCCTGACTCTTGAGTCCTTGGACTGGAGGAGGAAGCAAAAGTGACATAAAGGCTTGAGATACAAAGCAAACTTGAAATCCAGTTATCTTAAGATTTATGACCTTATTTCTGTGATAATGAGGCTACAGGCAGGATACTGTTCGCTTGGCATTAACAGTATCCGCCCAGACATTTGGGTGGCGTCTAACTCCAGAAAGTTTATAAATATAATCCTCAAAAATGTTATAAATGAAACAGACTTCACCATCACACCTTCCAGCTCTGGGGTTTAGACATAAAACCACCTCAGAGCCTTATCTTCAGCTGAATTAAAATAAAATAGTTTGCGCCAGAGTGGAGAAGTCCTGCCTTCCACCTCACAGAAATCATCTATTTCTTATAAAACTCCTCCATCCTCGCCTCTTTTTTCTTCAAGGCGGAGGATAAATTGGAATTCTAAAAGGAGGGAATCACAAGGGGGGATGAGAGAAGTCCAGGAAACCAGGCATGGTGAAATCTTGTGCTGCTAAGCTGTCTGTCTTCAAGCCTCCAGCCGGCTGCTCACATGGCTGCCTCTGACAGCCCAACAGACTAAAACACTCGCTGCTGCTCTGTCTGACGAGTGTTCTCAGATGGAGCATTTTTCAAAACTTTGATGTGTAGACATACTGTAAGCACTGTTTCCTGTTACTTCAGACTGAGTGTCAGGCGCATATATTGATGTGGAGGACTGGCTGAATTGCTCCACCAGCACTGTATATAAATGCAATGGATAGATACCCCAACCCTGGGATTGCTGCCATAGCTCGGGTAGAATCTGACAGAAGCAGAAAATCAATACAGCAAAGAGGAAGAGAGAAAAGTGGGGACTGCAGTCTTGCAGTAAAAAGGTAGCTTGTCTTTAAAAAGTCAGGTCTATTTTAGCCCGGGCATTGAAGTGCTGAGTGGGGCTTGCTGGTGGTGTGAAGGGTGGGGATCAACTTCAGCTCCCATTTGTCAAAGAGTGAGAGGGTGCTGCTGCAAACAGAGGTAACAGCGCTGTATCCACGTCAGGCCTCAGGCCCCTGGGGCAAACACCACTTACACTGTACAGGGTTCTGTCTGCCGCGAAAAACAGACGAGCTAACACCTTGTTCAGATCACGCCACAAGCTTTGTCAGATAGAAACGGCTTGAAGAAACACTCAAGATCCGATGTGACAGAGCTGACAGACGCTGAGCTGTACACTAAACGGGACACATAAACCTACAGCCGTGCAGAATTCAAGTATGAGACTGGAGTGAATTAGAGATGCCGATCAGCTCTTGACACTTAAAGGGATATTCCAATGTAAAATTAAGTTAGGGTCAAACACACTGTAACACCGAGTTAGACACCCCCTCGAGAGATGAGTGTTGCTGACCGCTTTCTTGTCTAGTTATACCAACTTTAGTAACGACCGAACAATAGCAATACAGAGAGCCACGCGCTCAACCAAAACGCCACTCTATAGCCTCAAATAATGCTCATCAACAGTAGGGTCCCAGCTATAGTACTAGCCACCAAACATCTTTTTAGCTTTGCCTAACACAACTCACCTACTATCTTCCAGCAGCTGCTTGTTTGTAGCAAGACCTCGGACGAGTCCATTATGGACTACAGCGGGGTGACGCAGCTCAAGGAAGAACATTTATGATCATTTCCTCGTGGAAATGAAATCAGACCGAGACGCTACAGTCTGCAGTGCAAAGTGATTATTATTGTAAATATTACTTCAAGGAAATGATAACGAAATGATCATAAATGTTCTTCCTTGAGCTGCGTCACCCCGCTGCAGTCTGTAGTGGACTGGCCTGAAGTCTCCCTCCAAACTAGCGGCTGCTGGAAGAGAGTAGGTGAGTTGTGTTTAGTCTCTTTGCTAAAGAAATCAGGCAAAGTTAAAAAGATGTTTGGTGGCTAGTGCTATCGTTGGGACCCTTTATGTCCTGTTGATGAAGTTAGATGCTGTTCTGAGTATTATTTGTGACTATAGAGTGGCTTTTAGGTTTTGCGTTAGTCTTTCTGTATTGCTATCTGCAGTCGTTAAAGTTGGTATAACTAGAGAAGCAAGCGGTCAGCAACATACATCTCTCGAGGGGGTGTCTAACTCAGTGTTACAGTGTGTTTGACCCTAAATTTATTTTACGCCGGAATATCCTTTTAACATTTTCACTCCACAAAGTTCAGTTGTCTACTAAATACGCACACTTTCAGTATTAATGCCGTCTGTGCAAAGATGTACAGACAACAAAAGTGGATCCTAGACAGAACAGGGTTCATTAAATAACCCAAAAGGCTGCATTAAAGTACAGCTTAGCACAATGATGTGTGCATGCACTGGGGTAGAGTCTCTTGGAGGGCATTACTTTTTACATAAATCGTGCAGTCGTATAATTGTTGCAAAAGCTCCTGCTTAAACTGGTGCTGGGAGAGAAATGATTCAGTTTTCCAAAAAGCTCGTCCCAAAGCGGGATGATCTGATGCTCAAACTTCACAAGCTGCACATCTGAATTATTGATTTCATCACCACTTGAGTGGGAACAAAAAAAAATAGATGTTTTTAGATGCAGTAATTTCCATATAGCTGCAGGACAAACCGACAAAATGATTGGGAATAGATTTGAGTCTGTGAGGAGTTGTGCATTTCTCATTAAGCTCTGAACCAAACAGAGCTTACGTACAGATGAAATAAAGAAAGAAATCTTATCTCCTCTTCGGAGTCTCTTGTGTTGCATATTAAAATGAGTACGCTGACAGACTCTTAACAATTAGCATGGCTGGAAATTAAACGCTTGCTGACCCACAAAGAGTGATTGACCCACAGATGGATTTCCTGTCATCAGAATCTGCAGGCTGCAAATATTGTGATTCTTACAGTAAGTACAGTATTCGAAGATAATCTGTTGTGTTTTGGCAGCAGCTGTGTGACGGAATAAAATCACATTTAGTCTAATTCACCGATTTTACTCATACTGAGCGATAACAATTCATGGGAATAGTCCAAATGAGCTCTGAGACAGCAGGGCCCCAAAGAGCATCTCATAAGCTGCAGTCCAGTGTCATTATCCCACTGTCACCACGCACATGCAATTCCCACACCCGACTTTAATCTATGTAATGAGAGCGGCCGTATTCATGGTGCATCTGTTCGTTGGTAATTCCTCAACAGCGGACTTGATGCCACATGGCAGAATCCCACAGTGGAGTGTGATGCTGTTTGAAAAAGCGCTCTTAGCTCCATGCCGCTAAATAGGAGGATACAGTAAACAAAGAGCAGGATCCTGCAGTTTCTACAGTGGCCGCTACAACCTAAAAAAACGGAGGTTTCCCCAGACACTGAGTCACAACCATTAGTCCTCTTTGCAGTGATGACCCTACTTGAAAAGCACACAGGGGAGGAATTACAATGAATTCAATACAATTCACACCACTTTCAGTCCATTTATGTTAAAAAAATTAAATAAATAAAAACCTGACAAATCTGTTATGTCCACATTTAGGCGTCTCACTCCAGGGAGATGAATCCTCCAGCTTGTCAACAAGCTGTGCTTTGTTTTCGTTTCACAGCGTATTACCGGGTCAGGCAGGGCTTTGGTACTTGGTAAGGAGGTGAGAACAGGGAAGGATAATTCTGACCTTGTTCTAACAGCTCGCCATCTCGTCACAGACACTGAAGCGACATCAGAGGAAGCAATTTCCTGCTGCAAGAAGTCCGAGACGAGAGCAGAGGCTGCCATGTTTTATCAGACAGGAGAGGGAGGATTTAAGGTCACGATGACCTTAAAGAAAGCAAATATTTACCGTTATCATAAATGTAGCCTCGACTACCCCGAGTCGCCGTGACATCGAGCCCTCCTGTGTCATCACTAATAGATCTTCATTTAGAGCAAGAGAGTGATCAGACTGCTTATTGTGTCACTAGGAAACAGCCAGCTAGTCTAGTTCCCTGCCTGTTTCCACACATCTGTCAGAAGCCCAGCTGTCCTCATCAGAGGTCCTAGAAACTCCTGTGTCCTTATCAGAGGTCCTAGAATCTCCTGTGTCCTTATCAGAGGTCCAGCTGACTCCTGTGTCCTTATCAGAGGTCCTAGAAACTCCTGTGTCCTTATCAGAGGTCCTAGAAACTCCTGTGTCCTTATCAGAGGTCCAGCTGACTCCTGTGTCCTTATCAGAGGTCCTAGAAACTCCTGTGTCCTCATCAGAGGTCCAGCTGACTCCTGTGTCCAGTCCCAGTGCTGAAGTCTTCCTCCTGGTGTTGTTTTAAGTTCCCTAGTGTTTTTGGTTTTGTGTTTTTGCTTATTTCTCTTTTGGATTTTTTATAGTTTTTGTTATTTTCCTTTTTTCTTTCATTTAATATATTCTTGAGGTTCTTGATTTTGCAGGTGGATCAAGGTCACTGGTTTACATAGAAAGGGGCAAAAGCTGCACAGTCTCGAACAACAGTCTCATATTGGTCCATCACAAATGAAAGTTTCACATTCAGATAGAAAAGTGTTGATTTAACTCTCATTTCATGGCTGGAATCTGTTTTTTTTTCTTTTTTGTAAAGTTCTGTTCAGCCTCAACTATCATACCCATGAGTGCTGAAAAGCAGACAGACGTCTCTGGCAGCTGAGTGAATGTGTCAGTGTTTGTTTACAGGCTGTCTCCTCTGCCCCCAGGTGGCCAAACAATCAGTTAATGCAGTTTTAATTCATCCTGTGAGTCGATCTTCAATTAAATTGCATTTAGTTGTGCGTTGCAGCTTCTCACACACAATGATTTCCACGCTTCTTTTCATAAGATGACTCTTTGCTGGGTTTTATGCATACAGCATGTCAGGTTTTTAATATACTGAATCGACTCTCTGCTGTATAAGCTCTGCGCTGCATTGTCACCAGGAAAGAATGTATGTACAATGCAGCTGTAGATTGCTGAGATGTAGTTATTTCCCTCTTTGCACTCGGAGGCGGCAGATGCACAGACCTGAACGCCATGTTAGAAACGAGAGCAGCACAGAAACCTCCTACTTTCAGGTCTCAGCACATCGAATCATGCCTCGTACTTTCAGGCCTAGGAGCTCAAGAGCCAATCTGAGAGAAAACACTGAGATTGTGGGTCAGTGTTCTCGGTGAAAAAGGATTGGCAGGAACATGAACGCGGCACATTTTTACAGAAAAATGTTTAGCAGGTTGAGAAACGGCTGCGCTGTCAGCCAGAAGCCCGTAATTAGGTCGACAGCAGCGAGGACAAATCTATATCATGAATAATCATACAATGTTTGGAGAATGATTACAGTTAAAAGCTAAAATCTGCTCCCATTTTTTGAAGTTATTTAACCATTAGTTTAATGGATTTACAGAGATGGATTCACCGAGGTTTGAGACTCATGAAGAGTTGGCAGATGGAGACGCCAAACAGGCTTCAGAAAAGAACATCCACGTGAGTTATTGTAACTAAAAACAAACTTCAAAAATTCACATTTGTAATATTTGGCAGTGATAAAAATAAGTGAAGAGTGCATGATGGGGGCAGATTCAGGAGGCTGATCACACTACACAGTAAAGAGACGGATTCAGAGCTCAGTCCATCAGAATATTCACATGGTCTAACACACATGGCTGCATTAAAGCCAAGACTTCTCCATCATTTTACAGGGTCAGCTGCTTTCATGTGGTACACTTTGAATAGTCACATCAAGACACTAGTGTTTTGCAGAACATTAACATGGTATCTTAGGAAAATAGAGTAAAATAAAGAGTAGGGATGGGCGATACAGACTTGAAAATTTATCATAAGTTTTGCCATTTTGGCGAGAATGACAAAAGTCCCAATCTGTCTTGAGGACACTGGTTAGCATAGTCAAATAAGATACTTAACCACAAGTTTAAGTGGTAGGTAATGGAGAGAACTAGTGAAATGTGAAAACACTTTCAACATTTATTGAAAACTTTTATTGCACAGAGTGAACAGCAGCAGATCCACTGTCCAATGTAAGGCATACCTGATTGCGCTTGCCTAAACCCCAATCTTGAAGAAAATCCCTCATATGGAACATTGTTTAACAGCAAGCTGCTCAGAGACGTCTTCTTCACCACCTTCCCCCATGTTTGTCTGTTATTCTGATCTGTGTGGGCTATGGCTGCAAGTCCGTCACTCGCACTTACGCTATCAACCTGCATTTATCGCGTTTATCGTGAGATAGCAATTATTTATCATGGAGGAATTATCGTGAACGATAATCTATCGCCCATCCCTCATACAGGGTACAATAGCTATGGGAATGACTGCAAAAAATACAGGCTATAGGGCTCATTTTCAAATGGCCTGACCTCTGGTCTACAGGGTATGTGGATTATATGCATCTCAGTCTGCTTTCTTAAATGTCTTCATCCTGATTCCCTCTAAATTTATTCGTAATTTTCATCTATATATGAGTTTTAGGAGGAATCCTCCACAGATAAGATAAGATAAGATAGGATGTTCCTTTAATAGTCCCACGATGGGAAATTCCAAAAATTACAGCAGCGTAGTTTAGATACAAAAGAGAAAAATTAAAAGATATAGAAACTTTGATTTAAAACAAGACATGTGCATGCGTCATATTTACATCTGTACAGAATTTACATAATAATAGGGCAAATTGCACATTAAGATGAAGCCCCATTTCCTTATTCTTTGTGGTCTATTGTTCCTGGTGTCTCAACACGCATCTTACCGGTGTACTCTGGATCCACATGAGGAGGGTAGAAGCGGAAGTTGATGAAGAAGGGAATAGGCACTCCAAACTTGAACCACTCCACCACATAGGGAGGCTGCTGGCCATCCAGGGGAGGGGACACGTCACACCCCAGGATCACGCTCTCTCCGGCGCGCGCCGTCACAAACCGGGGCTCCTCTCTCACTCCGTGGGCACCTGAGATGAAGAAAAGAAGGAGCATTTTGTTAAGAAAGTGTGAATCTCAACTTGTTAGCTAGGACAACAAGGAGCGGGCAAGCAAATCCTGCAGACGAAGCAGAAAAATCTCATTGCACCCGAGGCATCAGGGCTGGTTTACATAATAATAATTGAGGGGAAATTACAGGCGATCGACTACACAACCACACAGGACATTAAAAGTACATTCAGCAAAAGGTTCGTTGAATCGTCATGGCCGACATTCTGCGTCACCCTGCACATGGGTAAACCCTCTCCCGCTCATCAGCTCTCCTCATCCCTCAACAAAACAGCCCATCGTCATCTGTCACCTGCATCTGTTGGTGAGTGTTTTGTGGCTCTGCCGTACTGTACTATAAACGAGCTGCCAAGCGTTCCCATTGATCATCACTGGCTGCTGCTCAGATAAGCTTTACTATGAGCACCACCAGGCCCTGGCGTTTAGCCACAAATGTCCAGGCACGCTGCCGAGCGTTGACCTATCAGATGACTGAAAGGTCGGCATACCTGCCTCAGCAGAACACTCACTCTGGGAATGGATTTTCTCCAGCTGCCACCCCCGCTCTCATTGAACCGGCGGTATCTTGGCCGTCAGAGCAAGCATGACAACCCGCCCTCGCCAAGGGGGAAAATCGCTTCAGGGATCAAGGGACATGCTGACGTATCACTCTGGAGAAACACCAGCTGAATAACTTAACGCTTTCATTAGCAGCGTCATTTGCATTAACAGGCTAATTTTTACAAGCAGAACAAATACATAGGGACTTGAGGTCTTATGGGCTCAAGCTGCACTGGTGTAACCCTTTGTAATGATCTTCAACCACCAACCATCTTATACGACCCTTATACTCTGCCTTTACAGATGTGCAAAGTGCCTTAATACCCCAAACTCACACCGTCTTTGTCTTTCTGGAAAGTCAGACTCCAGCCCTAAAAGCCATATGCAACATTTAGTGATTGTGTTTAATCTCTCTCATCCTGCGACAGAGTTAATCCAGTTTATTACATTCAGCTTGAGCAGATTTTGGCCTGACACAGAGAAGATTTAATCAAATCACTTTTTTTCCTCCATGTAGATTTGGTCGTTCTGTTAACAAGCCGCAGTCCTAGAATCTGCTTGAAGGTCAAGATGAAAAAATGTCAAAATGTCTAAAGAGTCCTCCTGACACTGAATGAAAAAGATCGTTGCATTGAGCTTCTGACTTTAACCTGCAACCTGTGAAAACCACAGCCTTTTAAAGTGCTTCAAAGAAAACCTGTGAGCACAAAAATTACAAATCTGCTAAACTAATCCTTTCAGGATTGCAAAAAGCCTGAAACTCACACCTGAGCATGCTCCATCGCAGCCTCATTTATAACACGTCTGAAAAAGATTATACTAACCTCTTTCAAAATCTCATCCAGGCCTCGTGCCAAGACAAATGCAGCAAATTTTTCTTGTTAAATGCTCTTTAGAAAAGTCCACTACATCTGAATTCGAGATCAGTGATTACCGAGGTGGGTGCCTCAAAGCAGGTGTTTAACCTTTTTGGAAATGTGCGTCCATGTCAGGAGTCAGAGACGATTCTGTTTTCAATGTCGTTTTTATCAAACAGGAGCAGGTGAGCTTGATCTAACACACAACTGGGGATAACGGCTAGGGGTGGGAATCACTAATGGTTCCATGATATGATAGTATCACAATACTTGGGCCACGAATTATTGTGATTTTTAACATTTTGCAAGACAGTGAGTATAGCAATATCATATATTGCGATTAATATAATTTTTCAACTATTTAGCTAATTTAGCATTTAGCTTTCCTTTATGTTTCCTTTCCTTTCCTTTATATTTAGCTAATTTAGCATTTAGCTTTCCTTTATGTTTGTCTTACTTACGCCGTATTTTATCTTCATGTAGCACATCTATTTGTTGTACGAACTTTCTCCTGCTCTTTGATGTCTCCTCTGCCAACCTCACTGGACAAACAGTTGATTTTATTTTCCATTATCATAGATTTGACTTCATATTAACATAAATTGGAAAAATCGATACTTGGTAAATGAGACAATACGATACATCACCAGACAACACTATCCTGTATCGATTTTTTGTCGCACCCCTAATAACAGCTGTCTAAAGGTAACTCATCTGTACCACTCTGAAGATGAGAAAAAAGACTTTGAGGCCTAAAGTTGTAACTTTACTTGAGTTTATTACAAAACCAAAGCAGGTTAAACAAGCTAGCCGTCTTCCAGCTATAGTTTTTACAACAGATTGATGGCTCCATTGCGCCCCCTAGTGCCATGCTCCTGTGTGTGACCCCAAGCTATGGAATAGGGGACACTTTTGTTGGAACCAAAGACGAACAAAAAGGGGTGGCGGTCCACAGAGGAGGCGGCGCGACACAGCTCTGGCCCATTGGTGCCCTGCGGGGCGCTAGTTTCACCTGAGTATACATTTAAAATTGTAAGCCTCCATCTTGTGTGTGACCCAAATCTATAGAATCAATGGCACTTATTTTAAACCAAAAGATGAACAAAAAGGGGTGGCGGTCCACAGAGGAGGCGGCGCGACACAGTTTGGGACGGTTGTTGCCATGTGGGGCGCTAGTTTAACTTGAGTATATTACAAAACCAAAGCAGGTTTAACAAATTAGCCGTCTTCCAGCTATAGTTTTTACAACAGATTGACAAATGAAAAAATAAGCCTTTCGAAGCTTTTTAAAAAAAAAGGTTTCAGGCATTTTTCTTTAGGGTTGAAAAACAAACAGTATGTGTACCTGATTACTGTGAAACCGTGTTGGGGACTTCTGTCTTTACTTCTGAGTCTGGCACTTGTTTTCCATCGCTTTCATTAAAAAACAAAGAAAGCAGGCTGCCATCTATAATGAAACACACTGGACACATTGTTTGGTTTGAGTAAGTAGAGTCACTTGACCTGAAGCACAGGCTCAAACCCGGCGGCTGCACACATGCTGCTCAAATCCATTGTTGTGTTTTTTTTCTGCAGACAGTTCAGGTTGCAGAGGTTTAGAGACTCAAGTTTCTGACTGTCATTATTTTGGATCCTAGCCGTGTTATAGGCATATCTGAAACAGACGAAAGCCTTTAAAGACTTGAGATTACATATCGGAGAACTTATGATCCTCCAATTTCTTTATGGGAAGCTCATGAGGGGACAATCAGCACAGGCCTGGTCACCACTTTTGCCTTTTTCATTTCCTTAATGGAGACAGGGTGACCCAGCAGGGTTTATGAGGGCTTATTCAGGAGACAGAATTTATGCTCTCAACAAGACATAAATGTTATACAAGTCCCCATGCCTCCTATCTTCCAAATTAAGTGTACTGTAGATATAAAAGGATCAATACAGTTAGAAATAATAGCTATTCGCGATTGCTTCGGTGCTGTAAATGTCAACAGTACTCAGTTGAAGCTAAAACCTTTCAGATACAAAAGGGGGTGGAAACTGTCGAGTAAGATCTGCATAAATCAAACAGATGATAAATCAATGAGGCCGATGTTTTTTATGTATACATTCTCAGATCATGGTGGATTTATTGCCGTGATCATGAGTCCTGAAGGGTAACAATTCAGTCACCTGTCACATGAATCACCGATGCAGCAGGTGCTTCAGGTGCAAAGAAAAACACACAGGGAGTCCTTCTGCGTTGTTTGGAAAAGGTTTAAGCCACAGTAAGCCTAAGCTGCAGCTAAGGATAATGCTGATAAATCAAATGATGGTCTGGACTAAGAAATGCCAGAAAATGAAGCAATGTCTACGATTCACAGGCACCGAGAATGTCAGAGGTTTATGAGTTACAGGCTCTGGCAACTTAATTTGTCATTTGGAAACATGTTCAAGGTATAACCACAGAACCATCTAGTACTAATGAATCACTTTTCCAATCTTCTGAGACCGGGAAAGTTCAGATTTGAGCTCATCTGTAGACCAGAACACCTGAAAGTTTTGTGGAAACACTTTAAGGCCCATTAACTCGAAACTCTTGAATCATCCTCGTTTGTTCAATCCACAAAACACAAATGGTTTTTCCTCTCGATTATTTTTGGATCGACCAGCTTTGGTGGCCAGAGGAAGAAAACCGGCTCTCATTTGTGCAAATAAAGATCTTTGGCTTGATCAATCAGCCTCCTACATCTGCCCTACATCCCTGCAGAACACCAGCAGTTCACCTCAGGTCCATGAATCCTGAAGATTACTTATTTACTAATTTCATCAAAACGTGATTTTAGTTTGTTCATGGCTTATTTGGACAGCTTTTTTCACAGTGGGAAGTAATCAATAGACCTGGCTACAACTTCAGATTTTTGGGGTTAAATGATGATGAAAGGAGCTCTCTGATTGGCCGAATGAAAGCAGCAGCATTCTGATTGGCAGATTGACAGCTACCTCACTCTCTTCTCATCTCTGTGTCTGTCTGTGTTGGTGTTTCTTACCCTCACTCTTTATGCTGGTAAACGTATTTGTGAATATATTACGTGTATCACAAAGTGTGAGTCTCTTTTCCAGTCTGGGAAATCAGCTAGGAACATCATATCTCACAATGTTTTGGAGTTAAAGTGACATTTACACATCTGGGAAATACTCAGACTAGGGCTGGACGATAAACCGAAAATTAACTGATAACGAAATTTATGACAATAACCAACATCATTTTGCCCATGTCAATATATTCTGTGTCAAAAAAATAAATAAATAAAAGTTGGTTTTGGATGTGTGTAGGAATGCTATAGTCTCATGTCCCTTCAAGACGCTGTCCTACATCAGAGACTTGACTCCACTCCATCCAATCCGTAACAAAGAGGGAAAGACAAGTGAGGAGATGGAGGACGGTTCAAAAGTTGTAGCGGCTAGTGCGGCGGCTGAAGTAGACAAAGTTAATGTGGGAGGGGGTGAGCAGTTTGTGGAGAAGTTATTGTCTATTTATCGTTATCGAGGTGAACTGCTCAATATATTGTGATATTGATTTAAGGCCATATCGCCCAGCCCTAACTCAGACTGACCTTACAACTATCCATGCTTAGTGTAGACCATCAGTAAGCATCTATAAATTCTACCACAATTCGAACCCAGGACCACTTGCATGCATCTTAAAATGTAGATATAAAAGGCTCATATTCAAAATTTTCAATTATTCAAAATTATTCAATTTTACATTATTGAATATAGGTATATTCCTGTTCTGCTAAATGCTAAATGCCACAAACTGGGGCTGGGTGATATGGCCTCAAATCAATATCACGATATATTGAGGAGTTCACCTCAATAACGATAAATGGACGATAACTACTCTTAAAGCTGATCACCCCCTCCCACATTAACTTTGTCTACTTCAGCCACCGCTCCAGCCAATACAACTTTTGAACCATCCTCCATCTCCTCACCTGTCTTTCCATCCGTAAACCAAGGCTAGTTGTAGCTGTTTTGACCCCCAGCCATGACCCTTCATTCCCCACTTTCTTAAGTAATCATATTTTCTGTCTTTCTTCTGCTGTACTATCTAATAAAGACAAAAATGGCCTTAAATAAAATATATATAATATTAAATAGTCAGAGGCTATGATCAATAGAGGCTCATTATTTTCCAAATCCATTCATTCCTCATCAACATGATTATGCTGTATTTCTGCATCGTCTTTTCACCCGCTGAAAAGAACATTAATAAGGTTTAATTTGCGACTCTTTTAAAGTGTCTGAGCCCACAGCTTGGGAAACACTTGCAGAAAATCCTCACATTATATTCCCTAACTATAAAGAATATCTGCTGTTTTTTTTTCTGCTGACTCACTCGGTCAATAATTGTAATGATCTTTATTTATAGAGCACTTAACTAAGAGGTGCTTCACAGTGCTTTATGAGACGAATAAAAGCAATCATCAAAGCTCGAACGTGGACAAAAGCATCAAAAGGCCGACTTGGGCAGTCAAAATAAATGTTTACTGATACGCAGAACAAAACCGCCAACCAATGAGAGGCATCTGTTCGAGGTCCGTCAACAGCTGTGCGGGCCGGCACATGAATCATCGCGGCGGAACAGCGGGGGCACGAGAGGTTACATCAGCAGGAGATTTTAACTGCCAGCATTTTTCAAGTGTCACTGGCTGAAAAACAGCTCTGGGACCAGAAGCAACCCACACTGTACTTTCAGTAATGATCACAGATTTGTACTGTAAATAGACTTTCAAGGCAATTTTGGGCAGAGCCAAGCCTGCGAAACGTTTTGACAGTAATGACGTCCAATAACACACTGAACAATATTGTGGAAAAACTGGAGGAGTTCAGCGAGAGGGGATATTACATGAACAGCGCAGGGGTTCTTCTGGTGTGTGGGGTGACACCAGTGCTATATTTCACCCCAGTAAAACTAAAATCTAATATTTACCTCCTGCTTGGGGTTCGATTCAGCCTGTAAGCGAGGATAAGCGCTGCTCACTGCACTCAGAGATTTTGTTAAGGATACATCAGGCAGCTGCACGCGGCCCACAGTGATGAGGATATGAGTGCCGCTTCATGCCGGACACAGCTCCCGACGTGGAGGATGTAATGGAATATAGACTGGACGCAGAGTCTCAAGGACGTGCAGCCACTGGGCTGGATGGGCCACTGACAGGGCGGTAATTGAATGCCAGCCTGCATGTGCTGAAGGTCACATCAGAGAATGGCTTGAATGTGTGTGTGAGAGTGTGTGTGTGCAGCGGTGGTTGTTTTGGGGATATGCCTGTGTGTATCTGTGCATCATAAATAAAGACGATTTATTCACACCGAGGAATCTGATTGGACGAGAATGTCATGTCAGTGCTGATGAAGCACAGCCTAAATTTTCACCAAAATTATGGCAAAACTCAAAAGAAAGATGACTCAGCATGAATGTACTATTGAACGATGTTGACTGGAAAACTGGATTTGCTGGAATCTATTACACAAGTTTGCAGGTTTTGCAGGAAAGTGTGAATGTTTTCTTGGCAACAGTCCAGTTTAAAGGTGGGTTAGGCAGGAATCCGTTAAAGAAGCATCTTTTTTTGTGGTCTATACATAAAAAGCTCTTAATATCAGTCAATAGCTATTAGTTATTGATGACATTTGATGATATAATGATATCGCTTTTTCCGTTATGTCTGTGTAGTCAACATTTTTAAATTTTAGAGCGCTCTGCTATTTCTGACTGTAAACAAAGCCATTCCCCGCCTCCCCCATCCTGATTGGTTGTGAGGCGTTTATGAGCCTAAACAAAGTTAGCATGCTACAAAATCAGACAGTAGAAACCAACTAGAAAGTACAGGAAATTGTCTGAATCCTCCTTTGGCCGCGACTGCCAACACAAGCAAGAAAACGAACTAAATACTGGAGACTCTGGTGGAATAACGGGCGCTTAAAAAGGAGGTAGACCACCCGGACAAGAGCTAAAAAAGCCAGATCAACAATGATGGGGGATGTTTCAGGAACTTACGGACCCTGTAACCAGGTAAACTGTTTTAAAGTAAGCCAAGTGTCTGTAACAGAAGTGATGTCACATTGGATAAAGTGACATCCTGGACTATGTCACTTTATCCTTGTTGTAGAAGTCCTGCAAACATTGTGTTTGCTGGTAGGAAATCTTTCAAACCTAATAAAAACAAAAGGCAGAAAAAAATAAAAAACTGAGCTAATGAGCTAATGAGCTATAAATAGATCAAGAAAAAACAGAACAAACAAGCGTTAGAGACACTTTGACATTGGCACCTCTGGGTTCTGTCAATGGCACCACAGGGCTCAGGCAGAGGTCAGCTGGGTTTGTCCTGCTCCTCACACACTGACAGTCTGTGGCTGATCTGCCAGACTCTGTGTTATAAAGTCCATAATTCAACAACAAATACGGGTCTGTAGCCTTATTCAGTGTGTGTCTGTGTTCCTGCTTTATTATAAGATTAATCGGTGGGCGATATGATGAAAAACTGGCATAAGTTTCATAACACGATTCCTGGACCTTACAGTCTGGACTCCACATCTCCTGTCCATATTCACGCCTTAGAGATCCAGAAACTCTTTCTGGTCAATCTTAATGATCAATAGTTATTTCTGTGTAAAATGTGTCAAGTTGATGACAAGTGTTCATTCTTTCTGGTTTCATCTAAAGCTAAGAAGTACATGTTTGTCTTCTTTTAGGTTTTAAAATTAACAGTTTAGCAGTTTTTCAACATTATTCAGTATTTTATGGGTCAAAAACAAAACTCTAGATCAAGAAAATAATCAGAAAGTGAATAAAAAAGATCATTATTGGATAAAATGCACTCACTAGGTAAGAGAAACTGCTTTTCTTGAATCTATAATGAAACACTTAAAGACTTGAAATCAGGTTGGAGATCGTACACACCTTTTTTCAGGAATTCTCTCGAACTGAAATCACCCTGAGAAGGAAATAAAAGCCATTCTTGGCACTGATTTACCACCAGAACTATTATTATATCACTGGTGCTACCCCTGAGGAAGTCATGTAAAAAAAAAAAAAAACAGCTCATCTGTCGAATATTCTCTTACTGGCAGGGAGGCAAATGATAACACGATCCTGGCTCAAACCGACACCACCACCCACCTTCATCAGTGGAGAGAGGTTATTTGATGGGAAAAATAACTTCAGGTAAAGATTTGCTCGTTCTCAATTCTATGAGCTAGAGCTGCATGATATTCAACAAAACAGTATTGCAATAAGCTTCTTTTTTTTTCTGCAGATTTTATTGCAATATAAAAAACTACAAAGAATTAAACCATCTAAAAGTGGATTTTTTTTTATGTGGATGTATGCAAAAAAATAGGTTTGTGTTTACCTGCAAATCTGACAGTAGGCCTGCACAATATGGGAAAAATGATATTCTTCAGTGTTGTAATATGGAAAATAAATAAATTAAAATAAGGGGTGTAGTACTGGAGTAATTGCTTCAGCAACAGCTTTCACAAACTTGTCCCTATGACTAAGGTAAACTTGTTGAGGGGTAATTTGTAAATAAGTTTTTTTACATCAAGGGCATGATTGATATTGTTTGATATTGTATTTTTTGAAGCTTAAAAATTAAAATATCCACAATAGATTAGACATTTGACCATTAAAAGTCATTGAGATGAGATGTTGAGGACAAAATGAGCAACAACTGCTTTGTCCACACACTCAAAGTTACTCACAGGAGCTTCAATGCCATGCTTTGTTAAATCATGTGATTTGTGTTTTCCCATGTGCAAAGCTTTAAAAAACAAACCGCCATGCCGCACATCTATATATTTTATTTCAGATTTAGCTATTTTTCATTCTCTCTGGAGACCAAAGAGTCATTTCCAATTCATCCTGGGACACCGTGCACAAGGTTGTACTGAGCTGACCAGACAATGACCTGAATGTCTCTCTGGCTTTGACTTCTGTTCGAGAACAACCCAAGATAGATTTGCTCTTTTCATTATTCAACTTTCTTAAATGGCAGAGTTTCCTCTTTAGACAAGGAATGCTCAGTCAGGGATGAACTGGATGTGCTGACACCTGCTCAAACACACAGCAAAGAGAGAGAGAGAGAGCGATAGAGATGGAGAGAAAGAGAGAGAGGAGAGGTGTGTGAAAGAGGTTTGGCTTGCCAAAGGCACAAAGGGCGAAACAACATTGCCGGGCACTGCGCTACCAGAGGGGCACATAATCTGGGCATCTTTGGCACAGCTGCCAGTTTCACATATTCCTCGGCCTAGCTGTAATTCAGTCAGTTTTTACAAGACAAGGTGTTTTAAATTAATAACACAAGAGGCATATCGCTGCTAACGGTGCTTATTAGAGCTGTTCCTGTGGCTCGTCTAATTACAGCTGCTTATGAAGTTGTTTATTCAGCATCAATAAATCATAAAACAGTGAAAGATCCCAAGCAAAGCAGAGCTCCTCCAGCACGTCACATACAAGCTGCACAGACGCCCTCATCAGCTCCACATGTCCTCCAATTAATGTTTCCCTACACTCCTTCTGTAAGGTTAACGTACGCTCACACTCAGACTGAAGTTCAGACAGACACACGCAAACTTAATGTAGATTTAACACTGAGGCAAGATCCAAGCTTACAACTATAAAGATATTCTTAATCACTTAAACATGGTGGAAATTCTGGTGCTAAAGGTCCTTTCACACCGGGACCGTTTTTTTCATGCGATTATTTGATTATTTTATACAACTTCTGACCAATCCGATTTCGTGTTGTTGCGATGTCTGATTCACCGGTATATCCAACATGGCCGACCGGCTGATTGTTTACGTGTTGGAGAACAGAGTGCTTTTTCATAAAAAACACAAATATTACAACGATAACGACCTGAAGGACAACTTGTGGAGAGTCAGATTTCTCATATGACGATGGTTTGTGTGCTTTCACAGTTTGCTAAACATCTTTGTTTTAATTTTCACCTGTGCTAAGTAACTTTAGCTCATAAGCTAACCTGTTCAGATACAACATATCATATGTATTTTCACTGTCTCAAACTCAATCACAGCGTTGCTGTCACAGCACCATTAGGTCTCGGTTGTTAACTTACGTTTATGGATTATAGTTTAATGTGCTTATCTGGTACTGGCCCCGACTCAGTACATGCTATCATGACAGACAGACATCTCAACACTAGTGTCTAATCAGAACTGAAAAACAGTCAGTCTGCTGTTGTGTCAGTCTTCTTGCTTTCACCTGAGACGCGTCTTTTTTTCCCCACGGAAAGTCGCAAAATCTCATCACGCTTGATGTTTATAGTCAGGCGCGTCGAAATTCGCCTCCGAATATTTTGTAATTTCGCATCGTATATTTGCATCGTTACCGGTGTGTAAGGACCTTAACAAGTAAAAATAAAACATTAAACTACTAAATCTAATGTTTTTTTCTGCTTGGTGAAAAACAAAAGATTTGCTTGTGTTACACAGGGTGGAATTGAGATTTTCATTCTTCCCTGACCTCTCACAGTTGTGTCCTAACAAAGTCAAAGACAGTAATTAGGAAATGACATGATTGAACCGAAGTGTAAGGTCACTGAAAGTCAGATTCTCTGTTCTGGTTTAGTGAGACTGAAAGGAGGCACAGTATATGGTCTGATGGCTGTTGTCTAAACTGCTTCATCACGTCGCTGCTGACAGGATGGGAGGTTTTCTGGGACAGAGTCCAGTCCTCCTCCAGTGTGTCTGTAGGCCTTTATCTACCACCACGACATAAACAACTGCTGGTCCAATGTGTACTTTCAAGGACATGGACATTCAGAGTCCATTATCTCTGCATTATCTCTACAGTCCAGTCCAGATTGAGATTGTGAACCTGGATTATCAGACGGATAGTGACTTCTCTTACCGATCAAAGCCCCTTCACTCCATCTGACCTGCTGTATGACCTCTATCTGAAGATGTGGATTTTCTATCAACCTGGCTAGGATTGAGTAAGTGTGTAAAGCCTGGTTCACAGGTCTGCATCACACCTGCACCATAGAAAGTCTACATATGAAGCCTGATGTGCACCTCCTCAAAAATGTAACTGACATGACATGCCTCTTTTCTTACACGTACGACATCTTCAGAATAGCACTTTATCAGCATACCATACCAGGAAAATAAAATATGATACATTCATATTGTTAGAATGAGAAACTCTTTATTAAATTCTTAAGTTTTGAGGCATCCCAAAATAAAAAACTGCACTAAGAAGAACACAAGGAAAAAAACTCTAGCAGGCAATGTAAAATGTAGGTCGGTGTTATCTTTAAAACTAGTTATTTGGAGAGAGCAGGGCCAAAGCCAAAAGTCCACGATTATTCTTTCTTGGCTCACGTTCGCAACTTCCACAAAGTTTGATGAAAGTCCAACAAATAGGTTTTCCTTCATCCTCCACATAGCTGAATAACCAACACTCAAAATACAACCATGCTGGCTCAGGTGATGGAGTCTTATTTGTTTATCAAAAAACCTTTTCAGTAGTATATCACCTGCTAAAGAAATCGTCTTTAACCCTAAAATCTAAACCATAATGTACCAAAATTAGGCTTTATTGATGTTATTCTTAGTAGGAATCATTTGAAGTTAAGATTTAATCATTACCTCCATTTACAAATTTGCTGCTTAATTAGTTGCCCATCAATATGTACTGATTTTAGAAGATTCACGATAACACTGGTGGATTTGTGCGGACTCTGCCTTTAGTTTAACCCTCCTCCTGTGTTAGGGTCTGCGCCAACCCGTTTTTGTTTTTAAATGCTTAAAAGAACCACTTAAAAGAGCTTCTTTGCATCAAGACTTTTCAACTTTATCAGGAACCTCTATTTTAACAAAATAAAAATAAAAAAATTAAATTGACTAAATTATAAAATGCTCTTATTAAATTATGGCACTTGTTGTGTTAGGGTCTCTGTTGATCCGGTTAGATAAATATCTAATGAGAATAGCAAAAACTGAAATCATAAGTGCACCACACTGACAGTTAGATCCTCTTCCAGTCATGTGAGATTTAGGAAATTCTCATTTTTCCATGTTTTTCCTTGCACAAAAAATGTCGAACATGTCCAGACATGTGAGATCAATTCAGTATAGATGTCTGTGTGAGGGGTATACTGACAAAGAAAGGCCCAGAGGACCACTACAAAAAATATCATAAGCAATATTTTCATAGATAATGAAGCCTAACAAGGTAACCTAGAGATGAGAACTAAATTGGATGATGGAGAATTGTTCTGAATGTAATTTGCAGCAGATTTAAGACACAAGTCGAAACCAACCCTTAACATAGTGGGTGCGTAGTGAAAGCTAACACAGGGGGAAGTTTAATAACAGTATTATCATGCTTTTTGTTTCGAATCAGAAAATCGGACTTGGCCTGTTTGAGGACAGTTTGCAAAGTATTGATCTGACCCTTTTCTGAGGACACTGTCTCACTATAACTCTAAAGTTTACAAGCCAGAACATGCTGACTGTGAGTTTTACTATACTGAACATTATGCTTATAAGTAACTACATCAGTGTGTTTAGACAATAAGTTGTGTAAGACACATGATTTATTGGACCGTGTGCTCTGATGGTAATGTTTTCTTCCAGGGTTATTTCAGAGTAAAAAAGATGATCATGCCATAGTATTTAATAATTTCTCTAACGATAGGAAAACTCTGCTTTTTATATACTGACCAGCTGCTCACTAGAACCTTTACGTTTTAGCTGATGAGGCACGTTCAACTCAGCTCTATTCTTGTCTCACGCAGATCCAAGAGTTCTTGCTAAGTCTTCTTTGTCTTGAGTCCAAGTCTTATTTTGCATCATGAAAAACCCTGATAAGTATTATTCAAAGCGGCACCACATATTTTTATAAAGATGATAATCGTGTCTATCCAAGCAGAAACACATGACCAGAAAAAAAAACTGGCTTTCCCAGAATGCTGCAGGCTTCGTTTGCAAGGAGACTCCTGTGGGACTGGACTGGCGGAGGAAGGAGAGAGGAGGGACGGAGAGAGAGAGAAAGAGGGGGGAGTATGAGGGGGAGGGGGCACCACCAGATAGGGCTGGCACATGCCCAGTACTGAGAGTCTGCCATCCACAGCTTGAGCACGAGCCTTTTCCTAAGCTCATTACTCAGATTTACTCATATGATTGTGAGCGAGGAAGCACAGTGGTGAGAAACATGAATAAGAGAGATGGGAGCTGCGCTGAACGTCTGACTTGACGGAGAATTGATGAACTGATCGGACAGAGTCATTTCTGTACAGCTTGGCAGAAAACTTAGAGCATCAGTCAAACAAACTTATTAAACACACATACTGAACTTTTGTAACAAGTTTGAAATAAACTGAATAGGTGGGAAGAGAAAAGACATGATGCTGCTAAAAATGAAGATTAATAATGAACAGGCACAGTGTATGCTCTGAGCAAACGGGGTTAAATTAAGGTTTTATTACACGTGGGTTGAGAGATGTTTGCATAAGATGCATTCAGGCATCAGAAATCAGCTTCTTGGTTTGGATGTCTTTCTGGTTGAATTAAACACTCTCCAGTGAGTTTGATTTTTTATTTTTGGGTTGCTCTTAGTCGTAAAGTGGCTTCATGCAGTTAGTCTCAAACCGTGACATTTAATCTACGCTAAAGTACAGTAAATGTCAGAGTATAAGACGCCCTTAAAATACTTTTTTTTAAATCATCTAAAAGAAACCAGTTCTGAACACTAATGCAATTTTCTAATGCAGAGTTTGGTTTATAATGGTAGCTGATGTTTTACCCAGAAGATGGCGCCACTTTGCTGCACAAAGTATGTTGGATAGGACTAGTTGGACGGCACCCTTTTTAACAGACATCCAGTTTTTCCTTCAACAGATCAACAAATTTCCCCACTGTGGCAGGTAAACTGACCCAATCAGAATCTGAGGAATCAGAATTCTTCATGGAAATCCAATCAGACTGAGACGCTAAGGCAGAAAAACTGCTGCATCTGCAGTGCAAAATGATAAATATGGTGATTATTACTTAAAGGAAAAGATAAAGAAATTATCATCAATGTTCTTCCTTGAGCTGCGTCACCCCACAGCAGTCCGTAATGGACTGGCCCAAGGTACAAACAAGCGGTTGCTGGAAGAGAGCAGGTGAGTTGTGTTTAGTCTCTTTGCTAAAGAAATCAGGCAAAGTTAAAAAGATGTTTGGTGGCTAGTGCTGTGGCTAGGACCCTATATGTACTGTTGATGAAGTTAGGTGCTGTTCTGAGCATTATTTGTGGCTATAGAGTAGCATTTTGGTTGAGGTTTGTTTATGGCTCCTCAGACCACTGTGTATTGCTATTGTGCGGTCGTTACTGAAATTGGTAAAACTGGAGAAGCAAGCGGTCGGCAACATCCATCCCTCATGGGGGTGTCTAACTCGGTGTTACAGTGTGTTTGACCCTAAATTAATTTTACTCTGGAATACCCCTTTAAGACAAGGACAAACAAGTGTGAACAAGAAAGGTCTTTCTTTCCTCTGCATGCCCCGGTGTCCATATTTCCGTTGCTATGCGCTAAGTCTCATGCTGTGATAATCTCACTGGTTGCGGGTCTATGCAGTTGCTTCTAGGGGCACTTACATATGCAACCATCGCTAATGCTCCCCTGGAACAATGAATCACCAAGGTGAACTGGTCTGGTGACAGCAGGCTATCATTATCATGCATTTTAAAAAGTTTTTTTTCCTACTTGGCAACTAAACTAGAAGATTTACCTGAACAGTTTATTGAACACATGCAAAACTACCTCAAGCAAAAAAGGTTAAAAATTAGACAAATTTTTACTTTTGCAGCTTTAATTTAAAGTAAAACTTTAAACACTGCAGCACTGGTGCTGTTACTGTATTTGTTCATTTTAAATCCAAGACTAAAAGTTGAACATTTCCACATTAGTGTAAAGCTACTATGTCGTACATCATACAAAATTCATGCACTACAAACAGCAACATGCACTCATGGTAATGGTTTCGTCACCATAGCAGCACATACCTGTCATCTCAGCGCAAGGTGTGCTGACGTTGCACAAACTACCCCTACATTTTTGCAGCGTGTATTTGCCTGATCGTTCTAGTTTCATTCATATTACATCTGATCTCTTCTCCCAAATTTAATGGGAATACCAGCTTTAAGAAATCACACACAGATAGAGGTGCAGTCCAGTCCAGTGTGGGCCTCAATTCAGGTGCTTCAAAACTAAATCATTCTCCCAGAGGCATATTGCATAACACTTTGAGCACAGCACTGCTGACAGAGAAAACCAAAAATGGCATTAAAGGATCTGAATTTTGCCAAGTATTATTATTTTATTTTCCAGTTTTCGATAGCTGCATGGATTACTTTTAAAGAAGGACCAAACCATTCTCTGCACCCCTGTGGTACTGTAATGTTTAGTGCCCATCATCAAACCTTAAAGACTGAAACACTGCCAGGACCTGCAAGAGCTCCCAGGGGTCAAGAGGCTCTTTAGTTTTTAGATGTCACCTCAAAACAACTCAACATGAGATAAAAACTTTGGTCTCTCAATGACATAAAAAGACATAAAACAACACTTAATATCCCAGAGGCAGTTTAAAGAAAGTGTCCCTTCCCCACATCATTAAAACTTTTGGGAACACCGCAGATGTTCGACAAATTAAAACACTGCTGTCAAAACATTTCCTCCACCATCCCATGCACGGCAGCCTCACACGGAGTCCCAGACAGCTATAACATCCACACAAAAACCAAAGACAGCCTCATCTATCTAAACCTCAGAATCCAGACGCAGTAGGAGGGCTTCCCGACGCTGCCTTGTCACCACTGGGAGGCCTCAGATATGTGGAGTGGCAGTTTTGACACTGCCACAAATGCTGTCTGCTTCTATATCTCTCTGTCTGCGAGGACATGTGCCTTTAGATGAAAACCCTGTGACAAGAACAAGTGCGCCAAACCGCAGTCCACAGGGAAGCTCAGGGTCCTGTGAAACATCAAGGAGCGGTTTCACAAGAAGGACATTACAGATGATTACCATCTCGCCAAGAGCCAGCTCAACAAACGCTTTAAAAACACAAAGTCCCAGCACAGGACCTGAGAGAGAGTCCGTCTGCCGTCAGTGACTCAGGCTGAAAATAGTCCTTCAAATATAACTCTCCCCGACACTTGCCAATGACATTTAATTACTTCTGTATCGCCATCAGCGTCCCTCTTTTGCCACCTTGATCCGGTGCCAAGTCACCGATGACTTTGTTGAACTAACCTCGAGTCTCCCTGACCATATGTTGCCTCCCCAATGGGCACTTGGCACAAGAAAACTTCTTTGACTATTTAATGTGACTGAAGGCCTGTACCTGAGACTTTCTGTTGAATTTACTTACCCATGCGTTTACAGGCATTAAATGTCACACCTTGACATTTCAAAGTCTAAAAAAAACAGACTGTATGTATGATTTGTTTGAATATGTACTTTTACTAGCTTATATCTTCATCAATGTTCAAACCACAGAAAAAGGTCAAATAAAAGCAAACTCTCTTTATCTTTCAAGTACGGCAACGGAAACAGAGACATGAGACGACCTGTAAGAGGGTACAGGATGTTGTCAGACCATTACTTGCATTGCACTGGTGATGGAGAAAGAATCTATTTTGATTTCTCTAAGAGTTGTAGTCAAAGCTGGTACTTGACTGATGCAGAAGTACAACGAACTGCATTTCCTTTGGTGTCCACTTGAGGCTGGCTCCAGAAATCAAGGAAACCCCATTAGAGCTATCAGTGAGGTGTTCGATCTAAAACGGCATTTGGATTTACCAAAGAACATGGAATTACAGTTTTTACAAGAACCTAATCACCTCATAGAGAGCTGTTTCAAGCTAGTTCACAAGCGGTCTGCTGCTTCTTTATCATATCTCCTTCGTTCTATGACTGAAAATCTATGACTATGATCTTAAAATCTGCAAGAAAGACCAAAACTATGAAGCCACGGTACCATCTGCTCATTTTTAGTATTCTTGTACCAATCATTATCACTAATTTAGCATGTGATTTTCACATCACTGTGATGTAAATGTGCTGCAGGTGTCGACACCAGTTGTAAAAATCCTGAGCAAAAATTAGCAAAAACTGGGGCGGGTAGAAATAAAATGTTGTCTAATAATCCATCTTGTTTAATCGAGCATTTGCTGCTGCATATGTGACAGCAGCAGCATGTTTACAATATAAAGTCATGTGACACAGATATGGACACTGTTTGTCATAGGACATGATGACAGCATGACTAATAACTAATACTGCAAGCACGGCAATATCCTAAGCTGTTTATCATATCCAATATTGACCTCAATAAGGTAAAATTCAGGATTGGCTGGTTTAATTTATGAGCAAGTAACAACAGTTAATACTTTTTCCAAATTTTAATTATAAAAGGTAAAATGTGTAGAAATTGGATTTGTTATTTATTTATTTTGCACTATCCAGCAGTAAAATTCTAGATACCTATGAGCCACCATTTGTCAAATCTTAACCATGGAAAATGTCTCTCATAACAAACTTGTTTGTGCACAACAACAACTCTCCTCCTATTTATCTTACATTGGGTGCATTTTGCACAACCGCACTAGTTTGTCCATTCTGTGCTGCAGTAGAAACATGGTGCTGCAAGACAGCAGCGTATGTGGGAGGAGACTCACTCCTATAAAAGGCTCTTTCTATATTGATAAAATTATGTATTTCTGGTGCTCACTTGATCATGGACTCATTTAAACATATTTCTACCAAGTGCGTGCCCTTGAGTTCTACACACTTTAATGCATTATTTCATTGAACAGATAATCCACAAACTAATACAACAGCTCACTAAAAAAGCCAAACACTTCCCACACTCACAATGAATAACAGGACTGCCAGATTGAGGGGATCATCAACAAGGTGCAGGCAAACTTATTGGGTGCAGATGACAAGGCTGTTAACCACACGCTTGGACAGGAAACAGTCTTACATCTAAAAACTAAAATAAGCTGCAGTGGTGAGCTAAAATGATCAATTCAACACCAAAAGTCTGATTATACTATGCAGGAGGGTCTGACAGCATAGGACAGTGTTATAGTTGGACATTTTCCTCTATTTATCGCCTGGAAACTCAGCATCAGCACCACATCTTGGCCACGGTATTGGATTCTTTGACTGCCACTTACTCCACAGTGCTGTTGTTTGTCTGTCCATGGTCTAACAACACTTTTCACACTGTAGCAGTAACAGGCAAAAGTGTTTTTCCCCCTCAGCTGCAAAGCAATTTTTGCCCACAATACTCCAGCAGCAAAATAATAAAAAGCCCAAGAGGTGTTTCAGTGTTTCAGCCACGCTTTTTAGTAAATGGTCTCATGTGTGTCAGACAGAAATATATATATATACGCTTCTATTTGTAACAAAACAACTTTCTACAGATGCATAAGAATAACCCAAAAAAGTCTATTTTCCTGCATTTTAGCTCAACATTTGTAATGCGTCTGAGTGCTGTGAAAACAGGTGGCATAAAGTCATTGCTGTTTCTGAATGCATCCTGTGTAGACGCAGACAAAGCAATGAAACTGCTGCTTCTGTTTTTGCTTACGTGCAAAGTGCTCAGACATCTAGGGTGGGCGAAACTTAAACAATGACACGACAAGGTGATTGTATCTGAATTTAACACAACCCATGCTCAGTCCTTACTTTTGTGTGCTGAATTAATGACAATGACATAGATTTTCATTTGTCATTTTGGCACCACACAAGATTTTATTTTTTTTTTGGCATTAAATAATAATGTAAATTTTGAATGTCAAGGCTTAAGAATAATGAGATTATTTGCATTTGTTAAGTGTAAGCCTTGCTAACTTCAAACTTTAAAATAAAGGCAGGAAATGCTAAAACGGTAGAAAATGGAACAATTACTTTTAAAATGCTCCCCCCAGATAAAAGGAGTTCAAATACAAAAGAGGGCATGGGGGAAAGAATACAAAAAACTTGTACTGAATAACAATCAAGCTATCTTCGTTTGCAGATGATACCACTCTTTTTTGTACCTTACAAACATGGGTCCCAATTTAACATCCCACTGCTGTGAAATGCAGTGTTAAATAGTTTACTATTTGAGTAGTGCCGAGAGGCATTAAACATCAAATTTTTGAATAAATTTTTCAAGATGAGTATATTCAAATTAAAACACTTTGAACCACCCTAAAGATGTTTAAAGGTATATTACCTGATGCAGTTGAGTTTTAACATTAAATTGGTTTCACTCTTTCTAGACTTGAGGTCCTTACACACTGGGAGAGTTTTTTTCGTGCGATTATCTAGACATCAATATTTTTTTTCGAACCCATTTCCTGTCAATACAAGCGTTCACATCAGCCATGTTTTCCCATCCTGCGAAATTGCGGCGTTTATTTTTTCGTATCACGGTTGAATTTTCTAAAGTTTCGCATTCTGTGTGTCCACTTCTGACCAATCCGATTTTGTGTTGTTGAGACGTCAGATTCACCCATATATATGCTTTAACAGTTTGCTGAACAACTTTGTTTTAACTTTCATCTGTGCCAAGTAACTTTGGCTTACGTTTATGGATTATAGTTTAATGTGGTTATCTGATCTGGTACTGGACAGACATCTCAACACTCGTGTCTAATCAGATGTTAAAAACAGTCAGTCTGGTGTTGTGTCAGACTTCTCGCTTCCACCCAGGACGTGTCGCAAAATCGCATCACGCTTGAGTCAGGCATGTCAAAATTTGCCTCTGAATATTTCGTAATTTCGTGTCGTATATTTGCGTCGTTCCCGGCGTGTAAGGACCTTTACACTTTTAACCTACCATATTACACTAAACTTCATGTTAAATGAGTATTACCATTTTTTTGTTAATTTGCCATGCTGAGAGAAAGTGCACAGTTAAAAAAAAAAAAAAGGAGTCATGAAAAAGGAGCCAAGTCTCCACTCAACCAAGCTGCCCTCTTCTAACTGCTCTTCTGTTTGTTTGGTTTTTTTAAGCTAGTTATCTTTGGACCATCTGTTTTCATTTAGGTCCACTGGTACCTTCAATCTGACCTGTATCGCTCATGCATGAGGACATACAAACATATTAAAATCTCTTCAGTGCTTTTAAATTTAAAAATAAAATAAACACCCATCTATTTTTGATATGGTATCCTCTCACTGGTAGCATGACATTCGATCTGAAAGGGTGGGATCGTACTGGCAGCAGCGGAGACCCCAGCTGCTAAAACAGCTGACATCTTGCGACTAGCCTTTGGCATTCAACGTCATAGCATGTGGTTAGCAGCTGACTATCACAGATCAGTAACATAAAGAAAGCAGCATATTTGATTTGCACAATTTAAAGAAATAGAAGTGTTTTGGGGAATCTGTAATCCTACACAAACCAGCAGCTAGTTAGCGTAGCTTATTTTAGCTTAGCTTAGCGCAAAGACAAGAAGCACAGCAAGGGGAAACAGCAAGCATGGTACTGTCCAGAAGTAGTGATCGTAGCCCTCTTAAGCTCACTAATAAGCTCAAACAGACACAACAGCTCATACAGATTTGTGACTTCCTGCATTTTGAAGGTGGCAACACTCACAGCTTCCAGCCAAGAAGTAGTCTAGTCTACTTCTACTTCGATTTTTCATTACAATTTTAGTAAACATCAGTTAGGCATAGCAGTGCTAAAGAGAAGATTTTTGTACATCTAGGAAGCACAAACTAACTAAAACCTAATCATCTCTGATATTACACTCCAGTTTTACAACACATATCAAGCTGGCTGTTTCACCTTTTAGTCAAGCTCACCTATATTAACAGAAAGATGTTTAAGTGTAGAGTGTAAGAAAAGAGCTGACTTTCTCAGCTGGCTCTCGACAATCAAACAGATGAGCTTATTCCCCAAAATATTTCCTTTGAGACAGAAATGCACTCTCATGACAGCTAATTCAGTCACTAAATCACTGCAGTGTTTCGCACCTCTTTTCAAGTGTATTTCACTTACTTGGCACTTTACACACAGGTTTCAATAGACAACATCATATGGGTATTATGCTGCAATGAAGCGCACAGAAGTATATATATGCATGATATAAAAATGCATAAATTATGTCAAGGACCCGGTAACACTGGTGACAGTTTGGTGCATTATCCCTCTAATTAGCATATGCAAGTGTAAAATGAGTCACAGTCAGTGTTCACATACATCTCAGAAACTCTGTGTTGCATCAGACTGGGTTCAGACACTGTAGAGGAAGTAGACTGGCTCGTTTGTAATTACTCGCAGACTATGTTGTGATTTGAGACTCATTGGTGCAGAAAGAAGTAAATCACCTTCATTGCAGTGTCGATAACAGACAACACCTTCAGAGTCGTTATTATTAAGCCAAATCTATCCCCTCATAAGATGGAGAATTTCTACTTAGATCAGTCAGACCACTGAGAGGCTCTATGTTAGTAAATCAAACATGTTTCAGAAAGTTTTTACATTTTTATCAGCTTAAACATGCTTATCAATGCAGGAGGAGCTAGACCTGTGAGCAGACCAGTTCTGACTGGGTATATGAGGGGTCATTGGGATCATTTACCAAGCGACTGCTTGGCACATGTCTCCCTCATCTGGACAAGAGTGGAAAAGCAAGGTTAAGTAAGTACATGGGTCAATACAGAGTGCAGGGGAAAATGAGAACAAAAGGGGGACATTGTGCAGTTTGTTGCTCCACAACTGATCAGTTTATGATAGATCAGCAGCAGGGGAGCCTTTGCACTGTGTGTGTGTGTTCAGTGAATCACACATAGCACTGTGGCCGTCTCCATATGCAGTGTGGATTTCATTCAAATCCCATGCATGCAGTATCAAATCAAGAGTGCATTTTATCTGACATGCAATGCATTATTTAGTTACTTTTCCATCTTAAGGCCTGAGACGGTCACACCCCTCTGGAGAACTCAAATGGGACTGCTTGCTATGATACAATGCACACATTTCCCCCCTCAGCAGCGGGGACGTTATCTCCAATATGCTGCTTGTTTTATCACACAAACGAGCCTTCATGGATCCCCACAAATACAGGCCCCGTGAGCCACCAGCAGCCTTATCAATCAGCCTATCTTTGCATTAGGACAACCATTCTGCACGTTTGCACCCAATGCACCCTGTCTCACATTTCATGCATATGAGCCGTTTCAAGACAATTGCTGTTTCCACTGATACGATTTAAGCAGGGCTGAACTTTCACGTGACATATGAGATATGCAGCCATTTGTTAGAAACGAAAAAAGCCCCACACTTCACACGAGCTAACACAGAAAAAGGGGAAAATGCAGCAGCAAGCTCACCAAGCGAGCACAGCAGAAATCATATGCTATAGATATACTGCACTTCAACTCACCTTGAGCGGCCGTTCCTCTGGTGCTGAATACACTTGCTATCAGAGTGGCCACATACCAAATCATAGTACTATTGCCGACCAGCTATTACCACGCAAAGTGCCCCGTTCAACCAATCTCTCATATTCGACCTTGCACCTCACGGTCTTTTCGGCAGAAGCCCCCTATTCATATCCTATTTTCTCTCCTCGTGGCGTTTCCCTTCATCCCTTCCCTCCCCCGTCCTTCCATCCGCATCCTCTCCCGAAGAGACAGAGCACCTGCACCGCCGCGTTTGTAGTAGACGGAGCCGTTTTTACGAGCGCATAGTGAAACCAAGTGTGAGAATGCAGCCACAGGTCCGCCTCTGCCGTCGTTGGATTGGCTGCTGATTGAGGCTTTGGGGCGTGTATTGGTCGCCCGTACAAGCCCCGCACCCGAATGACAGGAGCGCCGATTCAAGGTGAGTTGGAGCGTGCCATAGTAGTGGAACCGCAGTATCATGCGCATTGACAGAGAGACGTGTCCACATCTTTAAATACCTTCTCCCTTTTTTAAGACTGGCCCCCACGTGCACCATCACCATCTGCGCCCATCATCCATTCACACGCGCACGTACAGCGCATACATTTTTTGCCTATCACTCGTATCAATACGGGCATCTTTGTGTTGCGGGTTGTATGGAGAGAGAAAAAAAGGGGGGACGCTGGTGGTTGTGTGTGACTCATCGGTCGCTCACCCATAGCCCTCGGCTGTTGTCATGTCGCTGTCACCGACACAAAACGCTCTCTTTTGCCGCTACCGCCGCGCGCGTGTCTGGCTTTTCTGTGATGGGTGTGGCGACAGATACAATGCCGTGTTTTTTCCTCGACGGCGAAATACGCGAGGATGCATGCAGCTCCATCACGCTTCTGCCCACTGCGCACACATGGCTATAACTGATAAGGCTGCCTCATACTCACTCCCTCTGTGTGTTTTTTCTCCTCTCTCTTACTACATGCATGACCACAGAGGAATCATAGCGCCTGTGTGTATGTGTATGTGTGTGTGTGTGTGTGTAGGCTACCGCCTCTAGGCTGCTCACATCTCCCCCTAAATCTCGCCGCTTTTACAGTCTGCTGTGTGTTACCGTGAGATAAACATAAAGGTGATCTGTAACGTGAGAGGAATTCACTGATTGGTGTTTGATCTTTGGGCTGAATTTGTCACATTTTGTCTCGGAGAAATGTCTGTCTGTCTGTCTCCCTCCTCCCCTCCTGTTCCTTTTTTTTTTTTCCCTGAGACTGTCACTGTTCCTGTCTGCAATCAGAGAAAATCTAAAGGGGAAAAAGGCAACTTAAATCAAAGGCATTTTCATTTTTATTCCTATGAAATCACGCTGAGTAATATTTCTGCTTCACATTTAGACATTGTCTTAGCATTGATTTGTCCTTTCCCCTTTGAGAGACTGATCATACCGCGCCACCCTTTACAGTTTAATCTATGAAACCTCACCATTTGTTACTGTGCTTGCAAATGTTATTTCATGGAAGTACTATTGGTCTTGGATGCATACAGAGAAACAAATCAGATAGAGCAACAATTATAGCATGTCTTGAATGTGCAGCTATAAGAGCTATAAGCTGCTTTACTCTGTGATACTGAAGGGATGGGTGCCATGCCATGACCTAATTTCGTTCATGTAGATCTCCATTAGCTTTGGCTAAAGGTCCTTTTTTTTCGAACCTGTATCCTGTCAATACAAGCGTTCACATCAGCGACATTTTCGCAACCTGCGATATTGCGGCATTTATTTTTTCGTATCATGGTGGAATTTTCTAAAGTTTCGGCTACTGTGTGTCCACTTCTGACCAATCCGATTGCGTGTTGGCGCGACGTCTGATTCATCGGTATATCCAACATGGCCGACCGGCTGATTGTTTACGTGTCCGAGAACAGAGTGATTTTTGATAAAAGACACAAACATTACAGAGATAACGCCCTGAAGGACAACTTGTGGAGAGTCATAGCGTCGGATCTCTCATATGACGATGGTTTGTGTGCTTTAACAGTTTGCTAAACGTCTTCGTTTTAACTTTCATCTGTGCTAAGTAACTTTAGCTCGTAAGCTAACCTGTTCAGATACAACATACCATATGTATTTTCACTGTCTCAAATTCAATCGTGTTGCTGTCACAGCAACATTAGGTCTCGGTTGTTACCTTATGTTTATAGATTATAGTTTGATGTGCTTATCTGGTACTGGCCCCGACTCAGTACATGCTATCATAACAGACAGACATCTCAACACTAGAGTCTAATCAGAACTGAAAAACAGTCAGTCTGCTGTTGTGTCAGTCTTCTCGCTTCCACCCGGGACACGTCTTTTCTCCCCATGGAAAGTCGCAAAATCGCAAATCGCTTGATGTGTATTGTCAGGCGCGTCAAAATTTGCCTCTGAATATTTCGTCATTTCACATCGTATATTTGCGTTGGTCCCGGTGTTAAGGCCACTGCTATTCTTCCTTGAGTCTACATTCACAGCTAGCTCTCCTTTGCAGTGCCCAGTCACAAAAAAGAAACATCACGCCGCAAACACAAAGACAACGTCGATAACCACTATAACTGGACCTTATATGTACATTTCCACAGTGTAGCTGTAGTTTGGAAATAATCCAATGTTTAAATATCAATTTACAGTCCACATAATTGAATTGGAGTAATTAATTGACCAAAACAGTACCAAATACACAATACATAAGCAGACTTCCAATATTATTAGTAGATCGACAAACCAAGCTTCGTCTAAACAAGGAGCTGTTTGACAACTCAATGTTCTTTAACTAGATCTTTAAATTTGTATTTGTTGTTTTCTTGAATGGTATGTCCTGGCAGAGGATTCATATCACCATGGCCCTATACATTACTGTACTTTTCATTTTGTTTGTTTTTACTTTGGGTAAGGTGAATTCACCCTCCGTAGCATGTCTTGTTCTGTAACAGTGTTCATCGGAACTAAAAGACAAACAATCGTGAAGAACCATCGGCAGATTCGTCATAGATAATCTTCTGATGAAAGCTGCTAATGAGGCAGTAAATCTGTTCTTTACACTCAACCAGGCAAAACAGTTATGCATTATACTTACATTGGTTTTGTATGGACAGTGAAGTAAATATCGTGCTACCTTGTTCTGAGCTATTTACAATTTCTTTATCAGTGATGAAGCAGCGCACGACCAAACCGCAATGTTTATTTTGATGGAGGTGGGGGCGACTGCTGTCCAAGTCAGTCCAAAATAAACTGTCAAAGGTATTAGGTTAGGATTAGCTGATCGTGAAGGTTGCAGCAAATGATTCTCTTTGTTTTCTCTTTGGGCAGCATTTGAATTTACGCCATCTATTCATGATCTTCTCTCTCATTTGCAAGTCTGTGATTCCCAACCTGGTGAGAAACCCCCGAGGGACGCTGGATCAATCTGAGATTGAGAGTCTTTCTCTGAAAAAGCGAGAGCGATTGCACGTTTATGTTCCAAATTTAAACATAATCTTCTTACCTTCCGCTAATCTCTGCTTTTATTGTGAAATTCTGGGGAGTTTTACAAGTTACAGCCAGTGAAGCAGTTCAAATAATTTTAATCTTAGAAAAACATTTTGTTAAACAATTCACAAAAATAAATGCCTCGTGTGTTTTAAGATCTTTAAGCCAAGAGTTTCTGTCGAATAACTCTACGCAGCTTCATAAGACTAGAAAACATGTATGTAGTCTCTCTCAAGACATGGGGGTGGCCAAACTGGAAGAGGCCCCATCAAACTTTTGATAATTCCAGAGAAAGGCAAAGACTCCTGGCGAACAACCCATATGTGCCAACCAGTCAGTAGAGTCAGCCATGACCCTAAATATGCAAAACTCTGAAACAACAACTGAATCTCCCCAAAATGGTTGAGCTACTAATGAATATCAAGCACCATACAGTGTGTATGGATAGAGAAACTACACATCAAACATACGGTCCTCCATATGTTACAGAAATAATGTCGATCCAGCGCTGATAGCTAAATAAACTCAGACATAAAACACTGTTTCCAACAGATGGGCCTGTAGAAGATAAAATATACTTCTAACTCCCAGTTCTTCTCAGCAGGAGTTTTATTGGAGAATCTGAAGCTATGACTCATGTGTTATGGTTCATAATTATCTGTATCTACTTCACATGGCAGGGGTCTGCCAGACAACCGCATGACTCAACAGGAGAACCTGACTGTCTCTCTCCACAGAGGGCGCTGCGTGTTGAAACTGTCTCTGTCAATGACCAGGCTGTTTCTTTTAAAAAGGAGCATCTGACAATGCCAGTCAGGGGAGGTGTGACTGCTGAATGGTAATACAAGGTCACATTGCCCTACACAGTCCCCTCCAGCACACACCTTAAGTTACACAAGTGCTGACACAACACTAGTGCATAGTGGGCCTTTACATTCAGCGGCATGAGCTCGTTTCCACAGTGACGCTCATATGACATAACATTTGCCTCATAAACCAGAGAGATTATTTTATTCTCTTTACTACAACAGAATTTGATTCTCTACAAGCCCGGGCAGAGATAACAACAGTTGAGATAATCTCTTATGTAAAAACAACTTGAGCTTCGGGGTTCAGTTTAAGGACACTATGAGTGTGACTAAAACGCAGGGAGGGAGAAGTTCTGAATTTTTAAACAGAGCAGGAACAAGTGGCTCTGTAGATAAACACATATTCATTCATCTGATTCCTCTTAAATTCAGTTTCTTCTCTATGTCTGAACCTGTAACCTCTTTGTTCTGGCTGTTGTCACTGTGTTTACGTCACTTTTTACAAAGTTTTGACAGAAAAAAAAATGTTACAGTGAACTAAAACCAACAAAAGGAGCAACCATCAGGGCTCAGAAAGAAAGTCAACCCTGAAGTGTGGAAAACTTAAGTTCCTACTTTGGCCACTTGGGTCCAAAAAGTGAGTAAATCCCAAATGGCAACCTCTGGTCTTGAGAATATAACCTAATGTGCAGTTCCTTGAATGTCCACTTGAGGCACTAGAAACCATATCCAAACCAATTTTTGAAGTCCATCTTCACTGCAATAATAGATCACATTTCTGATGAATGGCTAAAATCTCTCTCTGCTCTTATTATAAGAGGGGCCCAGCTTTATTTTTGGCTTGATAACAGCCTTGCACAACAATATATGTGTCTCCTGTTGATTCCTCCATTCATGAAAACTGGAGGAGCTTCATCTCATGAAGCTGACCGAGCGTCACCTCAGTGAAATAATTTGCTAAACTTGACCTCACAGCCACATTTCACAAAAATCTCTGTGTGGATTATGACTCACTTTATTCATACTTGCTGTTATGAGACCCTTGAGGTTTCAGACAAAAGAGTTTGAGGGCCTGGTCTACAACATCTGGGTGAAGAATTGAACTGGGGATGCTTCAATTCCCCAGGAAAACTCTTGCAGACTGAACTCAGCAGAGATAATATTAATAAAAAAAACAAGACGGA